ACATGCTTGATTACGGGGTAGAATCCCATTTGAGGTCAACCCCAGATATAGGAACAATTGCTCTTGATGCAGAGCAATCAAATAACACTGATATCCCGTGTTTAGGAACCCTGCACTCTAAATACGCTCCGATGTACGAACGCCTTACCATGGATGTCGACACTCCGCTTGTTCTTCCCAAGAAGATTTTGAAGCGTCCAACTGTGTCTACCACTGTCAAAGATAAGTCTTCCGATATAAATAGTGAGAAAGCTCAGTCGAGCTCCTCTGATACGATCGCCCGTAAGGGCCATGAGTAAAAACCATGTGCGTATTGCATCCTTAAATGCCCGTAGCATTTTCAAGGATGCAGATAAGAACAATCAACGAGTGTTCTTATCTTACCTCAAATCATCATCTCTTTCTTTGGATGTCTTATGTTTACAGGAAGTTTCCGCCTTTCACCTACAAGATCATCTCACGCAACAACAAAATAGCTACTTTCAATCTTATCTTTTTCCCAACTGCTCCGTATTATTCACTAAATATTCTGCCATTATCTGCTTAAACAAAAACCTCACACTGCAGGACGCTACCGTTTCACTTGATGAGCGGTGCATACGTGCATCAGTATATAATCAAACTCTACAACAAGTAGAATGCTCTATTACCAACATCTACGGCCCTGCACAATCCACCAACAGACTACCTTTTTTAGAACAATTTATGTCCTCACCATTCGCGTCTACGGGTCATGCAGAGTCACCTTCCATAATACTGGGAGATCTTAATTTAAGTCTGTTGAAGCTCGATGAGACCTGTGACGACCCTCGTTTTGTCTCCTGGCATCAATGGCTTTTAGAACATTTCGACAATTGCTTTTCGGCCGGTCAACCTACGTTTCACCGAGGCTCTCAAACCTCCACCATCGACTATATTTTTTGTAGCAAAAACCATCAGCCTCGAATATCCAACTGCCAACAGACATATTTACCCGCTTCATGGACAGACCACCAATTACTACAAATTGATCTACTTCCGGAAAGGCATGATATTGGCCCCGGATTTTGGCGCTTTAACACTTCTCTACTGCAGAATGATACTTTCGTAGCTTTGTTAACCGATGTCATTAACTCCTTTTTCGCCTCTGTTGAGTCGGTGGTGATCAAACTGCTCAACAAACGTGGGAAAGTCTGAAACGTGCCTTGAAAGATACCAGTGAAAGTTTCACTCGTGGCTTTCAAAAGCATAGACGTTACCGCCTCCAAAAGCTACAGCAGGAGCTTCAGCAATTGCTGTCTGCCGGATCCATCTCCAGTGATTTCCAAAACGACACACGCCAACAGGCGGTGATAAAACAGCTGAACGATGCCTTAGATAAGGAGGCCAAGGACGAAATGAACAAAGTTTTACTTCGTTCCGCTACCAGATGGCATGAGCAAGGAGAACGAAATACCAAGTATTTCTATAGGGTTATCAAATCACGTCAAATGCGGCAGACTATTCATCACCTAAGATGTAGCGTCAGTGGTAAACTATTGGAAACCACGCCCGAGATTTTACAAGAGGCCCACCGGTTCTATAGTCATTTATATGCCCCAGAGGACATTAATTTAGCAGCAGTGGACACTCTTTTAGCCAATATACCAGAAGATGTCATCTTAGAAGAACAGGCTTCACATACTGTGGGCGCTGATTTCCCTACCGGAGAATTGCTAGAATTAGTGAATCATACTTCCAACCAGAAGAGTCCTGGCTTGGACGGTTTGCCTTTCGAACTTTACAAGTTTCTGATCTACAAATTCCCCAAGGCTAAACTTCTATTCTTGACCGTTTTGAATGAGGCCTTACATGGTAATATTCCTTTGTCTTGGAAACAAACTAGGATGATGTTGCTGCTTAAGAAGGGTGACCCTTTCCCCTTGATTAATTGGGGACCATTGTCACTTATCAATTCCGATGCTAAGCTCTATACCAAACTTCTCGCGAATCGTTTTAATATGGTTCTTCCTCAGTTAATCAACCCATATCAGACAGGCTTTATGCCACATCGCTTGATTTCAGATAATGAATGGGTGAATATTACATTGATGGATAGTTTCCGCCGTAGTTCCGATCCCCATGCTTCCAAAGCTGTAGCCGTCCTGCTCGATCAGGAAAAGGCCTACGATCGGGTGCATCCTCAATATTTCAGACTAGTTTTGTCACGGTTCAACTTTCCTCCTCATCTTATCTCAGCTCTAATGTCCTTATTTTTCTCAACGGCCATCTCTGTTTCAATTAATGGTTTTCTGGGAAAGCCTTTATTACAAGGACGTGGACTGCGCCGAGGAGACCCCTTGTCGCCTCTGCTCTTCAATCTGATGTTCGAGCCATTTCTACGTACTATTTTGGCCTCTTCTCTTAAGGGAGTGTCACTGTCACCTTTCTCAACACAAATATCTTTAATGGCCAATCCTCCAATCATTCGGCATCCGGATACTGGAGCAGACGACAGCCCTATCCAATGGTATCATCCACCGGTCTTTAAATTAGTAAGCTACGCTGATGATTTGGAAGTTTTTCTGGCCTCACCTGATGAATGGCCCATACTGGAACAACTGTTGACTATGTACGGAGACGCCAGTAATGCCAAAATTAACATCGAAAAGACCGTCATTGTCTCTCTATCTGGGAATTGCTGTCCATGCTGGGCAGCTATAGCCCAATCTAAGGGGATTGAATACCATACCAAGCAAAGTGCATCGATTGTTCGTTATTTAGGATATTCCCTCTACTCATCACCGAGGCAGCTGAAATCTTACCTTGCGCGTATTACTAACATCATTAAAATGCATTGCAGTAAGTTGTAAGATTGAGGCCTTTCCGTTCGCGGTTTGTCCTTGGTAGTAAACCCTCAAGTTCTCAATAAAATTTGGCATTTGTTACGAGTAGTACCAGTACCAAAGACATGGTTAAACAGCATTCGAACTGTCGTGCGCAAATTTGTTCTCCCCTTCCGACCAGCTCCTTCTTGGCGGTCTATCTGTCTCCGCAAGTGTTTTGGCAGCTTGGGAATCATTGATATACATCAGCAACATCTAGCATTACAGCTTATCTTTGTTCACCGTATTCTCCAGCCTAAATGCAACAGTTATTTCGTTACTCCCTTGATCGGCCATTGCATATACATATGTACTGGTCCCCATTCCTTTCTGCCATGGCTTCAGCATCCTCGGGCCTTCTTACGTCTCTTAAAAGGGCTCCCTACGTTATCTATTTTAACACGGCTTCTAATGGAGCTACCCGCATTAATGGGACGTACTAGCTGGCCTGGACGCTGGTACGCAGATACACCACTCCGTTTTGCTTTGGTACCAGCCAACCCCGAGAACAATGAAGCTTGGTTCACAGCGAATGCATTACAGAGACTCCAATCCTCTGTAACTTTAAGTATCACGTTACAGAATGTTGAAAAGGTGTCCCCACCAGACATTACTTAAACACTGTGATGAGTACTGTTCATAATGTGCCGCCCATTTGCCTCTTTTAGCCCCCCCCCTTCTTCTCCTCTTATACCATTTGTCTTCAACTTTACTTTCATCTTCTGTCTTTCTGTTCAAATAAATCGCACATGAATTTAAACAAAAAAAAATCCGACAATAACAATGGAGGGTTTTTGGACACCAGCAATGCGCCAGAATTTTGACAAAAAGGAATATTATTACAAAAAATGGCGTAAAGCAGCAGGCATCAATGCTCTCTATTATTGGCTTCTCCATCGGAAGACAAAGGCCCAGCTATGACTCATGATCAACCAACGCAGAAAAGCAACATGGCGACAATTCTGCTTACAGATGAGCTCTTAGGAGTATACAAAATCTATAGCACGATTTAGCAAAATAAAAAAGTCTTGTACCCTCAAACCTTCGTTTTCCTGTGTAGAAGGTCCCCGAGCTGCTGCGAACCTCATGGCCTTCCACATGCAGTCTACCTTTTCTGGCCGATTCCTGCCACAGCAAACCCGACAACAGCCACCCTTGCCTGTCCTCGACACTATCCCCCCACGATACGCTCCCTTTTCCCATTGATACTGAAGTTATCAAGGAAGCCATCCTTACCTTACCCACGAAAAAAGCCTCAAGACCTGACGATATTCGTATCGGAGATGCTTCGCCCTATCGTTGACCTTTTAGCACCAAATTTCCTTTACTTATTCCATCTCGCCTGGCAATGGACGTATACACCAATTAATTGGTGAACAGCACAAACCCTTCCTATATACAAAAAAGGAAATCCACTTGATCCAGCTAATTATCGCCCAATCAGCCTCACCTCTACCTTCCGTAAGATACTCGAGCACTGTTTGAAAGATATTGTCTTAACGCCTGGCCCACCCATCGATCTGGCTCTAGGGGTTTTCGGTTGGCTCGAAGCTCCCTGGATCAAGCCCTTTACTTAGCTGAAATATGCAACATTCTGCGACGACACTATGACACTTCCCCAGTGCTTGCATTCCTGGATATAAGATCGGCATACGATACTGTAGACCGCCAGGTTATTTGGAATAGCCTACGTACCTCTAACATACCAATCCCCCTTCAAAATCTGCTACAACATCTTTTTGACGAGGTACAAATTGAAGTTAACCTGCATAATGCCAAATCAGCCCGATTCCACCCCACCACTGGTGTCCTGCAAGGTTCCGCCCTATCTCCTTTACTCTACTCATACTACATCAATGAGCTACCAGCTATCCTACGCTCACATCAACCTGTACATCATCTACCTCCCTGTGAACTAGCCACTCGGCTGAATTGCCTGCTATACGCTGATGATGTGGTACTGATTGCAGACCGTCGCCATCTACAGCATCTATTACACCAATGTGAAAATCACAGTTACGCCCTTGGTTACCGCTGGCACCCTGATAAATGTGTATTCTCGACCCTCATAATGACCCCATGACCTATAGCCTTTATGAATCGCCCTTAAAGTCAGTTAACTCATTTCCCTACCTTGGTGTTCCTTTCCGCCTGGGTGGCTAGAGAAGGCCCAGAATACCTGCATTCGAAAGATCTTGGTGGTTTATCCCGTTCATCTGTTAAAGTAATGCTCCACATGGCCGATCTACCATCCATTAAAGAACGCTGTGCGATCCTCCAGGCTAAATACATACTTCGTTCTCACCATTTACCAAATAGTGCTCTCTTCACTTTACTACACCCATATGTCAAAGGCCCATCCAGCAAATCAACCTATCTTCGTGTCATGTTCTGACCTCTAATTCATATAACAATCTGAGAAACAACCCAGATTTACTGCCTTTACCAGTTATAGTACATTGGAACAAATAAGATTCCAGGCACACTGGGACAAATAAGATTTCATCAGGCACACTTCAAATCTTACTGGTAATCTAGATATATCTCAGTGGCGTTGTACAATTCATTAACAGGAACAATATTACTCGGTTGTCACTACTACTTTCTTAATTCCACTATAAGCTCAGTTCAACCTCACATTCATATAAAAGACCATTCAATTTCTAAACAAGAACTATTGTTCGGTCTCGCTGACTCACTCAGTCTCTACATTTAAAAACTTATTAAATTTTAACTCTTGATATCTAAGAATATCACACTTCGTCTCAGCCGCTCTCCTATTTGGAACCGAGTCCAACAACAGCAGTCTGTTGATCACAAAGTCCTCAACCAATGCATTCGTGAGTTTCGAACAGAAACCCTACATGAACTGCAACAACCACACCAGAACTCAAAGTTACTCTCTGCGTGTCGGACATCCATCAGCATAGACCTTATACTCTGGCACCCGATGACTAGCGAAGAGCGTAGCCGCTGTTTCCGATGGCGTCTCGGATGGCTATCTGGTGGTCATTCCAACTTCTGCTTCCATCATTCCACCACCATCATGACAAAACAACATGCCATACAGTGCTTACAGATGCATCAACGTCTGATGATGTCAATATCAATTCTAGATCCATTGTCTAATCCTATGAATCAACTCCCCACCCGTCCCCTCGATCAGCCGCCACTCGCCAATCATGGACCGTCCGTTGACCGGCCCTGTGTCACATTCTCTATGAACTCGATCATATGTTTCATGGATTTGATTCCCCTCCACCAGACTACTCACTAGGCTTCGCCCTATTACAATAGTTGACCCCCAGCCCTCACACAACAACAACTGATTAAATCCTTTTTTATACCCTTGTCCCCAAAGGGGTTTTTAGCAATATATAGTTTATACTATAGAAACTTTAGGATCTGCCCCGGCCAATTTTTGGTGCTCATTGGTGAGATATTCTTAAGATTTTTATAGACCAAGGTAGAACGAGACCGAAAAAGTCTAGATAATTTTTAATTCAATTTTGAGAACATGAAGGCTTTATATATTTTTCAGAGAATCAGCTGAGCTTATAGTGGATGTTAGGAAGATGTAGTTACAACCAATAAGTACTAATGGATCTAATGAGATATTAGTGAAGGCGTGTTCTTGCACTGTTATGGATCTAATACCAGTTTGACTTGTGAACAGTTGCTCAATCGACAATTCAATTCTAAGTTGACAGCCGTTTATGCTGTGTTTAAATTAATTAATTCTCACTCGTGTTTCGATATCGTAGACAGTGATCGGGACATGACAATTAGGTTTTAAATAGAAAGAATAGAAAGAATTCTGTTTAAACGTATCAGTTATGACCCAGACATTATCCAGAAAGATCATGCCTATTCTAGCAATTTCCATATCCTTCTAATATCTCTATATCGCCTATGAATATCCAATTGTATTCTTTCACACAGTCATATCAACTGATATCAATGATATGTATGATTTGACATGTCTCATATTACTGTTCTGATTTCCTAGAAATTTCCAAGCTAGCAATTCTATCAACTCCGTAAGGCATATCTCCTTAAATCAAGTTACCTGAAACCTATAAATATGATCCCAAGTTGAAGTGTAGAAAGAATCTTGTCTTGATCCTTGTCTTTGTATTAATTGACTCTTAATAAACCTACCACAAGTTTTCACAGACTATCTCTTGTCTTTCTACTCTTTTCTATTATTCTATTTTACCCATAGACAACACGTAGTGGTTGTAGGAACTGGCACTTCCGCAGTAGTGGTTGTGGTGTACCTTTTTTTATTTCCTTTCTTAGTAACTTCCTTACAATATCTTCATAATTTTATTGATAATTTGTTATTTTAATTTAAGCTGGTATAGTATATAGATACATACTAGCTGTACTAGCGTCGTTATAATCGCCCAAATTATTATTACAATTAGTGGCGGCAACAAGTGGATTTACTACGGAACTTACACAGTTACATACATAATAGTTATTATTCATATTAGCGTTACTAGCTGTTACAGTAAGATTATTTGCTAATCCTATATACCACGGAGTCTGAGTCATTTTGCCTGAAGCCACACATGAATAATAACAAGTATCTGCACTAACTGGAGTAGTGCTAACAAATCTAACAGTAACAACATTAGCTAATGCTTGAACACAACGACCACTATTAGCATCATATAACGGTTGAGGTAATGCTGTAACTGCTGCAGTTTCAGTTACTGTTGTTGATGTTGTTGTTGTAACTAGATTAGTTGTGGTTGTAGGTATTGTTAATGTATTTGTAATAGTATCTGTTATAGTATCTGTAGCGGTTGTAGGAATTATTTGCGTAGTAGTTGTAGGAACTGGCACTTCCTCAGTAGTGGTTGTAGGAACTGGAATTACTTGCGTAGTGGTTGTAAGAACTGGCACTTCTTCAGTAGTGGTTGTAGGAACTGGAATTACTTGCGTAGTGGTTGTTGGAACTGGAATTACTTGCGTAGTAGTAGCAGTAGAGGTAGTTGTCAATGTATTGGTACATTCATTGACATTATGATCTGGGTGGGGATTACATCCTTGGAAGGCATCGCAGGTGCCGCCAATAGCGTGGTAATCGTGGATTTCAACACCGGCACCCAAGTCGGACCAAGTATAGTCCCTGCCTACGACGGTACCAGCAAAGTTACCCGTAGTACCATCAATAATGTGGGCTAGAAATAGAAGAGAGAATGGAGTTATTAGGCTATTTTTGTTTTTTCTTATTTTCATACATGTTTATTGCAGAAGATTGCTTACCTTCCGGGGCCATGGTCAACCCACCCAACTGAGAAGCAGTGGCACGATAAACGGTGATTTCACCATCACGCAGGTAGACGCCTCGGTCATCAACGGGATAAATGTTCCAAACAACTTTACAAGGATTGAGACTATCAAGAGGATCATTGGTTCGAAGGGTGAGGGTGCCACGATTGATGACAGGAATCTATGTATCGTCGAAAAGGAGGGGGGTTAAAAGAGGCATATGGACGAATGGCATCGAATGATCAACAGCGTTTTTCTACTTACATTAAAAACATAAGTCTTATTGGGATCAATAGGTTGGAAACCGTTCCAATTACCTGAGCCTAAAAGAATATTGGAAGGGTCTGATTCCGTATTGGGGTCAAGACTACATTGCATTCCCCCGCATCCGCCAAAAGTGATAACCTCGTAGTCAGCATCGGATCTGAATTGAGTAAATGCGCCGTTAGGTTCGATGATAGCAGTAGGATCCATATAAGCATAGCCTTCATTGTTATCTAGGGCGGCTTCTCGAACGGCAAAGAAATCGAAATCGCCGGTGCCAAGTTGGTTAGTCACTTGAAAGCCGGCTTCTGACTCACTAATTTGGCCCAGGGTGCCACCGCCGGCGATCAAAGCGTTACCGTGGACTTGTGTATTGGAAGTAATGGCAGTTCCCCCGACAACAAGACCCATAGAACCGATGGAGGAGGGATTATCATCACAGTTAGAGCCGTTGTTGGCGTTAACAACAGAATTGGGAGCAGTAAAATTGCCACCAACAGCGAGAGGGCCCATGATACCAGAACCACCACCCGTTCTAAAATTACCAAAGAAGATGGCATTGAAATGGCCGAACTGTAGTAGACATTATGTTAATAGATGAAATGGCATTTCTTGACAGATAGGATAATCTTTTTTCTTTTCCCTTCAATACTTACAGCATCGTTATTTAATCCATAACCAGCACATGTACCAGGATTAGGGTTACCAGGATTAGGGTTACCAGGATTAGGGTTACCAGGATTAGGGTTACCAGGATTAGGGTTACCAGGATTAGGGTTACCAGGATTAGGGTTACCAGGATTAGGGTTACCAGGATTAGGAGGATTAGGAGGAGGGAAAGGAAGTATACCATGATGGGAGCCATGAGGAGGCATTACAACACGACCTCTTGCATGTACGCTCGTGACAACGAGCAACGCTGAGAGTGCAATAGATAAAAAGCGAACCATAGTAAATTGAAAGGATGTACTTGAATAAAGTAAGTTGGTATTTGAAGTTGATGAAGAAAATATTTGTCAAAGTCGAGAATCAATGGGCTATTTATAAATGAAAAAGGGCTTGAAACGAAGATACATAAGCTTTCACTTATTACGGAACGTTGGTCGTAACTCAAAGTAGAAAAAAAAAAACCTTCATCAAGGCAGCAGAGAATTTTTTTCATGCTTTGAGAAACGGTCTTCCGATTTCAATATTCGATTGCTTATTTCAATTGAAACGGACCACATTCCACCCTTCGAAGCGTATATCAACGTATCAGTAACGAAATGTTTAAGCAGCAAACATGATGAATAAGACTCTTTATTATGATGGTGTATTGACTATGGATATTTTGAGAGCAAATAAGCGAAAGACGCTCTCCTAGGGTTCCAAGTATTTCCTTATGCCCGCTGGTCTGCGGAAAACATACAAAGACTTGGGTCTAGAAACATATTCAATTTTTGAAATTTAAAAAATGTCATAGCGTTAAGAATGACTTTGTGAACGGCGAATTATCCATCTGAAAGGATTCTGCCTTTCATAATGCACACATCCAAAGAAAAAAGATCCGAATCAGGGCTCACTTTCGTTTTATAAACGGACAATAAATGGGTCAGCAGGCGCCCAAGAGAATGGTATGGCTGCTTCCTTGTACTGATAAGTTATTCGTCATCTCATGCATTTTATTTAAGCCACAATATCCCGCTCCTGTTCATGATATTACTATGCATCTCAACATGGATAGGTTGCAAAAGGTGGCTCGAGAGTAAAGCGAACCTTCATTTTTGGTAAATATTCCTACTTTTCAAATGGTTCAAATAATTTGTCATATACAGCTTCAGCTGTATCAGAAAAAGATATAATACTGCTTCAATAAAGTATTATCCGATATGCTACTGTTCGAATCACGCAGGTATACAAGTTGGATTATCAAGACATTTTTGATTGGCACTTTAATAAAAAAAACCATGGTCATTTCAGTAGTTAGCTGCAATTTAGCTGACCTAATTAAATGCTTGTGTACCTTTTTTATTCGTCTCGAGTTTCGTGCACAGAGAAGCGGCGATGATCTTTAAAGAAGTAGCTCCCATTGGGTACACACTTTTTCAGTAGGAGTTTGATTTTTTCACAGTGCTATAGACGAAAAGAGACTTTTTTACCTTTCCTCCATTGAGGACACATCCTATGTATTCAGTCGTCTTTGAAAAGACTGGATGACTGGACTGGTTGCAGTGTAGTTTGTCGAGGTTCGGTAAAAAGATCTTACCGCATCTGGTACGCATCACCATGGTGGTGATCACTTATTTTGGGTTTTGTCTCCGGGATGAGGGGTTGATATTGGATTCAAAATGGTGATGGAGTTTTATGTAATCAATTGGGATAGACGCAAAATCAAAAAGTAAAAGAACGGTAAGATGACTTTGGACAGAAACTTGTTCATCAACATAAAGTTCGTCAACTGGCTTACCTTCAATTTACTTTTTGCTTTTAAAGTTTGTGCTCTTTATTATTTTTAAACAACCATCGAAAAAATAAAAAAAAAAAAAATCTTCGAATAGTACAAGTTTTCAAAGTAATACAATTTGATGGCTTTTTCAGGACGTTTGTAACCAAAAACCACATGGAATTTGTGTAATGTTCAACAGGTAAAAGGATTTTGATCAACGCGTGAAATGAGGCGAAAAGCCGCCTTATGAATCAATCATCGTTAAAAGCGATACTGCTGTATCTCGAGCACTTTCTCGCACCCTAATTACAATGAAATAGACGCGATTGACGCGAGTTTCAATGGAGCATACAATAGGGAAAAAAAAAAGGTCCTTTGTCACTGGCGATGCTTTTGGGACTATCGGAAAGATATCAACAGCTGAACAGTACAGAAAATCTATTGCATTTCTTTTTGGTCGACACACATTCAACGGGCCGTACTAAATGCATAGAATCCGTATCAAAAGAATAGTATGAAAAACAAAACAACTCCCTCTACGTCATTCGTAATGATAAATCCAATGACCATGTAGATAGCTAAAACAATACGCCTTCATCAAAAAGCAGACACTATTGTATACCTTTTCTGACGGTACGGTTAATTGTTTTGAAGTAATATGAATAAACTCAGGGCGGGTGCCTTTTTTTCTGAGTCCCTTTCTTTTTTTGCCCAGAATTTACCAACCAAAAAATACATGTATTTTACATTTGCAAAAAAGAAAGTAACTATACCATTCCGAGCATTTTTTCATTCATTGAACAATAGTGAACACTACAAAGCGAATTCAAAGATTTTTATAAAAAAAAATTTTTTTTTTCTTCTTTTTTTTTTTTTTTTTTGTAATTCGGCCATTCACGGAAACTTCGGGACACCAACTTATGTTGAGCTTGTTCAAGTATCATGAATTCAATGTTGAATTTTAATAACTTCATGTCGTGTTAAGTGGCTTGACTTTAGAGTTATTTTGCAGCTAAAAATTCATATCTTGCGAATGTGAAAAAAGAATTACATAAGAATTAAACGTTCCTTTTGGAAAATACCATTTTTTAATAAAACAATCGTTTAAAAAAAAAACCATAGAGATTGGTTACACGTAACCCGTCATGGACTAAAAAATGCTGAAGCCTAATTTGATTCATACATTTTGCCCATTGAGTTTCCGAAGATTTAGAATTATATAAAAACCTGGACCTTTTAGTTTTTTACCCCACTTTTTTATACTGACTTGCTACGTTTCAACCTTTTTTTTTTTTTTGTTACTTTTTCCCTTTCTTCAAATTTACAATTTTACAAAAACAATAGAAAAATAAGAGTCTCAAAAGCGTGTATTTCTCTCTTTTGAACTTGTTTGAATATTCATTTGAACCGTCTCCCTATTTTTCTGATATTTTATTTATTGATTGACAACATTTTTTCCTGGTTTTTTTTTTATCTCCAACCCTTTTTTTCATTTTTTTTTGTTTGTAACGTCGAATTCCGGGTTAAACTGAATTTGACATATTTATGATTTAACTATTATAACGTTATTACAACGATTTTCTTTACCTACAAATACAAATCTGTCTGATCATACATTGTCAGTCATCACATCACCTTATCCTTATTTATTGACCTCTTGAAAACATCACTATGATGAATACTTTGTCACCTACTACCTTATTGATCCAAGACCTCATCAGTGCACCAAAGAAGGCCGAGTCTATTTTGGAAACACTCACTGAAGAACAAATTACAATGATCGAAAATACCATCGATCGTGTCAAGCGCAGAAAGCTCAATAAATCTCACTCGATGCCTTCACCTGTGGCTTCTCCGCCTACTTTGTCAAAAGAAGAAGTAGAGGGGGAGACTGACATGATGGTTACTGAAAATTCATCTTCAGCTACCACGACTGCGATCGCTAATGCTTTGGCTGCAGCTATGGTTTCAGCTGCCTTACAGGTACCCGCTGTTTCTGACACCGCCCCCACAATTCCAAACAAAACCACTCAGCAGCAAACCATGGCCCATAGTACAGGAAATATTTCTCCCGCCTCAATCGCCGCTAAAAATAATTCGACCAACAACAACAATAACAACAACAACAACAGCAGCAGCAGCAGCAACTCAACGACAGCAACAATTACCCCGTCTAAAACTGTACATCATAACACTTCAGTCAACGCGTCAGTTTCATCCAATGAACCAACAGCAGAAGTAAAGGACGGCGTTGAATGGGTGTCATTTGTTTATTCTCATAATCGTACACTGAAGCGTTATTCTATTAGAACAGATATTCATACCATCAATGTAGATGAAGTCGATGATAAGTTTAAAACAGAGAATTGTGTAAGTCATCATTTTCTCATTGGTCCCACTGAGATTTGTCGGTGGCTTAAATTTTTTTTTTTTTTTTCGAGGCACTCACTTTTCCTTTTTTTTTTTTTTTTTTTTTTTCCTTAAAAATAGGTCTATCCTCGTGCCAATTTGCCAAAGGAAACGTACAAAGGCAATCGTTGGGCTTATGAAACTGAATGCAATGATTTGGGTTGGAAATTAGCTTTCTTGAACAAAGAAGAAATTGCTGGTAAAAGAGGCTTGATTCAACGTGCTGTAGACTCTTACAGAAATCGCTATCCTAGCATGCGATCAAGACGTGTTGCTCGACAGGAAAAGTTATTGAATGGTACACTACGCAAAAGAAAAAATCGAGACGACGATGACGAATCGACTATCACCACCAATAGCAGCTCTCATCATAGTACCAACAGCAGCAGCCATCACCAGAGTGCTTCCAATATTGCCGCCGCTTTGTTAAACTCAGCGCACCAACCGTTGACTTCCACCTCCTTGGAAGCCGCTACTGTTAAACCAACAAATCATCCCAAGACCATCGCTGTGGAAGACGTCCATTCAAATACACGCTGTCGTATTAAGATCAATGTGGAGGCCGTTTCATTGGACGATATTTCTGAAGAATTTCGTAATCAAAATTGTCCTTTTCCAAGAGCCAGAAATACCGATCCCGACCAATATATGGGAGGCCGTACCCGATGGATGGAGCACACTGTTTGTAACGAACTTTCATGGAAATTGGCCTTCCTCAATCAACGGGTGCTGGCAGGAAAGAAGAATCTGCTTCAAAGAGCGCTGGATGCCTACCGCACCAAATTTATGCCCGCCTTAAAACCACGTAAGCGCTCCTCCAAAATACCACCCACACGCTTCATCACGACACCCACCACGACCATCGATCAGAATGAACTTTTCATGCTTCAACCCTCCACATCTTCCACTGCATCTATAGTATCTACCCCTTTGACCGCCTCTGCGTTAGACGCTCAAAATGCCATCTTTGAAAAGAGAAAACTCTTGAACGACAAAGCAACAGCCTCGCTTGACTTTGGTGATTGCTTCTCGCTGGACGAGGAGGCACAACAACAACAGCAGCAGCAGCAGCAACAGCAGCAGCAGCAACAACAACAGCAATCATCTCATCCGAATGGAACGATAAAGAGCATCAAGCTTAAACTGAACAATAGCCACCCACAACCCAATATGACCAACGAACGGGACCCTATGATCTCTCCTTCTTACGACCCTATGTGCTCTGAAGCCCGCTTCTCTCCCTTCAATGAATCCATTGGTTGCCATACGTCCTCTACCTCAAGTGTGGCCAATACCCCAGAGCCTCCTGTGACAGCCGATCTGTTTGGTTTTACGGACAACGATCTCTATGAATCTTTTATGCTCCCTCCTCTCAGTGACACCTTCATGCTTCTGGATGCTACTACTACCACCAGTACTACTGCAGCAACAACGCCCATAAGTGATGTCCATATGAAAACTTATGATCCAACCACCTCCTCTCCATTGCCTCCATCCGCTGCCGTGTGTCAAGAATTTATCAAGTTGGAAGATGATTTTCATACTGATTTCTCAAGTGCAGCTCACTTGTTAGACCCACTCTTCTAAAAGGAGAACAATAGAAAAAGGGAAAAACCTCGTCTTTCATCATCCACCCACCTTAAACAAACCCTTTCTTGCTGCTTTTTTGTAAATACTTTTTTAATTATCATGTCTCATACCTCATCCTCTTCTTGTTGCCCTTTTTCTTTCTCTACCCATTATAAACAATTAACCCTTGAAAAAAGTACTCTTTATACGACCTATTTAGACTGTATCAAAAAAAGATCTCCCCCCCCACCCTTCTCTTTGATTTTTTACATTTATATATTTCTTTTCGCTGAAAATAGCTTTTTTTTTTAAAAAAAAAAAACCAGAAAAAAAACCGTTTTTTTTCTTTATTGTCAAAAAACAGAAAGAAATTTACCAATTAAAAACTAATAAATACATTTCCACCATCATTTTCGTTTTAAAATGTAAAGATTTCTAAGGCTCATATCCACCTTACGAATTCGTAGAGCAAGAGAAACTATTCAAACCCCACTAGCTCGTTTTTCTTTTTCACCCTACAAAAATAATTTTTACAAATTTCGTTTATTTTTTTTATTTTTTTTTTTTTTTTTAACTTTAAAGGCATATCATATCTCTATCTTTTTTTATTTTTATTTTTATTTTTGTCTATAGTTGTTTTATAATTATTATTCAAAATGTCCTACGGTTGGAACAGAGATGCAAATGGTACCTTTTCTCTCATTTTTGCTCTTAATACAATAGCAAGGATGTATGTGAATTCCTCATTGGTAACTGACATTTTCTTTTATATGACTAGGCCCTCCACAGCAATCAGCAGCTGATCTTGCTAATTCCTTTTTGAATTCTGTTGGACAAGAACTTAAAACCGAAGATATCCCTTTTAAACAGGAAGAGACCCCTTATGGTCATGGGGGACATGGTAAACATACAATTGAATAGACATCTCCCCCCCCCACACACACACACTTATTCGGCATGCGTTTTCCATTTTCCTCATTCATTAGGCCGCTATGACCATGATGTAAGCTACCACGGTGGTGTTGATCAATACCGTAGAAGAGAAAGTAGCAGAGACAGACACCATAGCAGTAGAGACAGACGCCACGGCAGCCGAGATCGTTATCGTGACAGATCGCGTGATAGAGAGAGTCGACGTAGAAGATCAAGAGACAGACGCGATCGCTCTTCTCGTGAGCGCCATCATCGCAGCAGTAGGGACGAATATCGTAGCAGTCGACGCAGCAGAAGAAGTCCAAGCCCTCCTCGTCGTTCCAGCAGAAGACCTAGTTTATCTCGTCATCGCGGCGACGATGAGAATGTGATTCCTTTAAGCAAAAGACCTCGAAAGCTGAACAATTGGGATATGGCGCCTGCTGGTATGGAGAACATGACGGCAGAACAAGTGAAACAAACCGGTTTGTTCCCATTACCTGGTCAGGTCGTCGGCACCCGTACACCTCAATCCTTCCAGCCACCACCCTCCGATGGCTCGCACGATCACCGTCGTAGCAACTCTCACGGTGGTACCACGGCTGGCGGTCTCGGCGGTGTGGCAGCCATTAATAATACGATAGCACGACAGGCCAAGCGTCTCTATGTGGGACAGATTCCTTTCGGTATCGACGAAAAGTCGATGGCTGATTTCTTCAACACAACCATGCAACAAGTCGGCTTAGCAGATACCACACCGATACAGTCTGTCCAAATCAACCATGACAAAAATTACGCTTTTGTAGAATTCCATTCCCCAGAACAGGCCACCTCTGCCATGGCCTTTGATGGCATCATGTTCCAAGGCCAACAACTCAAAATTCGTAGACCCAAGGACTATCAGCCTCCAGCCGGCGGTGAACAAGAGCCCGTCCATTTGCCGGGCTTGGTGTCCACCAACGTTCCCGATACACCCAACAAAATCTTCATTGGTGGTCTCCCGGTTTATTTGAACGACGATCAGGTAGTAGAGTTGTTGAAGGCCTTCGGTGAATTGCGTGCCTTCAATTTAGTAAAGGACCCCGTGACAGGCGCCAATAAGGGCTTTGCTTTCTGTGAATACGCCGATCCTTCGGTTACCGATTTGGCTTGCCAAGGTTTGAATAATATGGAACTGGGCGATCGCAAGCTCGTTGTCCAACGTGCCAGTGTGGGTGCTAAAGGTCATAACAACAACAACAACACCAACGACAATTATCAAGCAACTACTTCAGCGGATTTCCTGGCCATTAACAGTGCTAAAGAAGAAGAAGCTACACGTGTATTACAATTAATGAACATGATTACACCAGAGGAACTAGAGGATGATGATGAATATAAAGGTAATACTTTACGCCATACGCACTTGCGCAAATAGCCCCCCCCCAAAAAAAAAAAAGAGAAACAAACCCAAGAAGATATTCATCTTTGTCTTTTTTTTTTTGTTTCCCTCTAATATTAGACATTTGGGAAGATGTTGCAGAGGAATGCTCTAAATTCGGTACAATTGTGGATATGAAGATACCTAGACCTCAAAAGGGCGTGAATGTCCCTGGGTTAGGTTTGGTAAGTTTTTTGTTCTTGGGCGAATTGGATACCCTTTTAGTGTAACTGAGTGTTCTCTACAAATTTCTGACCCTCCTTGATAATTACTTTAACTAGATTTTCATAAGATACGAAGACCCACAACAAACTCTAGCCGCTTTACAAGCACTTGCAGGTCGTAAATTCGCTGACAGAACTGTTGTTGCAACCTTTATTGATGAAGACAACTATTTAAGTGATAACTTCTAATTACGCCCTTACTCTTATAAAAAACTTATCAATAGCAAAAAAAAAAAAAAAGAAAAAAGAAAGAAAGAAGGCAGCCTTTTTTTTCCTTTTTTTCCCTTTATATTTATAAACGTGTCATAGTCCCAGAGTGTCCTATCTATCTCTGCTTTTTGTCTTTTACTCTGGCTACCTTTATCATCCGTTGACCTGTTTTTGATCATGGAGGCTTCTTGGTTTTTGGGTACAGAGATCAGTCATGTTCATAATGCTTTCTACCTGCAAATAATGAAAACTATACCGTGATCGTTACGGCGATGTATTTGAAAAATACCATTGCTTGCTTCTGCAAAATACCGTGGCATTGACCATGAACAGCGGCTGTGTTTGCGAACATGTTTTTCGAGGCATTGACTTCACGCTACCATAACCTTCCACAGCTTTAGCACGCGAGAACGCTTTCAACCTAATGTATGCTTCTGTAAAAGACGTTTCGTTACATAAATGGCATGTCTGTATTTACAGAATAATTAGGTACGTTACAAAACACAATTGAATCTCGATTTATTATTACCATTGACATGCTAAATTCAACATTTATTACAAAAAGGTTACCGCATATTTGTCTCTGTTTACGCTGCCAATGAAGAATACCGTTGCTTCCATAATTGATTTTCCAACATTATAATCTTCAGAAAGCACGCCTGAAATAGTAATATATGACAGAGAGGTCAATTTTTTGCGTCCACAGTATAAATGTTATTTACTGTACGGTACATGTAGCACGTCTGTCCCTGAATCATTGACAGTAATAGCAGCAGCTTCTAACCAAACGCGTGCAACCCAGAAATACAATAGCTTCGAACGATAGATTCTAAGCTTTGCCAACACACATTCTAAAGTTAGTAGCCAATAGCCTTTATCTTTATCCATTGGACATGCTAGCTTTACTGCTCTCACAAAGTTAAGGCTCTTTCATCAAAAATGTAAATATCATAAAAGTGTCCCTCGAATCTCAAAAGAAATCTTAACTCATCTCAAAGAAAAGTGAAAAACGAAGAAAAGTGAAAAACGTCCAGAAAAAGAAGCATGGAAATCTAGCTTCCAATCAAGCGCTTGCCTTATTTTGATAGGGTCTTTGACACCTGGGGACTCCGCTCGGAAGTACAACAAATTTGCACATATCAAATGGGAAGAGAAGGTTCTTTTTATAGAAAAAGCGTCCCATAAAAAATTGATAAAGATGTTCTATGTCTACAATTCTATCAGTAGTAGGCAAAATTCTGTAGAATGCAATGGTTATGGTAGAACATATAATTCGTATGATTGAGGATTGAGAACAGACGAATCAATCGAATAATGGATCAAAAAAGGGACTCTGAACAAATTTGGAAAGTAGGGGTCCCCTTTATATGCCTTTTCTTTAGGGGAGTTGGAAAGCTTTTTTTTTTTTTTTTCCTTTTGAATTTGATATAAAATCAAGCGTGAACCCTTGCTTAGTCTTTCATCGTTCTCTCTTTCTTTTCATTATCTACTTATGTTTCATAAAACCCTTATACCTGCTGTAGCTAAGCTTTACAGCACACGCTCACTGACTACACTAACAAGAAATACACTTTTAAAGACCAATCTTTGTAAGTATAGGTTGTGCAGGGGTTGTTCCAATTTCAGGAACCATGATACTCATCGGAAAAAATTTAAATTTTTCATAAAAGCTCGATCGATCTCTTTCAGTGGACAACCGATCTTACCCCAGATCCTCAAGCAAAGCAAACCGGCATCTTACGCTTTATTCCATACTCAATCTGTAAACTACAATAGAGTTGCTGAACTATTGAAAAAGGAAGAAAATGAAGACGAAAGCTTCCAATTTGATAAGTTGGATGATACCAAAATAGAGCCAGTTAAAGCCAGATTTGATTCTGTCACCTCTCTCAACCCCAGAACTAAGAAAGCCCTCGAAAGAGTGTTCAGATATCAGGAAATGTCACCAGTGCAAGAAGCCGTGCTTACTCAACTGCCCGATTCATCCGATATGTTTGTCAAAGCCAAAACCGGCACGGGTAAAACACTAGCATTTTTAATTGCAGCTTTGGAAACGTCTACAGCAGGATTTGACGAAGCAGCTTATAAGCAGTTCAAAGGGTGCTCCATTCTCGTTATCTCCCCTACTCGCGAATTAGCGAATCAAATTGCTGACGAAGCCGAGAAGTTGACAAAATTCTATCCTTTCAAGGTGCATTGCTTAGTAGGAGGTGAATCTAAACCACGTCAGATTCGTAACTTGGACAGGTATCGCGGCGATATCATCGTCGGCACCCCTGGTCGTTTGAATGATATGTTAAAGTCAGTAAAGCACTTTAAAAAAATGTGTGAAAATTTGAAGGTTTTGGTTTTGGACGAAGCAGATCAGTTGTTGGATATGGGTTTCAAAGCTGAATTGCAAAGCATTCTTTCGGAAATCCCTGAAGACCGCCAAACAATGCTCTATTCAGCCACTTTGTCGAAGGATATAAAAAAGAACTTGGGTCAATTTGCTCTCAAAAGAGACTACAAGTTGATTGACACCGTCGGCGAAGAAGAAGTGCACACCAACATGAAGACGAAACAAACAGCTATCGTTGCTCCTTATACCGACCATGTCACTATCGTCCGTGATATCTTGGAAAAACATGAAGCAGCTCACAAAGGTAAAGTCATTGTCTTCTTACCTACTACCAAATCAACCATGGCATATGCGACCATTTTCAAGAATTTGATGAGAGAGCGTCGAATCCATGAACTCCATTCTCGAAAGTCGCAGCAACAACGAACAAAGATTTCTGATCGATTCCGAAGTGACAGAGGCAATAGTGTGCTCTTTACCTCGGATGTGTCCGCTCGAGGTGTCGATTACCCTGGTGTCTCACTTGTCCTTCAAATTGGTGTACCTTCTTCTCGCGAGCAATATATTCATCGTCTCGGCCGTACTGGCCGTGCTGGTCGCGAAGGCGAAGGCATCATTCTTTTGGCTCCTTTCGAAAATCAATTCTTGACAAACGAAGTCTCTGATCTACCTGTTCAAAAGCTTCCAGCACCGCAATTCCCTGAAGAGGTGGTGCAAGAGAACAATGAAAAGGCTGTCGCTTCCCTACAGTACGTGGATCCTGATTTGATCAACGAAACATATACTGCCTATCTTGGTTATTGTAAGTAAATCACTTCTTTTTACACCTTCAGTCAAGGATTAGGATTTCGGAATATGAGAAAAAAAAAAAAAAAAAAGAAAGAAGAAACTGACTGTATCATCCTGATTCGCTATAGATTCTGGTAGAATGAATATGCTCGGAAAGCCTAGAGATGATGCAATTGATCAAGCCAATAATTTCTTACAAGGACTAGGTGTGAAGGAACTACCTCAATTAAGTACATCATTTTTGAAGAAAATTGGTTTCGGATTGAAGGGAGGAGAGGATAGAAACGAGCGTCGTTTCGGTAGAAGGGAATACGGTGGTAGAGATAATTTCAGAGGTAGACAAGACAATTATGATAACGATAGAAGAAGATACAACCGTAGCAGTGATAGCAGTAAGAGATGGGACAACAACCGTAGCAGCTTCGGTCGTTTTAACAATAATGATAATGATGACGGCAATAGCAATAAGACATGGAACAGCAACCGTAGTAGCTTTAACCGCTTTAAAAATAATGATAATGATGACGACAACAGCAATAAGGCATGGAGCAGTAACCGTAGTAGCTTCAGCCGTTTCAATGATGATGACGATGATACCAAACACAGCTCTAAAAAGTTCGACTTCAATGGCTTTGGTCATCGTTCGGACAAAGATTTCAACAGAAAAACAAGTAAAAACGGAAACCGTTGGGAAGGTCGTGGCAAATCAAGAAGATTTTAGTAGACTTCCTCTACTTCCCGTCTTCTATTCTGTATAATTCATATTAGTGTTCTATCTTGTAAATTATTTACCTCTTTATGTTCATACTGTGTTTATATAATATATCATTGATACTCTATTAAGTTTTTATTCATCTCTTAATGCTTCATTTATATTAAAAAAGAGTTCTCGCAAGTATTTATCATGTATTCAAGGATATTTATTGAATTTTATCAATTCGTAAGAGAAATGTATCATTATAATAAAAAATAAGACGACGAAAAATATAGAGAGTAAGATAAAAATAAAAAATAAAAGGAATCCAATGCTTTTTTGATATTTCTATAGAGAAAGAAGCTTAGTTTATCTTCTTTGATGTGATTGGGGGTAGGCCATTGTTGCATTGTTCGACATTGGTATGCACTGCTGTTGTTGAGGCGGTGCATGTGGTGGTGGCTGCTGCATTTGTGAAGGATGGGGTATTAATTGTTGAGAAAAAAGTGGTGGAGCCTTTTGCATGAGGTGGAGCTGCTGCTGTTCCAACATACTCAACAGAGGAGGTTCGTTTTGATTGCTATTTGGAGCGTTAGCATCACTAGCCTTTTCAGCTGGAAATGGAGTTACTCTTAACAAACGCCAATTCTCCTTCGGATACGTTGGTGTAATGTTGGCATAGGGTGGGAAACCTTCGGCTTTTTCTGTTGTTGGGAAGGAGAATATTTTATGAGGAGGTAAGGTACCGCGGTAGGCAGCTTCGAACACTGGTAAACGTTTCATCGCTTCCTCTAAAATTGCAGCATCTGTAATTACATTGGGTGGTAAAGTTTGTAGTATTTTTAAAATGTTTTCTTTCAAGCTCTTTGCTATTTTAGAGCGAATGTTAGCAGCGGTACAGCCATGCTATTTTCCCATTCATTGTACTTTATTACCTGCGTCGAATTCCTTCTCATCCACCAAGGCCCACTTTGACTCATCCTTGCTGAATCGTGACTTCTGAAAATCGAGCAGTTTCTCAAAAAGCTTGCTGTTCTTTTCCAATTCTTCCATGACCTTATCTGCTTGAATTTCCAATGCGTTGTTCATCAGTTGTATATCTAGCCCCTGCTCTTTAAGCCACGCTGCATTGAGCTCCTCTTCGTTAGTTTCCATATCCTCTACTGTTGTCTTGGAGCTTTCAGAACTCTTCTCCTTCTTTAATCGTTTAGCAGCACGTCCCATATATGTATTCTCATACGTTGTATTTGCGCTTCTTGAATCAGAAGCAGGAGCAAAGCTGCTAAAAGCACCAAAGTCTAGCCATTGCACTATGAGGATTGTATTTGAGCGTTCCTGCTGCACCTTACAGATATACAAATATACAAAAAAAAGTTTCCACTCGTCAAACCTACCTGGTACAATAGGCTTGCTTCCGTGATCTATAACCTTGGGATGATATTTAGGGGCTGGTGCAACTACATCTTTCAATTTGGGCACTTGATCATTGGCGGTTGGCTGAGCGGGGTGCACTATCAACTCATGAACGTTGCTCACTGTACATAAATCGATAAAGAGGAAAAGAACAAATTGGTTAAGGCTGTAAACCGTCTACGTACAATTCAAATACCACATACTATAATTAATCTTTGGCCCAGCTGAATTGTCCTTTATAAGTAAATCACTGAATGCATATCCGTCTGTTGTTGGTCTAAATAATGATACGAAATCTACGGCATTTTCTGTTTCTTTTAATTCTTCATTCGCTCTCGACGCTTCTAAAGATAGGCTTTTATTGATGTATGCATACAGATCCTTGAATGCATATAGTTCTTCCCGAGACTGATTGAAAAGAGGTGCGATGGACGAAATAAGTATGTCAAGATCTAACTATTTAGACGAAAGTTATGTAACGTTAACGAAGAGTACCAGCAATAGCGCTCAGAAAATCGCTTCCAGGATAAAAAAGTACCTTCAAGCTGTTAAAGTCTTTGTATTTTCCTTTGTAAACACGATCAATAACGTATTCAATTGTAGTTTTTTCCACATTAGGTGCTTTACTCCACAAGAGATGCTTTTTGTCGAATCTATATATATATATATATGTATGATTTTTTTTAAATGGTCAAACAAGAAAGAAGAATCATTAGAAAAGGCGTCTTGGAAAATCAATTAATAAAGCTCGCTTGTATCGCTAGATGTACTTTATAATAGTGTCTATGAATTCGACCATAATTGACTGTTTCTTTGCGAGATCTGTGGGTCTTTCACGTCGTTTTCGAGACTGAAATGCTTTTCTTCGTACTTCCTTTGGCGACTCAACAGCAGATGAAGTACTAGAATCTAGATCGGTGGTTGCTGCTTTACCAGTGGCAGTTGCAAATCTTGTTGTTGGCATATTCTATATGTATTGTCCAAGGAATACCGAAAAGAATGTTGGCAATGATATTTTTCGATTTACCTTTCAATACGTGCCACTGCTGCTATTGTTGCCCACTCTATTTTTTTTCAGCTGAAATGTTTCTGGCTCCCAAATTTTTGGAAAGTTATGATTCGCTGGTAATCAGTTACCTAAAAAAAAAAGAGACCTCAAATCAAAAACAGGCATTTTTTTTTTTTTCTGTAGCATGGATTACTTGCTTCATACAGATGACAGATCAAGTAGATGAGGACGGCTTTACAAAGGTCACGCACTTTAAATACAAAGCTGTAGCAAATAACAGAAAAAAAAATAGAAAAAATAAATACTCCTTCAAGGATCCTGATGAGTGGAAATTAGAAGATCTGAACAGAACGTTAGACCAAAGAAAGTAAGATCTAAAAAAAAAGGAATAAGCTGGTTCTTGACTTACACTTTGCTTTAACCGATAGGGAAACACTTGTAGACAGCCGTTTTTTCAAGGACCTATCAGGTTAGATAAAAAAAACCGATATCGCCGAGTCAAACACAAGCATTTGTTCTAAATGAATCCTTCTAGTTATATTTGAAGAAAGTTTGTTATACACAAAGCCGCACGATATTGTCTGTTACGGTATTGGATCCATGCATAAATCAAAGAATGCACAATATCAGTTTGTTTTGGCATTGATAATTAGGGAAATTTTGAAGGTAAGTTATCTTCTCACTACTGATAAGTACATAGCTCTCACCATTGTATGCATTTTATAGATTTCAGGCACCATGTATATTTTTGATCCAGTCATGACTGATTTAGACAAAGAATTATGTGCATCACACAATATAAAACTGATAACAGAAAACGAAGATGGCAAAAGAGTGATTGACAGGCCGACTCTATTCTACATGCCTCATTGTGGAAGAGGGTTGTACAGTAACACTTTGAGTGCAAACTGGAGTAGAGATCGACTACCGCTCGTGACAATCATTGGCAATAAATTTGACATGTATGTTGGAAGGTATGTACTTTAATGATGACTTGCTCTTTCAGCAAAACCAGACTTCTAACCGTTAGCACCTTACTTTATGATAGTCAACTGCAAAAAGATCTCATTCGAGAATGCCCTTATCTAATTACCGCTGTAGATATTGTAAACTGTATAGCTTTTCCAAAAGAATTCGACAATAACCAAATTTTTAATGATATTTCCATACAAACTTTCCCAACCGAAACTGTAGATAAACTAGATGATGATTTTTGGTCTAATGTACCAACACTAGAATAATCTAACATAATAATGCATCTTTTTTCTTTTTATCAATGTATTAAATGGTTGCTTTATTAGAAAGATATATAGTCACAGCGTTTACATGGAAATATCCATAGAATCGCCTTCAGAGACTGTAACAAAGCGTTCAATCGACTCCTTCAATACAGCTGTAGTACCTTTGGGGAAAACGTAACTTTGTTCTTTGACTCCACGTTCATTGGGACGAGCATAATTACGAAGATATTCTGTATTATCCTTTGTAATGACACAAACATCCACATTCGAACCTGATCCAAGATCGTTGAAAATACCTGCTTCGATAGCTTCTTTGACAATTTCAATTGCTTCTTCACGCTAATCGTTCCACATAATGATTGAAATTCAGTATGTGCATATAACATATCATTATTTGTTTATGGCTCTATTCATCCCATTCTACTTACAGTCATGTTTGGTTTCCATTTACTTTCGAACACACTCATTGCTGCTAATGAACCTGAACCCATAGTGACGTATGGTAGCTTATCAGTGCTACCATGAGGGTAGACTGTGTATAATTGAGGACCACTAACATCGAAACCACCTAATACAAGGGCTGCACCAATATGACCTTGGTATCTATACATGTATATATAGAGAAGTAATGTCTTGATGATTAAAAAAGGGCTAAATCCATTAAACTCGTCATTGCCAATTGATTTACCTGAATAGCATTTGCTTCAACATTGTCATAGCTGTAACCACACGTGGCTTTCTACCAGTTGATAAAGCATGTAATTCGATTTGAGAGCTGATCAAGTTGGTTGTGAATTCAGTGTCTGCAGCTGTACCAGCACCACAACAATAGCTATACGTAGACAATAGATGGCAAGAATTAGTTAGTTGAGCTTCTTAAGGTCAGTCGCAGATTACACTTTAGACCTACATGTTGGGGGCAATGTAATGAATCTTTTCACAATTTTTATCTGCCACAATAGGTCCTTCTGTTGCTCTTGTATCGGCACCTAGACAAACACCACCCTGAAAACATAATATGAAGAATTGATTAGATCAGATAGCAAGGTTGTTTAAAGTTCAAAATGCTTACATCGAAGATGATACCAACAATAGTGGTACCTGTACTTGTTGCTTTGGGAGGTTTAGCACCTTTAGCTTCAAGTGCTTTATTTCTGTCACCCATTCAAAAATAATACGCTTAAGCATTTTTTATTCAGACTTTATAACTCTCATATCTAAAATATACTGACCTAGCATAGTTATCAAAGTTAAAGCCTCCCTTCGGTAAAGACATTCCAGTAGTCATTTTCGCAATAATTGTTATGTCCGTGAAAGAAAAACTCAATCAAATTTTAGAAGGCAGTGCTTTAGTTGGTCAAGCAAAAAGTAGAGACGCGTCATGGAAATTCCCCTCAATGGCGGCATGTCACATTTAAGGTTCCGCTTTCGATTTAGGCATAATAAATAGACTTTTTTATTTTTTTACAAGCTTTTTTGAGCACCTGCAACAGCTAGTTTATCTGCCATTTCATTGCCTTCAATACCTTGGTGTCCTCGAACATGGACAAATTTTACCTTACCCTTCCTTTTTTCTACTAACTTTATAATTTGCTCCAGTAAATCTCGATTTTGCACTTCTTTACCAGTGGATGATTTCCAATTATTCTTAACCCAGTTTTTACACCACTCTGTCACAGCCTTTATCACATACATAGAGTCTGTTCTAATTTCTAAAGTATTTGTTCCTTGTATATCTTGCTGCAATGCATGAATAACTGCTGCTGCTTCAGCTCTTTGATTAGTTTGACGTTTATCCCTTAGTCGAACACTAGCATTTCGAGGATCATTTTCACCCCAATAAACGCCATACCCTGCTCGGGCGTTACCTTGTCCATTAGACGAGGAGGCGCCATCTGTATAGACTATTGTTATCTCCTCTAATGTTTTTGCTGGGTGTTTTGATTTATGGCCATCATCATCACTTATTATCTCGCCTTCAACTTCCTCATGTAATCGTTTTTTACCCAGTAATTCATATGTGGAATTGATAGTTGTTGTTTTCGGTTTTTCAGTAGGTGAACGCTTGACCGGCTCAAGTTTTCTTTCTTCATATAGAAGAGATGAGGTGCTCAGTGGTTCAGGTTTTATGATAGGTACTGCATGTCCTTGATTGACAAAGTTGATAGCTTCTCGCCGGTCTGTAAATTTTTTGTATATTGCGTTACGAAAGCCTTTGACATTTTCTTCGCATTCACGCCATGTGTCATAAATTCCTGGTTTACGTCCTTTATTCACAGCGTAATATGCACGGTGGCTCATCGCTATTCTCAATGAAATCTTCTGGATCGTTCTGAAAATGGTGGTTAAAGACACTGATCTGTGAGATTATAATTTTACAAAAGCTTCCACTAAACAAGCAAAATTAAATAATACGAAGCGGGCCTTCAAGTTTTTTTTGGTTTTTTTTTTTTTTTTTTTGTTCCCCTGATAACTTCTAGCAGCAACAACCTAAAAGGCACCATCGCAAGGTTAAAAGAACAAAGAACGATAAACGTCGTCCTTCCATCATAGGGCAATAATTAGATTTGGTATCAACAAATGAGATTCGGTAATATTAGTGTCATTTGTCTATTACAGTATTTTTTGAGAATAGGCTGATATACGAGAACAGAATCTAATCTGGTTGGGCTATCTGCCCTAAGGAAACTGTTACAAACCTGTCTGTGATGTAACATTTAAGAAAAACAGATTTCCTTCCAATTTAAGATTTTTTCTTTCTGATTTCTCTTCTATTTGCTCTCATTTTCCTTCATCCTAGCATGCCTAGTTTTATGCCCCCACAGGATAAGATCAAGACTCGGTATCATTATCTAAGAGTGAAGAAGTATTTGGACCTACCTCCTAAATCAAACACGGTCATTTATCATCGCGGTGGAGTCACACATAGAAGAGACGATACAGACGTTGAGCTGGACTTTCGACAAGAAAGTAACTTTTTCTATTTAACTGGTGTTGAGTCTGCTGGTTACCATGTCATCTTCCAATTTTCGACAGATACGATCTATCTCGTCCGCCCAACTGTTCCGCTTGAAGAACAATTATGGAAAGGCATACCTCCTACTGATCAGCAATTACTTGAAAAATATGATGTTGATATAGTACTTACTGAAAACGAAATGAATGCGAAATTACAAGAAATCAATCCAGATATCATTTTAACTATGGATTCAACCAATGTGGCTGCCTTGCCCCCTACAATCCTCCCAAAAATAGATGCCAGTTTGTTAGGCCCAGCTATACACGAAGCCAGACTCATCAAATTTCCATGGGAAAAAGATTTACTTCGATATACAGCTCATATATCTTCCCATGCACATATATCTCTTATGTCAGCGGTAGGAAGACGAGGGTCTAGACATGGTCGACCTTTTCTAATGAACGAATCCGAGTTGGAAGCAGAGTTCCGATACGTGTGTGCTAAGAGTGGACTTAATCGACAATGCTATATCCCTATCATAGCTTCGGGAGAGCGTGCTTCCGTTTTACATTACACCGACAATAATAAATGGATACCCAGTGATAACAGGCATGCCCTGATTTTGGTGGATGCAGGTGGAGAGCTTACATGCTACGGAAGTGATATAACACGAACATTTCCTGTCACAGGTAAATTCTCTTCCGAAGCCAGAACTATATATAACATTGTTTTAAAAGCACAAAAAGTAAGTTATAGATGGAGAGGCAATGTTTCTCATTATACAGAACACTAACGTACCTTTGAAAAATTGGTAACATAGGCTGTACTGGACCAAGTAAGACCAGGTGTCTTTTGGAGAGATATGCATACTCTTGTAGTCAAAATTTTGACTCAAGAGCTCATCAACATTGGTATTTTGGTTGGTGACGCTGAAGAAATAATACAATTAGGGATTTACAGAGCGTTCTATTTCCACGGTACTTTATCTGTTAAGAAGAGCAAATATTTAAGCCTTGTATAGCTGATATCATCAGCATTTAAAATATTCAGGAACAGGTCATTCAATTGGATTAGACTGTCATGACGTTGGAGGGTAAGTTACATTTGAAACTTATAATCGAGGCATAAGTGATTCATGATAAAGAAAAAAAAAAAAAAAAACCATCGCAGGACGGATATTGGAATACTTTCAGCAATGAAAACCAGAAAAGGTTATCCTTTAGAGTTATTCACTCGTCCATTGCAGGCAAATATGGTCATAACAGTTGAGCCAGGTCTCTATTTCAACGATGTTAGTATTGACATGTGGACAGCCGCAAGCTCACCCTATAAAAAGTACTTTGGAACAGAAAAGATCGAGAAATATAGAAAGGTTGGAGGAGTACGCATTGAAGATACGATACTGATTACAGAAATTGGGATTGAGAACTTGACCATAGCTCCCAAAGAAGTGAACGATATCGAGGCCATCATGGGTTTTTAGAGTCATTTAACATGAACAGCATGAATCAGGCTAGCAGAGCACGATTTTGAGTCGCCGATTTGTGATTTAGACATCCTTGTCCCCCTGTTAGCGCCTTCCCCCATCTTTTTATTGACAGTTGTCAAAAACGCTGATTTTATCATCTACTGTACTTTGATACCACTTCTACTATACATTAACAAAAATCATGTCCTCAAGATTGCTACGATCACTCGTTTTAAGGCAAACTTTTATGAGAACATCTCCTATCATTTATAGGCCAGCAACTACTGCCCAGCCATCATGGCAACAACCCGTTTTAAACATAGCCATCCGATTTTATGCGAAAAAAATTAAAGACAATAAAAAGAGAAATGAATCTAAAACTGCTGCAAAAGAGGAAATAGAGGAGTATGTCCCACAGTTCAACGAGAATGAATTGACAAAGAGATTCGAAGCGTCCATTGCACATTTAAGAGATCAGCTGGTTACTATGCGAGTAGGAAGAGCTAATCCTGGTAAAATTGCACCGCTTACAGAAAGTAACACCAGTAGTTTTGCTTGAACGGGTTTAACCTGACATAAAATTTAGCTTTGTTGGACAATGTTCGAGTGCGAATAGAAAATTCACAGTTTTCACTAAGGGATCTGGCTCAGATTACTGTGCGAGATCCTCAAACTTTGTTGGTTACAGTGCACGACAACGATGTAGGTATTATACGGAAAGCAAACCGTTTTTTTCAATACGTTTGAATCAATCCATCAGCACAATTAAGAAATACGCCGTTTTTTTTTGGTTTTTTGGTTTTTTTTTTTCCTTATAAAAGTATACATCAGCTGTAGAAAAAAGTATTCGTGAGGCGGGATTAAATTTGAACCCTATCGTAGACAACAAGATGATCAAAGTTCCTATCCCAAAGTATGCTTTGAGAGAATTGTGTATCAAGCATGTAAATATTTAGCAAGATACCCAAGTGCTCATTTTATACTGTGCCTTATTTTAGACCAACCAAAGAATCGCGTGATAAAATGGCCAAGTTAGTAAGCAATATGGGTGAGCAATTCAAGCTGAAGGTGAGAGCAATTCGACAAGACGGTATGAAGCATCTGAAGCAGGATTTGAAGCATCAACCAGCGGATCAAATCAAAAAATTAGAAAAGACTGTAAGTTCTAGCGAGTGGATAAGAAAAAAAAAAAAAAAGGCAAAGGTTTTTAACCATCCATTCTGCAACGTTTTCAGGTACAAAATATGACAGATAAATACAACAAAACAATAGATGATATACTCAAATCTAAGATCAAAGAAATTCAGTCCTAGAGAAGAACACAGACATATTTCAAAGATATTACTATGTATAATAAATCAGAATTGGAATGTCACTGATTCAAAGTGGACCTAGAATGGCATTTTGAAGATAACTTTTCTTTGAGCGACATTTGTAGTTAAATCAAGCAGTTGAATTTTTATCCTCCAATTCAATTTATTGGATAGAAAAATAAAAAAAGAAAGTCTTTCGAGCGTTGTCACAAGTCTGTTTGACAAAAGCCGTAGTTTTTGGTTCGACCGAGGAAAATCCAAAAAATGAACCCCCCCCACCCACCCAAAATTTCCCATTTGAAGTGAGCGCTTTATGACTATGTATATACAATTGTCACTGATGGTCTTGGTACAGTGAAAGGCGAGATTCAGTCATGATTATCTAAGAAATCTGGGTGATAATACTATTATGAATGAATCTCTAGATAAAGATTGATTGCTGTACATAGTAAATAGATAAGAATCGAACCGTAGCCAAAACCTCTGGACATTTTGAATCCATTCAAAGGCACTAAAACAAGAAAAGAAATGAGAACGACCAGTAGGCCAATACTTGAAACCACAATACTTTTCGAAACATCAATTGCATATGGCTCATTTCTTTGCGAAGTTACATACGTCGCACCTATGCCAACACCAAGCATGATATCTGGAAGGGAAGAAGAAGAAGAATGAGACCTTTTTGTTTCTTCATATTACTTATTTCCAATTCTACAAACTCACTCAACATAGGACCACCAAAACAAGCACTCATGGCCATTAAGGGGTATCCCATCTTCGCCATGGTTACATTAGCCACAAAATCACCCAAGCTATTACCCTATGCATTCCCCGTAACCATGTAATGATCAGCATTAGAATCATGCTTTTATCTATTACAGAGTGACTTACCAGAGCAAAAATCGTTAGGCCAAGGATCGCTTCACTGATACCAACAGCCATCCCAATTGCCTGCAATACGCTCACCACTTCATTGGCTATTAAGAATATCCAAACCATAGCCATCATAAACCCAATGAAACACATCATCCAATACAACCTGGGCTGCGTCCATTGCCTAGTCGTCAACCAGAAGAGAGACGATAAGACTGCGCCAAGGAGAAGGGCAAGAGGGTACCCTTTAGAAGCCGAAATTATATCTTGTGTTACAAGAACAATGGATATCAAAATAGGTGCTCCTACTAATTGCAAAGCAGTGAGCCATTTGACCCAACCGCCATTTTCCGTATCCAAGCCTTCCTCCCCACCCAACATGTCGTTATCGTCTTGATCACTCTCATCGTAGCCTCTGAGCAAGTCATCTGTTTGTTCGTTCAACTCGAGATGGGGTGTTTTCAGCATATTTTCGCGGACGACAGGCAATGTGATGGTCAGAAGAAAGGTGACTGGTGCTGAAAAGATGGAGCTGATTTTGCTGAAAATAGATTTCTGCCGTAACCTTATCAATGAAGGGAACAAACGCGTGCTGATTTCTCTTCTACAATAAGGATCCGAGGCTAAGCTCCTCAGTCTAAGCATCACTTGCTTAAGAAAGGTTGGAGCTTGACTTGAAGAGGCTGAGAAAATAACAGGATGCGTGCTTTCCGTGGTATGCAAAGATACATCATCTGTATAATGCTCGTAATGAGCAAGTCGTTGATTGCCACGGTGTTCAGAGTGCTCCTCCTGTTGACGTGGACTCAGAGCATTATACCTCAGACTATTACTCTTTAATGACTGAACAACATCCTGAAACTGCCATTCCAGTAGAGATGAGTTGCGCTGTCATCCCATCAACAATTTTACCAAAGACAAAAAGGGGTTACCTCTATTGCAGAAAACAAGGAAGAGCGAATTCGTAATCTTGGATGCAATTTTCTCCTGGGGTGCGATATATCCTGATAACCTTCCATCTCAAACCCTTCATCATAGAGCTGCATTTCATCATTTTCAGCTTCGTTTCCTGCTATAGAACAGTGCTGGTAATATTAGATGGATTTTTTTTTTTTATTTACTTTTCATTGGTTTTCTCACTGTACCCATAAACATATTCCCTCTTAACAATATATCCACATCCGTTCCATTTTCTTCATATTCCATTCTGGCCCTTTCTACTAGATTCAAGTAGTTTGATCGCTTCTTCATGATATAGTTTCCAACCACCACTACCAAAACGTACGCTATATAGAACAAAATCAAAAGGATGGCTTCATGCAGATAGATAAACCCATCTGCCACTATCGTCATCACCAATAGGATGGCTAGAGTGAAAAAGGAGACATCACGAATAAAGCTGAACTTTTTTGCTCTGAAGGGCTTGATAGCACACATAAATCTAAATGAGAGCAAAAAGAATATAGTTTAGCTTTGTTGCAAAAGATAACCTTCGGTCTGTAGTTAGCATCTTTTTTACGAACCCTGCAACGACACTAACAATAAATGATGCCGCGCCTATTAGTTCGCCTAGAGCGAGAGAACCGAGGTTTGATTGCATAGCACTGAAAGTAGAAAATAGATCAGGGCTTCCATTTCCAAAGGCGAGGAAAGTAACTCCAGTCTAAGAGGAGCAGAAAAGCATTAAGATCGTACATGTGAGAGTGCAAGTGGAAGGACGGCTATTTTACCAAACTTTCTGATAAATGTAATGCTGAAGCAATGGTCTGAAGGTTTGGACCTAACAGTTGGATCATGAATAAATTCTCTGCTGATTTTGTCCGTTTTTCACTTTATATATCTTCCTTCATGAGATTATACATTCTCCTTACAGAAAAAATCAGACGCTGCTATACCAACAAATCCAAAAAGGAACAATAGCCAACAGCACTAGTGTGTGTAAAAAGAGGGTCGTTTAGGGTAACTTTGAACGCATACACTGTTTTTTTTTGCCGCTGCCCTACCATAAAAACGAAAACCAAAGGTTTGACAGAGGAACAATAGTACCACTGGATATAGTTAATGAACCCTGGTGTGGCATGAGCGCAATGCTGTAGAACGAAAGCACACTGATCTTCCTGTAGATGTATGTTATCGCACTGAATAGACAAGAATAGGTTGAATACACATTTGCAAACTTTTTTAGGGAGAAAAATAAAAGGCTGTTGTAAGTTTGTACCTTTGATTTTTCTTCGAATAACTCGCTCTCTCGTTTATAAAGATGCCGTTCGTAGGGTGACGCACTATGAGACCATGAATAAGTTATGCATTTGAGGAAAATGAGAATAGAGATTAAAGCTAGAGTGTTTCGCCCAACCATCATTGACAAAATCTCGATTGGGTCAACGGGGTAATAGAATTGAAAGCACTAAGCGGCATAAAAGTTGAAAACAATTGAAGGGCAAAGAAATAATGAAAAAAAAAAAAAGGTTTGTCGTTACTGGGCGACTCTGAGCTTATTTTTTAAAGGCAGCAGCTTGCTAAAAATTGTTCATTTTAAAAGCCAAGTATTACTTGACCCTTAGTTTTTAAAGAGTAGCTGCCATGAATATAATTCTAACTAACTATTTTTGCTTGAAGGGGGCAAACGGCCAATATAAAGATGTGTGGGTACATCAGCCACGAAAAAACAAAATTCAACTATTTGCAAAAAATTATGACAAAAGTAAATACTTTTATTAGGTATAAATATATAGAAATAGTTCTTTTATAACAAAATCAATGCTCTTTATAGAGCAATTGATATTAGAATGCTTTTGGGGAATAGAAAGAATAAAGAATGAATTTTTTTTTTTTTTGGGTTTACATAAAATCAGCGGTATCAACTATAAAATCATAAGGTATGTTTTTGGTTTTGACGAATTCCGTTAGTGTACATTTAATAGCAAGTGCAACAATGTTCAAATTGACGCCGTCATAAAATGGGTATAAAGGTTCAAAGGATGTTCCAGCCTCACCACCAATGACGATACCATCGTCGATATTACCATTTTCGCAGATGTTTTGGAAGGTCTGAGGGAAATTGTTCAAGAGACCTTGGAAACCGGCCCATTCTTCAGATGCATCCAACCATCGGAGACCTACGGCATGGTCCGCCTTGATTTGCTTGTAAAGCTCTTCCACCTGGATCCAGTTGTCATGATCGGTTTTCTGCAAGATTTGACCGGTTTTGACCTGTTCTTCGTAGGAGGCCATTTGTTTCATAAAGAGAGGCTTGAGGTTCATATTTGCCTGAGCAACCAAGTACAATTTGACAATAGCCATTAAGCGAAGGCAGAGACCATGAAGTTCTTTCAATTGAAACTTAGCCAATAGTTTCAGGACGAAATCAGCAAAGGGGAAGAGCGATGCCCATGTCCGGTAATTAATAGGCTGCTTTGCACGTTCAGTGAGCTTGTCAATATAATGAAATTGCAATACAAAATTACACAGCGCATGGAAATGGTCAAGGGTGCTTGAAAGAGTAGCACCATGATGTTCAACAATCTGATCACCACGTACCTTGTAAGCAGCGCCAAGTTTTTGGAAGAGGATGGAGAATATCTTGAGTTGATCGCTAGCTTCAGCGTTGGGAGAGGTGGCAGACTTTTTCGTGGGAGAGGCAGACTTTTTCATGGGAGAGGGAGACTTTTTAATGGGGGAGGCAGACTTTTTAATGGGAGAGGCAGACTTTTTCGTGGGAGAGGCAGACTTTTTAATGGGAGAGGCAGACTTTTTAATGGGAGAGGCAGACTTTTTAATGGGAGAGGCAGACTTTTTAATGGGAGAGGCAGACTTTTTTGTGGGAGAGGCAGACTTTTTCGTGGGGTAGACAGCCACGGATGACTTTTTGACGGACGAACTTTCTTCAGCTGGTTTCTTTTCAGGAGGCGGAGGCGAAGGCGGAGGCGGTCTTTTAGCACTGGCCAGGATTGCAGAAGGTTTCGGGGACATTTGGTGCTTCTTCCTTGGTCTAAGATTTTCGATATCTTCATCTTCAACAGGGTTATCAGGAATACTACGTTTTCTCTTCTTGGGCTCAGGTAGAGGCTCAGCAGGCTTGGAGGGGGTTGGTGACACCTTCCGCTTTTTGTCAATAGGAGATAACGGAGGGCTAACGGTCTCGCCTTCTTCTAGCTCGACTTCGGAGTGGGCTCTCTTGTGAGCAAGCTTTTTGAGTTCAGGAACGGGTTTGGGAATACCAATAGTTAGACTTGGTTTATTTGATTCGTCAATTTGATTGAGTTCGCCACGCCTAATACAATGAGATATGAAAAAAAAAAAAATTCATTCATTAGTTAAGGCTATGTTTTGGACAATGTTCATTCAACAAAAGAAACCTACTTTAAATGGTTTAGTCTTCGTAAGGCAATAGGATCATTTTCTTCACCGAGCGTGAACATGATATTTCTTACTTCAGGGAAATCCTACGTGTAATGAAAAGGGAAAAAAAAAAAAAAGTTAAATGTAATGAAGTTGAAAGTTTATGATGGTTAGTGCGAGCGTAAGATAGTTACAATAGGGGACGGCTCTGCTGAAGATGGCGCCGTGGACGAAGGAGTACCTTCAGTAGGAACAGCATTTTTAGTAGGAACAACACGTTTGGTTGCTTGACGATGTGCAGCAGCAGTGCTACTTTCAGCGTGTGAAGAGCTTGCGGAAGTAGAAGGCTTGGATGGATGCATAGAGGCTTGGGCAGCAGGAAGTTTTTGGGCAGCAGGAAGTTTTTGGGCAGCAGGAAGTTTTTGGGCAGCAGGAAGTTTTTGGGCAGCAGGAGGTTTTTGGGCGGCAGGAGGTTTTTGGGCGGCGGCGTCTAACTTTGCTTGTATACTGGCTTTGTCAAGCCCCAACTTTTTCATTACAGATTCAACGTGGCTTTCGGGTTCGGCTGATGATTTTGTCGTGGCTGCCTCTGGCTTTTTAGATTGGCCTGGTGATTTTGTCGTTCTTTTCTTGGATTTGTCGTCAGCTGTCGTAGGTTTTCTGTTGACTGTGGGTACTGTCCAGTCGCGGTCAATGGTTGAATGATTCCTTGTGATTTCTTCAGGTGAAAGGGGCACGGACATATCGCCTTTCACTGGCCAGAGTTGCTTTGGTTCATTATCAAAAGGTACGTCAGGGCTTCTTAGAGGGAAATCTTCTTGTTCCTGGTATCTTGCCTCAACAGGACGAGCAAAAGTGGATCGGGTATCGTCGTGGTTGAAAATGATACAGTGGGAGGTTCTGAGGCCTGCTGTTGTATGTCTGGTATGGCCGTTTAGTGAAGAAGCGGATCCGTCTTCTCTTTCATATCCTCTGTCTGCACGTCGTGAGGAACTGCCGTGGTCATTGGAAGACATTGCGACAGCGATGGGTTAATGTAGAGATGTGTTTGAGTAGACAATAAAGCGAACGAAATATAAATGAAATAAAGAAATGTTCAAATGTCCAACGTTTTAATTTCCAGTGCCCTTTTATAAGTCACCCTCACCGTTTCAGACTGTCAATTTGATTGGTCGAAAAAGAGAAAGGAGAACACACATCGGATCAAAAACGAAAATCAAATGATCGCACAAGAGCGTGAAAATTGAAAACTTTGACTCTACCTTTGAAACGTAACTGCACGCACAGTGAAGTTGTTTTAATACAAGTTTGATCTCAAAATATGCGCAAAATAATGGTTTATTTGACTAGGAATTAAAAAAAGAATACATTTACTTAATAAAAATTGTTTAAAAAGCCTTATCAATAAAAGGTACTTTTTTGTAAAAAAAAAAATAAGGTTCCGTAATTGTTTATATTGCAAGCAAGACGCATGTTACTTGGGTCTAAAAAGACGGGGGGAATGGCGTAAAGAAACGCAAGTAACCTTAGCCTCATCAGTAAGTAAAAAAAAAGGGAAGAGTACACAAAAAAAAAAAAAAAAAAAAAAAAAGAAAAAGGAAAGTGAGAGAAAAAAAAAACAAAAAGGAAAAAAAAACATGTGAAGAGCTTCTCAAAATGAGTTTACTTTTCTCATATCGCCAGTAACTACACTGTTTTGTGAACAACAAAAGACGAAACTAAAACATAGCTTCATCCTAACATCAAATACATTAGTAGAGAGATACTTACGGACGCGACTTATGGGCTCTATAAAATGGCTAAAGTGCTCTTTTCATGGAGGTGTTACAAGGAAATTTGCTTATGGGGCGGCGGAAGATATGCGGCCGGTCAATCTTCATCGTGGGAGGGGTGGGGGGAGACGTCCAGTGGGGGGAGATAGGTACAAGTCTAAAAGTAAGGCGAGCCGCTTTTTTCAACTGAAAAAAGAGAGTGTTGTGTATTTATCAAAGTTTTCGTAGGTAACGAAATACTCAATATTCAGTTGAGTTCCATTTGTCAGAAACATGCAAAAGAAAGTCAAATCATCATGGCTTTATTAAAGAGTTCAAAAGGGCAGAATTTATAAATAATACGTATATGTACAAGAATGTGTTTAGAATAGCGGTCGATCATAGAGCTTTTGCAGCAGCATCAATAATAAGCTGCATCATGAATGATATCCCTATCAGTTGACTTGGCACAGAACATGCTAGCAATCGGCGTGTTAGCTGCTGCTGTTTTGGATTGCAGAAAAACATTGTTTCCATTGTTATAAATGCCAGTATGATCAGTTGTCGTGGAGATGGCGCTATCCGTGGTCATCTCCATATCATCACCAACGCTATCTGGTGTTTCATGATCCATAGTGTTCACCTTTCTCTTTTTGATGATCTTGGTATGATTCAAAAGAGCCTCGAGCTGCCCTCTTTTGTATATATGCCTTGACCTTATCAGTATGTCACTTGCCTTATATAGAGTTGTACCGTCGTTTATGCATAAATTTTTCTGCGGTGTAGCTTGTTCAGTAGAATAAAGAGATGCTAACGATGGTGTCTTTACTGACATTCCTTCTTTTCCAACATCGAACTCATCTCCCTCATATATGCTGCTAGTATTTCCGCTATTGTTCGGCCATAGTGAACTTGAAACTAAGTTATTTTGACAGGAAATAGTTGAATGTTTAAAAGTGTCCACCAGATAAGAGTCTCGATTCTTCCACATTTGTAACAGGTTATTGAATGCAACATAAGCTTTTTTTTTTTTTTTCCTCTCTATGTTGTCCACACTGATCATCATTGCAAAAAAATAAGGAAAAAAAAAAAATTCTTAATTTGGCCAATCAAAGCGTTGAATTGTACATATCAAGCTTTATTTCTTTGAAGGTGGTACACGTTGTCAAGTATCAAAGTCTATTGAAAGAAATGCACCTAATGTAACGCTAAGGTGCGTGATTTATTTTTTTTTAGCCCTTTTAGAAAGAGTAATTTTCAAATGCCCAATCAATAATAATAAACTATGCTTGTGTACTTGGTTCTTCACTCATAGAGCGCATTTTCTAATGATAATAAACAAGAAAAATGTGCTACTTACGATAGATAACATATGCAGTGCGACCCTATACTAGTCCATCTAGGACTCTATGTTGTTGTTCTTTAGAGACCCGGGTAACCCCAAACCCCCTTCAAAACAAAATAACACAAACAGCCTCCTAAGAGAGAGAATAACCAGCATCCCTTCTGTGCTACTGTTATTATCGTTTTACTTGGCTTGAAACACTAACCTCAAAAAAACGCCTAGGTATCGTATGCTTTTCTACATAGAAACAGAAGAGTAAGACAGAGAGTTGACTATTTTTAGATAGTATATAACTTTGATAACCAACGTACAAACGGAAGCGTACCGTCATCATCACATGTTTGCTGCTTATATTCAATTGAGCAGCTTTCCTCATTTTATTGTTGAGCGTTCAGGTTACAGTCTATTGCAGGCCACTGAAAAAAAAAAAAAAAAAAAAAAAAAGAAACCATCATGGTGATGATGGTGATGAAGTAGGAGGAAGTCTACAACACTTTACTTGAAGTGAATGGGGGGTGTGGGGGATTTCATACTTGCCTGTTCGCGAAATGTGTGTGAACGATGACTCACTCCAAAAACAATCCAATAAAAAATATCATGCATCGCTAAAAGCACTCCTGTAAACATTGCAATCTATTTTCAATTACTTATCATAGACATTTCAGTTATTGAGCTAAATTTTGTGAACCCAAAACTGAGAGCATGCTTGAGTGTTTTGGGTAATTTCCCATATGACCATCGTCGATATTACTATCAGTAGTCTTGTCTCTATCCTTTCCTAATCGAGCCAAGATTATCTCAATTTCTATCTTGAGTGAGATAAATCTGCTTTATATGGTCTTTCGCAAATCTTTTTCTATTTCTCCTAGCTCTACATTATATCTGTCACCAAAGCAATGCCTTGTTCTCTCAATAGAGGAACAGCCAAACATCATGTAAAGATCGACTTCACGCGTCAACCCCTCAACTTCAATGCATACTCATATTGAAGCAATTCTACCTTAACAATTCTTTTGCGACCAAACTCACTCATAGCATCATGACCTTGGCTATGTGTAAACATGTATACATTCTTTGCAGTACTCCAATATTCATTGTAGAAGGTATTCAGAAATTGTTTTTTGTCAGCGGAATACTTGGTCAAGACCTTTCATCCATTGATTCATTTGACAAGAATGAACTGGTTTTTATAGATATCGGCCTATGGATCAAGTACCTTTGAGTGCATAGGGTACTCGACAATTGACTCTTCTACTGTTCTTTTTATTTCGCTATCCTGTGAATAGAGCCCTTTTTGCTTTTAGCAGGTCATTGTACATGTTAATCACGCGTTCCTTTTGTAATATTGATACTTTATAGATTGAGTCGTGAGTCTGATTGCCTTATTGGCTTCATGGGGGTTCTGTATGGCCAAAGTGATCACCAAATTAACAGCTTTGAAATCAATGAATTTTGTTGCAAGCTCGACGTTCGCTTTCAGATCACTACTATCTTTCTCGCCAACTGAATTCAAGTTAGAAGAAGCAATCTCTGACTATATATCAAAAAACGAAAGGAGGAATTCGCCCAAAAATGGTTCAAGATGATTCACCAATTTGTTGATGTGCCCAACTTGAATAAATTGTTTTCACTCAATTTATGGCTTTGGATTTGAATTTGAAATATGTAGCTTTGAGAACAAATAATGTTTGAACAATTACTCCACCCCTACGAGATGCCAACTTGGAAGATGAGCTAGTTATGAACCTTTTACCTTGAAGCATATCGGTTTTTCTTTGCACTAAAGAGGTCACTGAGAGAACTGCAAAGTCTTTATTATGAAACCAATGGCTAGCATAAAGGAAAATTGTCCACGTTTATGGTTGCAATAGAAATGTTAAGTGTAAGCAAACACATTTCTACTTTATTCCAATAGACAGTCTTAGATGCGAAACTCCCACCTAATATGAAAAGCATGTCACTTTGGCTCAATAATTACAAAAAGGTCGGAAGCTGTTTGTACTCAATCCTTCGATCCCAAACATCATGTCCTTTCACCAAACAAAGTGCTAATCAGCATTCTCAACTAGTTTAAGATGGTTAGAGCACTTAGAAAAATGAACAATGAAATTTTTCTCGAGAGTGTCCTGAAACATCTTCCAAGAGCATCTTTTACTAGACCCATATCGAAAAAAAAAAACAATCTTCCCAAAATCAGAAGTGTCAACTATTTATCATCATAGACCTATTCAATACCCCCAATGAAAGTAACATCTACAACGAACACCATATTGACCCAAACATCAGACGTATGGTATGGATATTGCTATAAAAGTACAAGCTAGGACTTTAAAGAACATCCTACAATCAATTGTCAAGCAACAAAGAGGTTACAATAAAAAGTAATTGTTGAGAAAAAGATGAATTCTATCGACTTATAAAAGACAATGACTCTTCCTTCACAACTTTTCATTTTCAAGCTTATATGAGCTAGTCTATTCTTACAAAATACTCAAATTAAAGCTAATTCTATATAGTACGGTATTCATGCAAATAGATAGTGGACTCCACGGGGAGAGTGGTATCAAAAAGAAGCTTTTCGTAGCAATCGTAGTATTCGATTCTTTTTCACCTTTTTCTTCTATCAAATAAAGACGAAATACTAAGGCTACCTCCTTCTTAAACGGATAAGTTGCTCTTTTGAGACCTGATAATGATTTAAGCGCTGTAACTGATGGGCTAAGAAGCAGATTCAAGCAAGATGATCGAAGCTATTATGGAAACTAGATTGAACGAAATGCTTTTATAAAAAGGCAAGAGTCACTTCTCATGGAATATGTGCAATACTTTAGTCATGTTTGTAGGCTATAGCAGGTAATGCTTTGCCATTTGCCAGCTTTTTAGGTTTAGTACTAGGCTTATAACACCTATAACTTCAGCTATAATGAATGACATATTACAAAGAAAACCCACAATGATATTTCAGGGATAGAAGACAAGTACAAGCTGGCATTTGGTAACAAGACCCATTTGTTGGGTTCCATCCGTTTGTCACCTTACGCTAGATCGTATCTGACAGCGGTATGAATTGTCATTACAGTATGGGCTTTATAATAGAGAGTTAGGTGGTGGTGGTGGGGGGGGAATATCATTAAAAGCAAAAAGTCTTCATATGACTGGAGAAGCCCACCTCTGTCATAGACCATTCGATCCTACCGGGCCTATAAAATTAAACGCATTTAAATCGTTTCGTCTCTAATTTCCATTGTAATCAATCGTAGTCCGAGTACTACACGAAAGAATCTGTAGAATTTGCTTTTACAACTGACGTTTATTGAGCCTTTACTATTTATCTTTAAATTTAAATGAGTTGGTAAATGGAATAAGGTAGAAGGCGGACTTTCGTTTGCAAGAAATGCCACACGGAAGAGCAATTTTTTCAATAACTTTAATTGAAAGTGTGGAATTTTTTTGGAAGAAATTGAAGCAAAAAAGGCTAAGCAAAGGTCATTTTTTACAGTATTCAATCAAGAATACAAAGCATCAGTCGTCTCCATATCCGTAATTCTAATTTCATTATCTTTTACAATAGTGTATTGCTTTAGGGGCAGGCATCGACCATTGTCGGAACTCAGGTCTTTACATTGACTGTATAATATGTATTCTCTATAGGCAGGTCCTGATATAACGCCATCTGCATAAATTTGAAAGCATAACTTTAGTATAAAAAGAATTAGCATTATCAGAAACTCTACAAAACTTACGGTCATTCTTGAACAATTCAAATACAGCAGTTCTTTCGCTTCCATCTCGTACTCTTACTTCCTCTTTCACGAGTAGTTCATCGACCAAATCATATTGACCCGGAAGCTACGTAAAATACAGTTAACTTGAAAATGCATTATAATCAATTTCGTAATTGTAAAGAATACCTTTCTTAGTAAAGTTATCGCATAGCACATCAAAGATTCTTGCTGACGGATTCGGAATAATATATTATCAAAACTCCTTTTACCTTGCCTATAAAGTATGAACGAGCTAAGAAACGCATGTAGTCGAATAGAAAATGTCGCTTATACAAATACCTAAACTCGTGCCATGGAAAACTGGTCAGATTATCACCAAGCTGTACAAGGCCTTGACTAACATGTCTACTATAGTAAGCCACTGGATGACTCGAGAGTGTATCATAAGCTATTAAACCCAAGGTGGGCAACATTCTGAAAAGAGCATAACAGAGTAGCATGATATTAATGTCTCTCGTTAACTTCTGTAATAAGATATCAACCTTCTTGCTTACATGGAAAAGAGCTCATGGATGGAAGTTGTTTCCAAAAAGAAAAGCGCTTTTTCTGCTTCAACATTTGTATTGAACAAAGGTTTTTGTCGCGAGGCTGGTATCCGCTTTGAACATTTCCACAACTCCTGCCAGATATTTTTTGGTTCGGACATTCTTGCAGTTAAATGACCACCAGCAGTAGTGTTGTCATCTTCCTCAATCCAATCTCTCGGTGAGTGCCACCTCACAAAGTCTTCTAGACAAGCATGCGGATTAGCCGCTTTGAATGCTTGCATGTCTGAGTAGAGTTGGGCTGATTGTAGTTTGGCTCTTTGCTGAGTAGCATTTTCGGATGACCCCATGCTCTCAAATACACCAGCTTGTTCATTAATCATATCCTCTGTCATAAATCCTGCTTCTTGAGTAATAGGAATGTTCATAGGCTGTCCAGTCTTTAGAAGTTTTAATGTATCATGCTTATAATCTATACCCTCAGCTGCATTAGGGTCTTTAATAGCATTCGCCTCTTCGGCTTCCAACTCTTCAGCTGTAGCAGGAATAAACGTAGGCAAATGGACGAATGATTCTTGCATAAAGCTGGGCACAATTTCTTCTCCATCGATCTTATTATTTATACCCTCAGGAGCAATGCTGTCCTTGGATATAAAAGAGCTTACATCTACAGCGTCAACGAATACATCACTATCATCATCGTCATCCGCATCATTCTCTTCAAGCTCTTCCTTTTGTTCTTGGTCGGTTTTCGACCTGTCATCCTCAATTTCTGGGGTGTTGGATTCTGCAGACTCTTTCTATTAAGAAAGCAATATGCGTAAGCGCCCTTTATTCCAGCCTCAAACATCATTCTTTGCTTAGCTTACTTCGATAAGTTTGCTGTTGGTTGCATCTTCACTACCCTCTACAAATTTCTCGATAAAGCTTTGTAATTTTGATAATTTTGTTTCCCTGTCTACATTAACATCATCAAATAGGTTGCCAACACGTTTAAAAGATGGTCTGTCTGACCGTTGTTTTGCTTCCAGTTTTTGCCCGTTCTCTTTTGCTTGTTGAATACTGCGATGTATACAACAGTTTACCATGGATAACTTTTGATGAAGCTAGCAATGTACATTATAAATTAGTATGCGTGCGGATTGCTACGACTTTGTATACTGATACTGCTTACAATATTGTACCGCAGGTCGATGCCTATAATTCTCTCCTTTTGTGTATGCTGCTGTGCTTCTTTTTCAGACTCCTCCTTTCCTTGACTACATGCGCTATTGTTATCATATAAGTATGGATCAAGTTGAGGGATTGGAATCAAATTTTCCCAATGCCATCTGATCTGTCGTAATACTTCTAGCCAAACGATCCTGAAAAACGCCATAAATTGTGTGACACTATTGTTATTTGCTGATATCTGTTTCTTCAAATGAAGGTTATGGTGGCTGCTTGGGGTATTGCTGTTATTTGATGGCGATGCACTTGGGTTATTGAAAGCTGATGCTTGCAAACTGTACAATATCAGATTCCATAAAAAAGATTGGTAAGGTACGGAAGAAGCATTTTTTAATTTTAATCCTAATAAGTTTGTATCGTCGAATTTCTTCTGCAGTGGTGTCCTTTTACCATCCCTGTTATTAATATGCTCCCTTTCGATGTGTTTCTCATTAGAATCAAAAAGGGCAGTCAACACACTCTCAACTTCCGCTGATCTTGCTGCAATGGATGAAGAGATTGTCGAAGTAGGGTCATCAATATCATTGTCTTCGTCACTATTGATATCCATAGCATGGCTACTGACGCCACTTGTATTTCGATAATGCCCAGGAACAAACAGATTATGTAATAATTTTGCACTATCGCTTGTGGATTCATCGTTATTTTCGTCGTATGGCGCCAAATAATCTCGATTAGTAGGATCATTGATCCAAGAGTTGATTATTTGTTCAAGTAGCGTCGAAAGATAGGCTCTTTGCTGATTTATCGGTGCAAATTCCCTTGAAATCAGCCATTCTTTCGCTACAGAAGCATTCAATGGTTGGGTATAAAGCTGGTGGAATTTGGCATGTTCGGTCAACGGGAATAAAGCACTAAGTGTTAATGAACGTAAAGGGTCGTTATAGGACCCGAATGAGAGAGGAAACAATGCGCTTGCCTCTATTTGGCTATTTGCTTCCTCTTCCCCTTCTTCTGCTTCTTTTTCATTGTCTTCTTCGTCTCCCCAGGAGTCTCCCCAAGAATCAAAATCGTCGTTAAAACTCATTCTTCGTTTTGAGGCTTTCTCAATAATGTTTTCCCAATCTTTCCAATTTTCGTCAAACCAATTAGTTAGCTTGTATGTGTAAACTGCCGAAATATCTATGTCCTTAGCCACATCTATTTCATCGATATTCCCTATTTTTGTAACGCTATGTCAAGTTTTGCATCTCTTCCGTTTTACACGCAAATAATTGTTTTTCTTTTACCATTATTTTCTCGATGTACACACAATTTTTGTAAGAATAAGGCCGTTAACCCATCCAAGGATGACATATGCGTTAATGGTGGTGTCATTAAAGTCATATTGTATTTTATTTCAGTATCAAATTCAATCTTAGTGGTATCTGATCTCTGTTGCCCTTGATTTGTCAGTTTGTATCCTATGTACATATCATGACGTTCCTGACCTACGGGAGCAAATATAGGTACTCGGCATCCTGTGTTTTGAAACGCAATAGCACATGCTGATACCAATAGCTTAGCTGAGGATAAATCAATTGAAGATCGGCCACTTGATTTGAATATCTTTTTCCTTAAAGAGCCTTCCTGAATAGGTCTTATTATCATCAAATGTTGCTGACCAGTCCAGCGATGTAATGGATGGTATCCTTGAGAAGAGCTGCTATTGAACTGATAAAAATGATAACCGCTAGCGAACTTGTTGTTTTCCGTTCCGTCTTTAGTGCCTTGAATATCAACATCATCGTCTATATGGTGTTGACCCGGATGATAATGATATGTAAATTGAAACAACTCTTCGCCTAATGCGATCGTCTCTTGTCTTGTTAAAAAGTCAGCTGCTGCATTAATAGCAGAAGCATGTGCAGTGGCTTTCGCAGCAGATGCTAGTTGTTCCTTAGAAAATACACCAAAAGAGCCCTCTTTGATTCCCCAGGAATACAACGTCTCTTCGATATGTGTTATGAATCGCTCAAAATTAGAAACTGAAGTGTAATCCACAAATTCATAACGTGAAAAATCATCGCTAAATGCTGAGTTCTGTCTTTGTTTGCTATTACTAGTGGCAACTGAAGGCGCTAAGCCTGTAGTTACTGATGATGAACTGGACATCTGTACATCGAGAACGAAAGCAGAAGAAGGAAAAAATGTCGGGCTTTGGGGCAAATTGTATTTTTCTAATGATCGATCGTTCATGCCGCTTGCTTTTTGATTGCTTGCTGATTGGATGATCGCGGATTTTGAAGTAGCACTTGAATATTTTCTGCCTTCGTTCAGTAACTACATGTATAAATACTTTTAGGTCAGCGTCAACCTTTAAACAATGGCATTCAATGCTACGGATGGGGCTAGTAAACCATTGGGCATTTTTTTAATGTAATCAATTTTTATCTAATCGAAGAGTGACTGATAAACTCACATAGCATAATCTACAATCCTACTTCTGAAAGCCTTCCATCAAATAGTAGCTTTATTAATTTCGTCGTGGGCTTGGTATAGGGTTCACTGGGAACACTTCGAGTCCCATTTATTTACCCACAGTAGCAGTAAATATAACACATCAAATTATAAAAGATTTTAGCATATTTGTTACACGTTTTAGCAGCTTTAAAGCTACCGAGGTAATTTTTGTTGATCAATTACCTTAAACCAAAACGAATTCATAACAACTTCTGAAAAAGGTCATTGATCACTTAGCTGCATTCTCTTTCTTCTTTTAAGCAGGAAAAATAACGACATATATTTAAGCCAGTTCATGGATCAATTGTATGGACTTGCTACTTGAAGAAGTGTTGCCGTCAGTTAAAGGAACTGATTCACGAATTTGTTTACTCGCTTATTCTTAATTTGCCCAACTACCTCTATTATTTAGCTGTTTCCAGTATATGTGGGGCACAAGTGAGTCTATAAACGTGAACTTTAAACGAGTTCTCAGTTATTTTACAATATGAATTAATCGGGTGTTCATTGGTAATAAAGGTACCTAAACTTGTTTTGCTGCAAAAATTGGGAAGGTTTGCTTACCACGAACTAAAAACATGTCCTACCTAGTCCGCAGCCAACGAGATTTTTGCAGTCTTTGAAGGCCTCCATTATCGTCCAGTTTTTCAAGGGAATGAGGTAGCCCAGCTCAAGTTGTCAAAGAGTAGAATGGATAGCCATATTAATGCTTGGCAAAACGAATTGACGCTTTTTGAAAGGCCTCGACTATTGCATAGGGTGTAATTTAGTTCTGTCTTTTCCTTTAGTTCTTTAAATACATTTCATGTCAATGAAAGCATTTAATTAGCCATTTTGTTCTGTTGTCTTTTTCTATATATTAGAAAGTAGACACGATTAATAAGGCTGCAGTTAACTGAAGCTAAGATACCTTTATTCCAAAGCCCAACAGACTAAACATTTCGTTCGCTTTGAGTAATAATTGTATAAGTATGCAGCCAACATAATTGACAAGAACTATCCTTAAAAATTGAGGCTTAAGAAGGTACAACGGCAGCATTGATAAAAGAGAAAACGAGTCTGCTTCCAATTTTTACGAATTAAAGATAACAGAAGGTTTTTTTTATATTACTAAATTTTGTAAGCATCATAGATAACATACGTGCAAAGAGTTTGAATAATGGCTCATCATGGATTGATACCCCTTTGAGTTCAACGTCTGTTCTAAAGTAGAGTTAAGGAAGGCTCCCTTTATTTTAAGATAACACTCAGTAGAGGATAAGCTCATACTCTTATATCAAGTTTCATACTAAGGGGAGATTTTTGCCTAAGCAGAAGATAATAAGTCTCTGCTCTCTTCTTGCCATTCAAAATAATAAAATAAGGTAAGTGTACACTTAATCAACAGTTGGAAAGATTCTTCCTGGCCTTATTTAAGGGGTGGTTGGGTGGTTGGGCTTTTTGTGGTTTTTCTTCTGAAACAGGAAAATCAGATATTGTGTAATTTACATAGCCGAGCGGGCCTGCATTATAATCAAACGAGTTTGATTTCACTTTCGTTTTTACTTTTCCCGAATGTCAGATCGATAATCAAACTACTCTTCTTCGAACAAATTCAGTAAAAGATCATTAAAAAGACAAAAATATTTAATGGACGTGTTGCCATCACAGAGACAACCTCCTTCATCTAGCAAATCGTCTGGTTTAAGCGGTGGCTCACCATCAACTGCCGCTGCCGTTGCTGCCGCGGCTGCGGCCGCTGCTGCTGCTACGTCAACTGGCGTGAACAATCGAGATCAGCAAGTCGAAAAGCTACTAAAGGAGGTTAAACAACTGAAGCAGAAAGTTGATATTCTGGATAAAGAGAATAATGCATTAAAGAAAAGTATTTACGACCTGTCAGCGAGATATGCAGCTTCAATATCACAAGGTGGATTATCATATAGACCGGGCCCTTTCGTCATAGACAGTCAGGAAATAGATTCATCGAGCGTATCTACAGTTAATAAAAAGGCGCAAGAAATGATATCCAAAGCAGTACAAGAAGCAGGTGGCGATATAGAGCCTTTTCAATCAAGTAAGAAATTGATAGAAGAAAACGTTCACGGTAAAATAGTCAGTGAGACTTTTAACCTTTTTAATATGGCCGTAGTATACCCTCATGATTCTCGAGATGCTAAGACATTTGAATTGCGTTATGATTTGAAGGTAATTGGAGCGTCCACTCAATTTTGAATCAAAGGGTATCTCGATATAGGTTTTTTGGTTTTGTCTAATGTTCTTTTGTGTCCGTTTGGTCATGAAATCCCCATAGGGACATACTGGTGCTGTCTATACAGTTGAATTTTCACCCAATGGTGCATTATTGGCGTCGGGTTCTTTTGATAAGACAGTTCGTATTTGGGACACTTCTGCTCAAAAAGAGGTATGGTCAATTCTACAGTCAAGCACAGTCATGCATATATTGACGGTTCAGTCGATGTAATTTTTAGATTTTCTGCTTGAAAGCGCATTCGTTGAATATTTCAGACCTAGCATGGACTCCAGATTCCACGATACTGTTATCAGGCGCCTATGACGAAACCTGTAAACTTTGGGACATAGAGAATGGAGGCGGTAAATTAACCGGCAGCTATGAAACAGAAGGTTTAGTACAATGTGTCGGTTGGGATTTTGTCGACAGCAATCTTTTTTATTACGGTACCTCGAGAAAAGTATTAGCCATGGTGGATGTTAGATCAGATGGAAACGCTTCTGTTATTCGAAATGATAGTATGATCAATGCTTTATACACATCGCGTGATGGTATTCATGTTATCACAGGCGATGCGCAAGGCATGCTGAAAACATGGGATATGAGATCAAGTGAGTTACAACTTACAACTTACAACTTACTCTACGATGCCTTTCAGTGAACTTTGACTGATAAGTTTTCAATTATTTCAGGGCAATGTATTTCCTCCAAATTAAACGATGAATCTAAAATGCCTATCACGCACATTTCTATCGGAAGACGTAGTACGGATGCTTCAAGAAGAGCGAGTAAGGCTGCATTAAGAAGAATTGTTGACAATGTTCCAATTTTAACTGTACATATTTATTCTAGTTAATGATTATGATGAACCACGGTATATGGCTGTGAACAGTTACGATAATTGTAAGATTTGAATAGCCTTGTGAATGCAATGAAAGGAACGTATGACTTATAGCTGTTTTTTTCGTAATAGTATTACGTGTTTACGACCGAGGTATTGATCCTCCCAAATCAGACCTTCGATTGGTGCATTCATTGAAAGGATTCAAGAATAAGAACTGGCCAATAAAGTCGTCATTTTATTGCGGCAGTGGTTGTGAGTAGCATTAAGTAACAATATGATTATTGACAGTTTTTCCTTATTATTGATGATTTTTTAATTAGATAACTCTTGCATAATGAGCAAACCCTCTGTTAACGATAGTTACGGTGATTCCGATCTACTACCAAATTCAAGCGATTATTTATTCGAGAATACGGTCAGTCAAGAGCCGAAAGAGGAAAAGAGTGTCTTATTAGCTACAGGCAGCGTGGACCCTTATGCTTATCTCTACAATGTGGGTGAAGATAGCGCAGAACTAATGCAACAATTGGAGGGACACACAGACCGTGTATACGCTGTACAATTTCATCCTACAGAACCTATTTTAGCTAGTTGTTCCGCTGATTTCACTGTTAAAGTGTGGGGTCCAAGTTTAAAACATAGAGGGAAAAAGAAGGCGACCTTATAAAAATTCTACAAAAATTATGACAACCTTTTTTCTTTTAAGCAACATGTACATAGTCAACACGAAATAAAAGACGGGAAATAATACCAAATGACGACGTTTTTCTTTTCAAGGGCTTTCTGATTATATCTGATTATAAAACTCTTCTCTTTCTACTCTTACAAAAATAAACATGTCTTTCAAACGCTCATTTCAAAGTGGTTCTTCACTGAGCACGCCTGTAAAATCTGTACAATATCGGCAAACAAGACTGACAATTGACGATAACCGTTATAATAATTGTATTGCTACTCATACAAACAGTCAGGCCACATTTAGTCAGAAACTCGCTATGCATAAAGGATTGGATTTCGATAATGCGCATAGCTTCCAACCCTCTACATCACCAAATCTAGCATCATTAAACAATGGCAATCAACCTTTGACAGCACTAGCACAAGACAATCAATCCAATTTATATAGGTCGAAGATGATTATAGCATCACAGACAAATGTAACAGTGAAAGCAACGACAACAAAAAAAAATGTAGCATCACCTACAAAATGTATAATGGCAATTACTGAGAGTAGAGGAGTGGCTATCGAAATTGGGTTCTGTGTTTTTAATATGAACAGCTGTGAAGCTTTTATTTCACAGGTGAGCTTTACAAAACTTGAATACATGAAGACCTGCCTATCGCTATCAATAATGTGTTCTCACCAATTACTCAAATATGTTTTGTTCTATCTGATGGACGTTAAAGCTGGCTGACTCACCCACATTCACAAGGATTTTACAAAAAGTGAATTTGCACGACCCGCAACAAATACTCATGCCGGTTTATTCAACTGATAATTATGAGTACTCTCAAAGACAGGCGAACGAGAAGAATAAAAGCCAAGATGCCCCTTTCAGTCATTCTACTGCTACGATTACCAACGCTAGCAGTGAAAGCGGTAAATTAAAAGAGCTTCTGAGGCTACAATTTCCCCATGTTCCAATTATATCCATCTCGCGAAAACACTTTAACGACGAACTTGGAAAGCAATGCATCCAAAAATTCTGCTTACAAGATGACATTGCAGGACTGATTGTTGGTGTTTCTAACCGGTAAAATAATTGTTTCTTTTTTGTAAAGCGATTGTTTTCTTGATTCATTATTCAATAATAGATATTATTGCTTGGCTGCCATTGCCGGTCTATTTCAGTAATGAGAACAAATTATTTATTATAAGTTTTACATAAAATTCGACTAATATCCATTGAAAACCCGTCCAATTAGTCATATCATCCATACTGAGGGTCATACATTTGCACAGCACACTATCAAGTTCACTTATCAGGGCGCAGAAGGTAGAGTACCAGAGCCATAAATCTCAGATGAAGTCTGTCTTTTGCTAATAATGATTATACTATTTCTGTAGGCAGTATGCTTATTGGTATGTGTTCATAATGATAAGAAGAATACATCAATGCTTATATACTATTCAATCCGAATTGTTTATCAGATCCTATAACAGCCAAGAATTTAGAGCTTGTAACGAATATTGCAAACAGTAGCGGCAGCGGGCAAGGTAATAGCAGTGCTAGCGCTAGTAGCAGTTTTAAAAAAGACTCTCTTCTCGGTATTTTGGACCATACTAGCACATCCATGGGTAAGCGACTACTGCGAATGAATATTTTACAGCCTCCTTGTGCTGCTAATATCATTAGAGATCGGTTGGATGCGGTTGAGGGTTTGTGTCAGAGTGAAGAATCTATTTTCACCATACAGTCCCATTTGAAGCAGCTAAATGATCTCGATCACTCTATATGGTATCTTGCCAAAATGCCTTACGCATCGAATAACACAGCGACAACGGCCACGCTTGCTGTCCAACATGCTGAAATGAAGGTCAATCAAATTATAGCTCTGAAACAGACAATTAAAACGATACAAGCTTTGGCTGCTCATTTGAGACAGCAGAAAGAAGGGAAAGAAATAGACAGCTGCATGCCTGATAATGAAGAGATTAATGGATCTATATTATTATATACAATATGCAAGGTACGTCAATAGTACAAGGATATCAATAATAGTTGTAAAAGAATGATGATAACAATTTTCTCTTTAATTTTTCCTAAGATCTTATCGAATTCTGCCTTTAGTAACTTTTAGCAATTTTGGTTACTGAAAATCGAGATGATCATTCTATATATATTAACATAAATTTTAGTTTTTTTGGAAGGCGAAGTTCGAACCATGATTAATGAAGAAGTATGTATACAAAAAACAAGTCTAGGCATTCGTAACCAAAAGTGTTATGCAGTAAAGGCAAGTATACTTTTTTTTTCTTGCCTTATAGTCTATTGCATATATTATTTACTTTCACGTACATGCTTTAGGCGGGTGTAAACGGTTTACTTGATGTTGGTACGTACAGTAACAATTGCCCAATCCACCTATTTTCAACACTCTTCTCAATATCTACAATACTTCTACTATTTGTTCTTATAAAGCTCGACAAACATATAAAGAGACAACAGAAGATATTTATGAACTTGCTTCTCAATACTCAGAAGAGCATAAAATGCAAATGAAACTTCAATTCAACGCATCAAATTACTTTCATATTACAATGTCCACCAATCAGTTAACGGAAGGGCGTAGACTTCCAAGTGAATTTATTAATGTTGTAAAGAAGAAAAAGACGTTACAGTTTACAAGTCTTGAATTAGTAAGTCGAATCTAGTATCAAAGTTAAAAACAGCACATTAATATAGTCAATCTACATCATAGCTTCAGAAGAATGAAAGATTGAATGAATCACTGACAGGAGTGTATCTTATGTCAGATAAGTATGTAATTGTCACATTTTATTCTGGAATGCGTCTCTAAATTAGACATATTCTACATTTTAGGATTGTGACAGAATTGCTGAATATCTTTAGGAATAATATCAATATCTTATACCAAGCTTCGGAGGCCATCGCTTTGTTAGATATGCTAACATCTCACGCGATCCATATAATGAAATCTGAAAATTATGGTAAAAAAGCGATAGAGTCAAACTCAAAACTGCCAGTGACACTCATAATAATTAATCATAACACTACATTATAGTTCGTCCGGAATTTTCCAGTACTTTGGCTATCAAAGCAGGCCGACATCCGATTTTGGACCATATACTCTCGTTCCCAGTGGTCGCAAACGACACTTTTGCATCTTTATCGAGCAGCTTTCAATTTATGACCGGACCTAATATGAGTGGAAAATCGACTTACTTACGTCAGATTGCTTTGTTAACAATTATGGCACAAATAGGGTGTTTGTAAGTAGCGTACTCCTACTGTAACCGGAAAAAAGGTGATCCGTTAAAGGCCACAGTTTTGAAACATTTGTTCTTAGTGTCCCAGCCGAATATGCATGCTTCCGTCTTAGTGATCAGGTATGAAAGATAGCTTAACCGACTACACTTTAACTGTAAAATTCGTTTTCACATAGTGTTCAACCATTTGTTGATATATCAAATGTTTTGTATAGCTTCTTTCTAGGCTAGCAAATGATAATACATTTTCTGATATTGGCACCTCTTCCTTTATGTCTGAAATGCGGGAAACCGCTTATTTGTTGAAGCACGTAACGAATACAAGTATTATCCTTATTGATGAGCTTGGTAGAGGAACTTCCCCCAACGATGCCTTAGGAATCACAGCAGCTGTTTGTGAAGACCTCATTTGCACGAGAGTAATACTACACATATTGTTCTGGTTATAAAGCTTTCCTTTACCAATGCTTCATTGTTACGTAGGCCTATTGCTTTTTTGCTACACATCTGCATGAATTAACAAGTACGCTAAATATATACCCAAATGTTGTAAACCTTCATTTTAAAGTTACTATTGCTGTAAGTTAGTTTATCAATCTAAAATGGATATTAGTGGTATTTAGCATTTAACCTTTTTATGGACCAACGTACAGAGAAATACAGATAATGACTGTATAATTGAATATCAATACAAGGTTGAAGATGGAAATTTGAAGATGGATACCCACTATGGTATAAAAAATGATCATTGTTGGCAATGTACAGAAACAATCTCGTTCATCAATATGATTAGGGTTGCAAACTGCTCAAATATTGGGATTTCCAAAGGAAGTCTTAACCTGTGCTCATAGAATTGTGACCAAGGTATTGATACCGTAGATTCAAGACATTAAAACCATGCTTTACTTACTGATTCACCTGATGAATAATGAGAATAGTTAAAAGAGCAAAGATCCGGTTTGAATCGGCAAGCAGAAGAGAATGTTAGACGTGATTTAACAAGAGATCGAAAATTACTTTGGGTGAAGAAAAAAGAAGATCTGACTGCAATCATTTCTTATTGACAATACTAATTCTTTCTCTACAGTTTGCAGATAAACTATTGCAATTGGGTCAAACTGAAATGAGCCATGATCAACTTTACGAATACGTACTAAAACTTCAAAGCGATATTATCGAGGCGAACAATAATCGAAACTTTGATTGAAAGTATGAAGTGGTTTAGTGCTAGAGTGAGGATTATAATGATAATCCAACAAAAGTGCTATGAATGATGCCATATAAAGTAATGATTGTATACAGGCAGAATAGAGCTTGCTTTGAATAAATATGTACATTGGCAGATTATTGGGTATTAAGAATAAATGCTAACTCGTTTTCTGTAGACTGATGCTGTACGAGTTGAGGCTGGTACAATGGGCATCTGATGATAGTTTAATTTTAGGCTTTGTTCTTTTCTATAATGCATTAGAAGTTGATCACCGTATTTTTGCAATTCTTCCAAAGACACAAACATGTTGAAGCTATTTAATTTCAGTACTTCTATCTCTAATGCATTCAGCTCTTCCAAAGGTAGTCCCCCAACCTAATATTTTAATGTGATTGAGCATTCAATTTGTTTTTCCAAACAATTACAACAATCATACTTACTTTTGCATATCGAACGTTAGTAAAGAATACATCACTAAAAAATTTACTAGCAATCATCATTCCAACAATAGTAAGCCTATGTATATTGTACGAATCAATACGTAGGGGTATATGTTGCTGTTGCTGTTGAATTCCTGGTGATGATGACATACGGTCGAAATAGACTAACAAGCTCAAGAAGCATTCATTAGGACAAGGACAATATTTAAAAATCCTCGTTAGATAAGCATGTATATCAATTGTTGGAATGGAATTGGCTTGAAAACACAAATGCTGATCTGGTGTCTTATTGATGTGTATCAGCTTGTCATTGGCTTTTACTATTTTTTCAATTAAGCAAGTTATCATTTTGATAGTTTCTGTAACTGGGAAATTGGCCAAATCGAATTGAGGTCTTGTAACAATCGATAATCTTTGTCTCATGATGATGTTATGGCGTAGTATTTGTGAAAAATAAAAATGAGAAAATAATAAGAAGAAAAAAAGGTCAACTACATTATACAACGAAAGGAGGAAAGAGATATCCTTATTAAGGGGCAAAATGTTTATTTTTTTTCTTTTTTGCTTTTTGTTTGTCATCGGCCGAGCAAATTGCCTCTTTTTAATCGAATACCGGATCCATCTTTAACAATTGCTGCTTTGTTTTTTGCGTTAGAAAAACCCGTTCATAAATATGGATGTAACTGAAACCTATGCGAAGCTTCTGAGATCAATTCTTATGTTTCAATTTCCCTCGAGTCAAAAAGAAAATTACAATTTTGGGCAAAAGCACACAAAAGCTGACGTAAGCGTATTTTGCAAAGACATACTGACGCCGTAGAGATGGTAATTTATGCATGTTCAGGAGATCTCTAGCTTCATTCATTTAGACTACGCGCCTACAAAAAAATCTTTTTGGGTTCGGGATTGCTTCAGATATGTTTTGGCAAACTTTAAGTCTCAGTCAAATTGTTCTCCTGAAAGGTGCTAATCTTTCAACATAGTTACTTTTAGTTATCAATAAACTTACCTTTATGATCTTTGTAATGTGTATTTCAAACATGTCTATCGCCATTTAAATTGATGGGTGTTTCAAAGAGTTGATCATCTAACTATTTATCGTATTTAAGGCAGGATGGTAATATATTTACATGAGTAAATCAATCACAACGTACAACGAAATGTAAAATAAAACTTGAACTGAATATGAGCATTGCTCATGTCTTCGTTCCCGTTTGGTAAGCGGTCTGTTCAATTGCATACATTTGAACCTTAGATCAAATATATAAAAAATAAAGATAAGATAAGAAAAGAATATGGATTAAGGATAATTCTTATGTAAGATTAGCTAATCTCACATAAGAACTGAACAGTTTATCTTTATGAAATATATTTTACTTAGATTATCTATGGCTATATGACATTTAGATGTATAGCAGGATTGGTATATGTACTCGTAGGCTATATTGATTCAACAACCAGAACATAGTAGGTTACGATACTGCCCCCTATTCTGAAAATAAAGTATGGTTGGAGTTAAAAAAGGCTCAATCGCTTTTTATCAATACAACAACTGTTCAAGCAATTAAAAGAACACCATGCATGAATATCTCTTCCTAGCCAACATCTATAATCATTCCCACAGTATCTGAGCTACACAACTGGTGGCCGATAGATATTGGATTATAGATGTAGCTGCATGATCACCCTGGATATGCCAGGATAGCACATTACAAATCAATCCGCTCTGGGACAGACGAGTAAATATCCATCTAAAAGGAAGATATAATTTTTCATGGAAACCTCTGACTCACTGAGTGTTGGTGACTACAGGTTGGTCGAATATAGTTTCAATATATATCCAGACGATTGAACAACTGGTTTAAGATAAATTAAGATATGTGGACTAGATACGACACAGAAGTCAACTTAGAGTGCTCTTAGTGGCCTTAAAACCTGAGACCAGTACTCAAATATGAAAACTATTCGATTCGCTTCTTTCACATATTCATAATGCACATCGTTCAACCGCGGTTTGATGTTTATCCTCTTTGATCGTGGATCCTAATTTTGATTGTACAATAAATGCAAATAAAATTCACTTGCCGTTAAAAAGCCAAGCACCTCATCTGTTGTCAATAAATACAGATAAATGATGACAGATAATGAAAAGACTACGGTGGTGAGCTTTACATTTCATTATTACAGACTCAATGCTAGCATTTCTCATTTTGTTTATTGGTGAACCTCTTACCCATTCCCCAAAATAGAAGGCATTTTATCATGTGTAGCCATCTAAAACAATAACTCCAAAGCCAGAATGGATTCATCTAACAATCCCAACTTTTCCGTAGGTCCATATTCAAATCCAAAACATGGTAATACCTTTTATTCAATGAGTTATTATAGATTGGCGATTAAAGATATCAATCAATCATAAGTTAATAATGGTGAGATAAAGAGTATGAGTGCGGAAAGGTCTCTACTAATGCCTTTTCATCGAATATTCTTCTAATATTTAGTTTCAACCATCTTACTGCCGTCGAGCCGATACCTTTTACCATCCTTAGCTGTACAATAAAGCGAAGATACTTTTGGAGGAAAAATACTACCAGACCCAACTAACCGGCATTGGCAAGCTTGCAATAGGTTTTCGATCTTACGACCACCTATGACTGAATTCCCTTGTACGTTGATTATTCCAGGATATTTTATTCTTCCCTGGCATTCCGGATCAGTCTTATCGATTTCCCATAGGAATACACCATTGACAAGCACCGAAACGCAGAAGATTAATATATGGACAGTTTTCATAAGATTGATAAAAAGAGTCTTAGTCTTATACTGAAGTAAAATGAAAGAAAGAACACAACAAAGGAGTGAATGATGAGTATGGTTGATGTATAAATACCTGACCAAGCAATATGTTGTTTGAAGTAAGGAGTAGCATGATAGCAATGAGGACATACTACTTTTACATAGACTTGATCAACGGGAATGCAGGAGCCTATGATTTACATTGCGCCTCAGCTTGAAATACTTGCTGATCCGTTTCAAAATGGCCAACTTTTTGCAGTCGGTCGGCAACTATCCTTCTTTTTGCACCATAGATTTGCATATTGCATTTGAAAAACTGATCGGCAACCGTGATAAAAAGAAAGACTTGCAATAACTCCTGCTACCTTAATGCCACCAGCATGCAAGAAACAACCAAATGAATATGTCGATAATCACTTGAAAGCTTCGAAAGCTTCGAAACAAAGTTATACAACAAATTTTCAAGGTTGAATGACTTTTAAAAGGTGCCCTGGATGCATGGTGTGTCGTAACCCCCGCTGTAAAACCCTGGAATGCCTTTAAGCGCTAATAAACTCAATAGTATGATCTCCTTGGAGGCATTTCATCTTTTAATTTATGTATCTGTAACCTGTTTTAGATTATATATTGTATGATTAGCACAGGAAAGCAATAGAAGGGAGGGAAAAGAAGAAAATTGTTTATGTTCAATACAATCCGCTTGTGTCGCATCATAGCTTCCTCATTTTTCCTTCTATATCTTACTGAATTGTTACGTTCAACTTATCGCACACATGAAATTACACCATTAGCAAGCTAGAAATATGTTTTAAAAAGATCACCATGGACAACTTGTATGATATCTTTGTTGTTTTTCGTTTTTACAGGACTGATTTCTAGCATTTATTACAATTGCCACCATGATGAAAGCAGGAGTTTTATCAAAAGATCGTAAAAAACAATATACCGTATCCGCTCTGATTATAATACATCAGTGTCAGCTAAGATTCCGATACACACATTTCGTAGACGGCAAACAGTGTATTTCTTTATTAATAGCAGTAATTTTTGTCTTCTTTTCTTTTTCTTCAGTTGTTTCTGAAAAGAAATAAAGACGGTGGTTTGATTTCGTTAAGGTTTCGTGTTTACTTTCCCTTGTGCTATTCTTTATTTCTAATCCCATTACTAAAATCAGCAAATACCACACTATTGTAAAAGCATCCCTACTATGAAAACTTTCTACTCGTCATCCTCTGGCTGTCTTCGTCGAGTCTTGGGTAATGTTCAGTTGTTCTGCTTGATGCCAATTATATTTTTCTATGGCTCAAATGTGATTAACCCGGAGGGGAGGACAGTAATGCCATTATATCTATAGTGGCTGTGTTCAAGAAATCTAAATTCGCCACTGCTGCGGCACAGACCCATTACAAAAACCAAAAAGTCTAACCTTGTTTATATAAGAGATATTATACAACTGCAACCCTCTTGAAAAGTCCCTAAACAAGTCTAGGATCGCTTTTATGTGAAGATTGCAACACTGAAACGCGACATTTCCATCCCTAAACAATTATTGCTGTCAGATGGCATATACAAAACATTATCATGAAATCATGGATCAATATAATTTATTGGTGCAGTGTTTGAATAAGTGGTCATACTTGATAAATAAGGTTCTTATCTTTATCATTTCCTTATGGATCGAATATTTTCTGCGTCCTAACTCCTATTTCCGAATAAGTGTAACAGCACAAGAAACACGCATTATTGATCTGCGAATATGAAATCCGTAAAGCGATCGATTTTCATTTTTGACAGCTGAGCCCTTTACCAACTCTTTATCTATAAGAGTCCATTCTCGCAAATCTATTATCAATTCAAATGGTATAAAATAAAATAACATTGTGAACGCGCTGAAAGGCACTGCTCAAGAGAACTTGTTCGTCATGAAGCATACTGTTTTAGCATAGCATGTACATTGGGTGTAGGTGATTCTCGCTGAGGATTTTCGCGCTTATCCCATTTACATCGCTCTTCTTTACATCAGAACGCTTATACGCAAGTTAGATACTCTCTTGAGATATTTATACCAAAAAAGAAAGAGATATACCAAGATATAAAAAAAAAAGAAAAGAAAAGAAATGTAGCCTTCATGCTTCTTCTCTGTTCTACACAGCGCATCATCTTCGCTAAATAGGGTATTTAACAAAACAGAGATGCAATTCATTGCAAATTGTCTTTCTGCTATCATATATAAACATGAAGCACAATCCAAGACGCTACTCTTCCAATGAAATATTCTGTTAAGCTATAGCACAATCGCTTCTGGCCTAAATTTGCGCTTTTCATTGCTATATTATGTCTCCAGATTTGAGTTGAGCACCTCGCATACCATTAGTATACACAAGGATCAATGAGTTAACATTTTTGGCATCTGTCCAATTCACGCTTTAATGTTGCTGCAGCTATATTTTACAATGTTTGTCTGATTGAAATGAACGTATATTGTCAACAAAGCATATGAACCGCTATACAGTTTCAAAAGCAGAGATCTTCTGCTGATGCACTGTCACCTATGCCTTCTAAAAAACACCTGGCCAATCAGATAGCAACAACTTTTGACTCGAGAAAAGGGGTTTTCAGAAATCCCCGCCTTGTGTTATCCCAATTTTTGTGGGTTTTTTTTTCTGTTTCTGCTTTCTTTTCCGTCCTTTTTTCGGTCTTTGATACCTTTTTCGTAGACACACCTAGCTTCTGCAGGACAAGGATATACATATATTTTTATGTTTTATGATGAGTTTATTAGATGAGGATGAACTAAAAGCCTCAGCAGGACTAGTTCAGCCGGTACAGCATTTATCTATATCTTCTTTCCCGTCTAAGGCAGCTACTACTGCAGAAAACAACAATGAGTCAGGGTTAACAGAAGAAGAGAAAGAGGATGACTTTGGTGACCTTATTACAGCAGACACAGACAGTAACAGCCAGAATGACTCTGGTAGTAATACTCCACAACGATTTAATGGTCAACATTGTCATAAGCTATTTCCTCCCAACGTACTCTTAAATATATTCCGCTATTTGCCTATAAGTTCTTTACCGAATGTCGCTTTGGCTTGTCGACGATTCAAAGTATTGGTTTACGATGACGAATTCTGGGACGAAAAGTTGCACATTATGTTGAAAAATGATACTGGTGCTTTAAGGGCAATGCTTGGTAAGTATTAAGTTCTTGCAATTGTACGCTTTAAAAATAGTATTCAATCTCTATAATTTCTCTATTTCAGAGGGCACAACCACAAAAGGTTCTTTGATCGATTCAGAGCAGTCTATTTATATCAACAATAAACCTTTGAATACACTAATACCTGGCATGTCTACAGATCCATATAACACGAGAGCTCGGTCGAAATCAACCGGCTTTTCCAAACATTATTTTAAAGAACTCTACAAGCAACTCATACCTTATTATTTGGATTTAAAAGGATCTTACAAAGAGACAACCAAAGCTTTGCATGATTTTGGAGGGAATCCTGAGGAATGTGGCAAAGTCATAAACCTACTTGCCGGTTTGGGGCAATGCCATGTGGTAGATGGTTGGGAAGAAATCAATGAAAATGTTCAAGCATTAATGCAGTATTTCGAAAGTGTTTGTTTACATAAATTCGAAGTAGCTTATGATGCACATAATTCAGTAGACATGAAGGTCTGTCATATTTGCTAGCATGTTTTTCTAAGGTAGTATGTTGATATATCCCATTTGATTTGTAGGTTTATGCAGATGCATTAATTGCTTTAAATGGAGGATCAACATGTATGCAAACCTATCTTCAGAAGCACCCGATTTTTTATGACAATCCGTTCAAAGCAGAGGACAATTTCGTGTAAGGAAACTGTAGGAAGAGAGCTTCTGACGGCAATGAATTGTAATAACCATATTGCTCTACGATATATTTTTAGTGTGACGCATGACGACCTCACACCTTTGAAAAAGCTATATACACTCATCACCGACGAATTTAGGCAACAATCCATGCTGATTGCCGAAGTTTTCCCGGATAAAATGGACGCTTTTTATTTGTTCGCTGACAGAGTTTTTGAGGATGTGGTAATTACTGAAACTCACTTCTTTTGGAGAAGCAAACGTATCTGATGAACTTACGAAGAGTTTTCGATAGATAGCAGAGTTCGTATCCCAGTTACTAGGGCGTGCCATGTCCTGTAGTACACACTTATATTTATGCACTATATCGGTAGTTTTGACTTCCACTGAAAAAATGATAAAAGTTCTTACAACTGAAGAAGCCTTACCGAAGAAAATTGAACCAGAACGAGGCATCAATCTGCTATTCAAGCTCTTTCTTCCCTTCTTAGACGATTATTTGTATGAGGAACGACATTATGCAGAAACAATTACAAAAAAGAACATAGAAGAATGGGTAAATGAGCGTCAGAAACTCACAAAATGTCACCTCTGAAGATGAAACTTACTGTTTTCAATTTAGAACAACCGTTCTGCTGCACGTTTAGACGTTTCAACACGTCTTACAAATCAGTCACGGGAGACATTCAAGAGGTAAAAAAGACACAGTATGAAGGCTTTGGTTGGCACATTTATGTATACAATGTTGAAAAGAATATTTCACCCCTTTTTAGAAACTATTTGAGCGCGTTTAAAAAAGTTATAACGTTGCCCGTGGATCTTGTTTCAACAGCAGCCACCACTATTGCATCACCTTTTCACCGTTCAACTAGCGGTTTTCTACAACATAAGAATAATAATTTATCCGACAATGACACTAAAAGATCATCAACTACATCGCTAGAATCCATCACAACTGCACAAACTGCTACACCTCCTGCGACACCTAAAGTATCTGATACCATGATTAGGCCTTCTTCTTGCTCCAATTTAGCAGAATCTCACACTAGCAGTAGTAATGAAGGGAAAGATATAACGGGGCAATTAGAATTCGCTCGACAAGAATTGGATTTGCTGCAAAATTATTTATCTTTGGAAACATCGTTACAACTGATCCACATAAATAAAGAATCAGAACGACGAATACAACAGTTTATAGACATTGGGTTCCCAGGAAGGATGAAAATAGATATTCAACGGACATACGAACAAATTTTTGCGCAGTTATTAAGGACTTTGGGGCAATTGCACATTAGGCCTGCTTTTGAAAGGTAAGAAATCTTATCAACTATAGCATCCACAAGAAAATTTATACAGCTTTTGCTTATCTATATATATTTTATTGAATGATTTAGCGCGTCAGAAAGACTCTCAGTATACAAACCAAGCCTACAAGATACCTCATGCATGGAGGACGTTCCACCGCTTACTGAATTTTTTGAATTGGTGCATATTGCAGATGTTATTCAGCAAATGATTCAGCTTTATTATGACGAAGAAATTGTATGGAAAGTTTTTTTGATATTAAAAAAAGGTTATGTTATTAACAAAAAAACTTTTTACTCTCATGATAGACACGAAATGTTGATAAAACGGACTTCATGAATGAGGTGAATAAAGAAAAGAAAAATTTCGAAAGAACACTGGATGACTGCGTTGCACAGGGTATGGATCGAGGTATCCAAGTGTTGTTATCACAAGTCGAATTGATCCTTGCACAAGAACAGAAGAGCGACGACTATAACCTACCGACAGACCGTATGCCGGATTTAAAGCCTACAAAGGTAAACGTAGTAAGAGTACTTTAATATAGGAAATGAGATAGGAATTACTCAAAATAGAAACTACATACTCATTTGGATAGGCTTGTCAGGATACCATACAGTGTTTAAAAAGAAATACTTCGATGTTGGTGGGAGCAGCTGAAAAATCTACGATGGATCTTTTCTTTAGTGAAATTGGCCGACGGTTTTTTGAGTAAGTAAAAACATACAAGTCCATCTTATAGCTTTTGATGTTTACTGATTGATTTTATTTAGGGTATTGTGCAAGCATTTGAAGGCGCAAACAGTCAATCAAACAGGTGGCTTTAGATATATAAGGTAAGAGTGGCTATATTCACATGATTGTGTTCGTTTTCAATATTAACAGCCTAAATTTTCCTTCACGCTTAGTGATATGAATGCTTATTATGACTTCATACTCACTCTACGACAAAAGACTATTACGCCTTATTTCTTGGCACTTAAATCTTTAGCAAATCTCTACATTATTGATTCAGCAACGGATATAAAGTCACTTATTCATGATATGGAACGATATCATGGGCTTATGAGAGTAGAAGACCTCTTGGAATTTGCAGCCTGCAGAAGTGACTGGTCAACAATTAAAAGAGCCGTTCAAAAAGATATGACAGATTGTTGTATCATGTAATTACATATTCTTACTACTATTAGTTTCTACTATACACCGTAATTTCATTAACCCAAAGACTGTAATTGATGCAGCATTAACAAAAATACCTTTCTTTCTTCCTTATAAAGAAATAACTGTACATAGCCTGCAATTAAAAAAAATGTTACGTAACCCCACTACTGCCTGCATTATCACGCATTAAAAACGAGTATGTCAATTGCGATCGTAAAAAAAAAGAAAAGCTTACGAAAGTCGAATAGCTCCGCTTTAAAAGAATAATGGTGACTGGCGTATTGCTCTTTCGTAGGTTAAGCAAAATACGGGGAGCCTTCAACCAAAATCAGAGCTTTTTCTTCCATATCTCAGAAATATAATAAAGAGAAAATGGCTGCTAAAAATCTTCCCAAAGTGTTCTTTGACGTCGCGGTTAATGGCAATCCTTCAGGTCGAATGACATTCAAGGTAAAAAAATTGTGGAATCAAATGTTTGTTCCTGGAAAAAAAAGCAACCCACTGCTGTACGATTGTATCATGTCAAATGAACTGAATCATGCATAAAATTATTATAGCTCTTTGCTGACACTGTTCCCAAAACCGCTGAAAACTTCCGTGCTCTCTGTACTGGTGAAAAGGGTGTCGGCAAGTTTGGAAAGCCCTTACACTATAAGAACAGCCATTTGTAAGTCGGATATTATACCCAAGTATATTGTACATGAATAATTGATTACAAACGATAAAATTAACTTCAACTCTCGTCAAAGTCATCGTATTATCCCAGGATTCATGGCTCAAGGCGGTGGTAAGTATATCAAGTTGTATAGTAAGAAATCATTCTTCATCTAACATGGTTTTTGTTGTATCAAGATTTCACTATGGGTGATGGTCGTGGTGGTGAATCTATTTATGGCCACAAATTTAATGAGTAAGTAGAGGCATTCCAGTTAGCTTATGAACAAAAAGTCATTAACTACTTAGAGAAAATAATGATTCAATTTGTAAAAATAGTGAAAACTTCAAATTAAAACATGAAAGCAAAGGTCTCTTGTCTATGGCTAATGCTGGACCTGTAAGTCTGAGCATTTGACTCTTTAGTCAAAAAAAAAAAAAGTTGAGACAGAATATAATTATCTGATTCATCTACTCTCGTTGCTTTTGTATTCAGAATACCAATGGTTCCCAATTCTTTATTACCTTCGATAAGACTCCTTGGTTAGACGGCCACCACACTGTCTTCGGTCAAATTACAGAAGGTACAGAAGTTTTGGATCTTTTGGAGAAATATGGCACTCAAAGCGGTGCACCTCAAGCAAAAATTGAAATTATTGATTCTGGAGAGATCAAAGAATAAGATAGAAAAGACGTAGCAAAGCAAGCCCGGGCACCTTGATGTATCCAGTCGTTTGAACGCCAAAGGGCGGATTTTCTAAATAAAATACGGCTGATAGATTTTCATCCCAAAGGTCAATATCAGGAATTGTAGTCTTTTTATTCAGTCTATGTGATTCTCCACATGGTCCATTTATTTTCCTTCTGTTGTCTTTACAAAAGAACTCAAAACCATGATTACTACTATGCGATTGAAATATCTATGCTTGTTGTTTATCTAAAAATACATAGAGCAGAACGCAAAAAAGCCGGAGAAGAGACTCGAAAAGATACTAAACGTCGGAATATGTTTCATTGACAATTCTTTAGAGCCTGTCTTGAATGATAAGGTCAAGATCATTCAAAATCTCTTCCGCTTTCGATTTGATGTCAACAATAACCCAACAGAAAGTTATGAAGAATTGGCAAAAGACGATATTTGTCTCTGTAGAAATAAATGGAAAAAAAATAAAAATAAAAATTATTGAGATTGTTGAGTGAGCTAATCAATTAATAACTGTTATAACTCGATGGCCACGAACTTAGTGTTCCCATAAATAGAAAGGTTGTTTATTATGGAGGTCTGATAAGTTATTCTGTCATTGTGATGACGCGTTTATGTCAATCACTACTCCAGGTTCAGATGTTCGTGTGTAGTTCTTTATACCTACGCTTTTATTTCGTTATCTATTGTAGATAACCTGTCTTAGCGGTATTAAAGATCAATCTTAATAGAATGTATTCTCTACCTGGTTGGTTGTAAGTACCCGCGTATTGTAGTTGCTATCTCACCAAGCACGTCAATCCATTTAATGGAAAAAAGATAAAGAAAGATTTACAGGCAAGCATGATTATTAAACGATATCAAGCAGTATGTATGCTTTTCTATGTTGATTATGAAATGTTCAATGAAATAGCAACTACAATACGCGGGTACGTACGACCAACCAGGTAGAGAATACATTCTGCCACGGTCTACCTGTATTGCATCTAATTAAGCCACAAAACATATTGCTTTCAATATTCCCCTTTTTTCTCACCAATTCTGCACTATAGTATCCTTAATATGATTTCCTGATTTATCTATCATTATCAAGCATCCTCCATATGCTCCCTCAGATCCTAAACTTAAACTTAGTCTGATATCGCCAATGACCGGCTGTATATCACATATGGCTTGAACTCGACTATGTGCAACAACAAAAAGAGTCACTCCGCCCCTACTTCTAGGTCACTAACTACTCGACTGGTTACCCTCTTATCCAATCTCCATAATCATAGATCATATTCTTGCTTATCCTTTAAACCCTAAAGGGATGCTAGATAATTGTTACATTAAAAGCTGCTCTGGACAATTTAGATGGGTTTACGCATCTCGTGTCCGTTGGGCTTTGAAATTTTAAGATAATCTTTTTAACAAGAATGCTCTTTGAGCGTGCTTCGACAAATGAGGTGAAAATGATTGCGTTGTTCTTAATTTGATCCACAATCTTTATCTGGTATTGCTCACATTTGGGAGAAAAATACAAAATGCTATTTAAAAGTTTCGCTGCTGCTGTTGCTGTTGACTATTGAAGATGCTAGGAGCAGCAGAGGTATTGAGGGTTCTGAATACAGAGTATTTATCTGTAGTGTTTTTGAAAATGGAAGAGGGAAAGTATGTTAATGAACTTTTTTCATACCAATAATGGTATTCCGACCCGTGAATACTTGTTCCTTACCTAATGGTACAGTGTTTGCCATTTGGTTATTATATTGCATTTGTACTGTTGCAGTTGGCTGTGCCATATTGTTACTATTCTGGATGGTAAGAGCTGTGTTGCTAAATGCACCAGTACCAAAGGGATTATCAGGTGTTGCATTGACCCAACTTCGGTTGCCAGTTGCATTGGTTGCAACTATGGGCGATTGCTGTTGATAAGACTGCGGGGTATTCATTCCAAGGTTGTTGGTATTCTTCATTCCCGTAGGCTGCGGAATGAGAGGGGGAGGTAGCCCTTGCTGCAACGGTGCTGACATAAATCTCGATGGATGATGTTGATTATTAATAGAGGAGAAATCATTTGTATTCGTTACTGTGTTCGTGCCATGTAGCAGCGGCGAGGCGTGATTTGCTGTGGAGGGAAAGCCTAGTGTTTGAAACGAATTATTGCTGCTTCCAGTATATTGTTGGGGCTGAATTGCTGCGCCGCCCATGATAGCAACAGAAGAAGGATAATTCCCAAAGGGTACTGAAGGTGAAGGACTCGAAATTGTATTTGTAGCACTATGATGTCCCAGGGTAGCTGAAGGATAATTGTCGTTGAACCCGTTTTTCTGCTGAGCATTGTGTGTCGATTCATTCACAGGAGCAGGTGGTGGTGGAACAGGTCGACGATTTGCTGCCGCCAAAGCAGAATCTCCTTTCCATTTAGCAAGCAGCTCTGGATCTACTGAACTTTTTTTGGGGGTTTGAGGAACAGGTCTTTGGCGACCAGCCGGTAAGCCGGTCGCTGTATTGCTCTCTGAAGGTGCAGAATTTGTTCTTTGAGGGGCAACAGAGGTATAAGTAAGATAATTATCTCTTGGTTGAGTAGACGGCGAATTTGATGCTCGCGGAGCCCAAGCGTCATCGGCAAATCCGCCTGCAGTTCGAGAGGTACTGGCAGAATTTTCCGGAGGAAAATACGTGGGGTTATTTTGTCGTAGATGTAGTTGATTACTGAATGACGTTTGTTGAGTTCTGAAAAGTGTACTATCAACATCTTTTGGTGCCGACTGGGTAGGTGTCGGTCGTCCTGTGCCCCGACGGTGTAGACCAATATTGTTATATTCTGTTTTTTTTTCTTCTTCCTCTTGAAGCTGTCGAGCAAACAATTCATCCTGTTGTATCTGTTGCTGTCGTTCTTGTTCATCATAGTAATCAGTACTATAATTATCCTCAATAAATGTAACGCCTCCGAACGTAACCGATTTCTTCACTTTTTGTTTGGGTTTTTTCCCTTCGTCCTCCGACGGTGGTTCTGCTTGGTTTGTTTCTACATATCTCTGCAGGCGTCTAAGATGACGTTCAACCATTCCCAGCGCCTTGAGTTTCTTATACGTCAGGTGGTCGATATCTTTCTCTGATAATCCGTTAGCCTCAAATGTACGGCTATAAGTAATGCAAGCGTTGTGTGGCAGGTTTATCCTTTTGAAAAAATTGAACCAGTCGAAAGGCTGTCGTTGATGTTGGTTTCCAGGTACCAATAAATTGTTATCATTCTTGTTCGTCATAAGACGAAGCCCTGTTTCCTTCTCTATAAACTGCAAATCTTCTAAACACATTTTATCTAGGGGAACATCGATCTTGACCCCATTTGCTTTGTGAAGCCTGATTTTTCCGTTAACGCATAACAAAAATTGCGCCTCCACTTTGAATGCACCTGTTCGGTCTGTCCAAATCCTCATTTTAGAAGGATCAGGTCCTGCATACGAATGATATGGTTAGCATACCCGAGTTGAGCAAATATGGAAGATAATGGATAATTTACTTATTGAATCGAGTTGAGGTGATTGACGAGTTTGATTATCCACCAACCGACTACTTTGATTAGGTGGAGGTGGCGCTGGTATTTGACTACGTCCTAAGGAGTGTTAATTGTTGGTCGTACCTATAAACATCGGCACAACTATAGCATATGCTTACTTGGAGAACTACTGCCTAACTGTGTTGATGTGTTTATCGATGAGCTCACCTACGGAATTGGTAAGTAATGACAAACGTCTGAATGATTATTCAGAAGAGAAGTTTCATTTTTGTTACTTACGCTTGTTTGAGCTATCCTACTCTCTTTATTTTTTCTCATTTTATCTTCAGCTTCTATTTGCTTTCTTCTTTCAATCTCGTCATCTTGCTCTCTTTTTGTTCGGTTTATTTCTGCTAATTCTTGTTGTTGCTGTAGCTGTCTTTCACTTTCCTCCCTACCAACCGTTTCCCTCGCCTGCTCCTTTGCAGTATTATTACATTCAGCAAGTATTTCTGCTTCATATTCGTCTTGGAACTTGACATAGGTTGTTGGTACCATCCCAGATGTCCCATCCTTATGTTCAATTGTCAACCAATCTGTACTGTCTGCATAACCAATAACCAAAACTTGTTCATCTTCTTGAAGGTATGTCTCCTCATTATTCTCCGCGGTGAAAGCATATAAGGCTATGGCCCATTTCGGTTCATGCATTTGTGTCGATTGTCTTGCATCTATCTCAGGCACAGTACTAGAAGAGTCTTTTATGTCTGCTGTTGTGTTTTCGATGCCATTTGAGTCTATGGCTACAGGTATGTTCCTTTGTTGCTGTTGTTGTGCTTGGTGATCCATCATATCATCGACAAGAGCCTTTGATGATTGTATTTTTTCAATAATAGCTTGTGCTTCCGAACGCGATGATGTCCGGAAGTCAAAGACGGTTTTCTCAGAATCGTCAATAATAATATGTACATTCTGCGCATTGAATACAGCATCCCTTATTTGAGTTACTTGAAATTGACGTACAGGGGAAGACTTATCTGTCTCACTTCCGTAACAAATCATTCCATTACCCACTAACAAGTTCCCTCTGTCTTTTGTTGTTGTTTTTCTGTTTGTATCATACTCAAAAACTGGCCAAGACAGAACTGAATCCTTTCTATTGATTGTAGCATTTGTACTTGTATATGAATTATTTGCTGGTGAAGCAGGGATTGTTGTTGCTGTTGGTTTTTCAATGCTATCAATCTTTTCTACATAATTACTCGGTGCTAAACCAAACAGCCCTTGTTTATTTCTAACGAAGAACCAGTTAGGGTCGTCGTCTTCATATAAAAATAGACATTCGTCTTCTTTCAACTCCATTTCTTCGTCTGACCGAGGTGTGTAGTCATACAGAGCCTTCAGGAAACCGATCGGTTTAGCCTATATTTTCGTACTGGTCAGTTACAATATAAGCGACAAGAGAAGAGGATAAGATGTAGTTTGTATATTACTTCTTCCACATAGTTTGAGGGAATGAGGCCAATCGGGCCATCACCTTGAGCTGGTGGTACTTTTAGCTGAGCTTTATACCAATTTGGATCGTCCTTGTTGAGTACGTATAAAATATCGTCAGTACGGAAAGATAGTTCTTCATCAATACTTTGAGCTTGATAATCGTACAACGCAATATAAATAGCGAGGTACTTCATGTTATCAGCCAGCGTATGTTGATATCAATTAAACAATCAAAAAGTGTTAAACTTTGATGTGTATTTCCAAACCTATTAATAGATAGTATTATTTGATTGGCGGACAAAATTCAGAAATTTGGCGGATTGAGTGTACCTTGCTTCCCCTTTTTGAGAACTTCCATGTGTATAATGTTAGTGATTCACACACAGAATATTCTAACTGTTTCAGCAACAACGAAAATTTTTCTGAGATTGTTGGCCAGAAACAGCAAGCAAAACTGTTGAGACCGTACAGCGATTAATCAGATTTTTTTTTGTTTTTTTGGAAGCAAATCCTCATTATATACAAGCGAGGCAAAAAAAGAATATAGAAATGAAGGATCAAGACGAAAACTGCCAGAACTTGTATTTGAGCAAAGAATATATGTTCTCATAAGCAGCCTTTTTTATAACTAAAGATTTCAATTTCATATCTTCTTTTTTTTTTTTGTGCGAAAGCAGGAGAGAGTAGGAGAGGAGCGAAGCTAAAAGTGAATGTGTGGAAGATATACTTTTATTTAATAGCTCAAACATACTGCTTGCTGTACTTTAGATGGCTAAAGGGGCCTACTCGACGTCTTCATTTTGAAGAGTTTATCGATTTATGCGGGCCTGAGAATACAACTTGGCATGACTGTTTGCATGCGTAAGGTTGAAATCAGTGCATAAGCTCATACTCTCAACACCCATCCTTCCGGTCAAAAGTCGATCAAGCTTGTGCTTAAAATTATGCGAAGCTTATTGAAACTGAACTTTGACAATCCTTCGCTGTTATAATTCAAGTAATTTACTTCTGTAATTATACAAAAAGCTAAGCCTTACGATTATCCATCTCAACCCGTCTTTCTCTCAACATACGAAAAAGTGCTAATAGTGAGCTGCTTTCATCAGTTCAGTTCAAACAAACTTATTTCGCATAATAGTTTTGTGATTGCTCATTATATCAATTTCTGTAAACGTAGAAAGGTTTTGTAAAATTGTCTCTATTTACTATTTAACGCTTACAATTGATATCTTTTTCTTCTTTTAATTTGATATCGCTCGTTATATTGCTTGTGTAAAGATAAACTTTCATAAGTGCTCTTTCAAGAAAAAAAAAAGTGCATTATGCTTACAGAGGTATCACTTTGACTGCACTTCATCTTTACGTTACCTACCTCATTTTCTTCCACTTGTTGATCTAAACTTTAGTTTTCACGGACTGTTTTCTGAAGATTAATAGCGCACAATTGACTCTCAAGTTATTGCTCCAAGCAAAATATCAAAAAAAAAGCTCTGAGAGCCAAAGTTGTGAAACAAATTAAACACCATTTTACATCCAATTGCTTAAAGATAGCGGAAATATCTGTTGATTGCTGTAGTTGCTTTTCCTGTAGGTTGTATATTTAAGAGTTTCTTAGGATACATGTAATGAAAGAAGTGTAATGACTTGGAAAAAAGAGAGATGGTCAAAAATACATCAGTTAGAAGGTATGCGGGGGTGGAGGAAACCAAGAAGTTCGGCTCTCATACTCAAGGAGGCTAACTACCTTATGCTTATATTGTTGGGATGTAGTTTCAAGTAAGTAAGTGACCAGAATATTGTACCTATTTATCGACCGCGTTGTTGTAAGGGTACTTCATTGTCAAAGGCTTATTCAATCAATACAGAGCAGTAGTTAAGAAGCGCTGTATTTTGAACCTGACCCTTACGAAAACTTTGAAACGTGTATGTGTGCTAAGCATCTTTACACACAGGAGAATCAGAGAAAAGCATTTCGAATGACTTTACGCTGACCAATACGATTGCAAGAGCAATGTTCATGATTAATTGTCTTTAGGAGATGAGGTAAGGAGAAGAAAGCGTAATATCGTGTGAAGGACTTGCTATGTACGACGGACAAACTCATACTCCTTAAAATAGTATATGCTGAATATGTTTGAGGTTTTCTGTCCTTTTTCTTCGAACTCATTATTGTAATTAGAATATACCGAAGACATTTTTTCCTTTAATATATTAATTTGATCCATTTGTGTAATTTAGACAGTCTTGTAGCCTTAGTTTAAACAAATATAGCCGCTGTTATCTAATCGAAGGAGCATTACGATAGAATTTGTTAAGAAGGACAATGAGAGAGTATAAACTTGTTGTTTTAGGATCTGGAGGTGTGGGGAAATCGGCCTTGGTAAAAATATTGCATCTACAATTTATTGACTCATATATTATCTTGAATCTAATCGCTTCTAACTGTATGGCTTTTCAAAGACTGTTCGATTCGTACAGTCTATCTTTGTAGAGAAGTACGACCCAACTATTGAAGATTCGTACCGGAAGCAGGTAGAAATAGATAGCCAGGAATGTATGCTCGAAATATTGGATACGGCTGGTACTGAACAATTTACAGCAATGAGGGACCTTTATATGAAAAATGGCCAGGGATTTCTATTGGTCTTTTCAATAACGAGCACTGTCACTTTTGACGACCTGAGTCAGTTGAAGGAACAAATTTTGAGAGTGAAAGATTATGAAGCTGTAAGAAATTGTTACATGTTTAGATAAGGGCACGTATTCAGAACACAGAATAACATCTTTACTTGTATATTACACATACCCACAACCCTGCGTAGGTTCCTATGGTATTGGTTGGAAACAAAACAGACCTTGAAAATGAGCGTATGGTGTCTAAAGAGGATGCTTTTGACAGAGCACAAAAATGGGGCAACATACCTTTCTATGAAACGTCAGCTAGATGCAAAATCAACGTAGATGAAGTATTTTATGATTTGGTTCGACAGATCAATAGACAGACAGCTACTAAGGAAAAACAGAGGAAAAGGTTTCGATGTAATATTCTATAAGTGTATGCGCAAATCATGAATATCCTTCAAAATCACCTTAATCATCATCAACAGCCCATTCATGCTATCTTAACCATAATAAACTCTACAGATTCAAAATTACCGCATATCAAGCGATTCAAAAAAATGTTATTGGTACTATATAGGCGCTTGTATACTGAGCTTGACGAGGTTTTATTCAATAAGTAATATTAGTGAGTATCCTGCAAATTATAAGTTACAGCAGAGTATCTTGAATGTCAGTATTGATTATCAACATGACATATGACACAATGATGGTAAATTTCTGTAGTAGTGCTTCTGCAGTCAGTTCTGTTTATTCGCTTGTAAACGCTGTCTGTTCATCGCCACTCTTAATCAATTTGGATCGAGGCGCGTAATCTAGAAATTCGTGTCAAGCACAAATTTATGCCGACGCTTTTTTGTGTTACCATACTCTCAAAATGTTTTGATGAGAATAATTTTGGTGCAATTGACAGCAAAAAATAGCTGCTTGAAAAGCAACACTTAGTATGAAACGTTCTGCTGCTAAGGGCACTAAACTCAGTCATGGTCGGAGAGATAAACTGTAACTCAACAAAGCGAAGAAGGTAAGACATATGCATAATGCTTTTGATTTATTTTTTGAGTCTTGACAAATAGATCTTGAATAGTTTTGTACGAACTGATGAAAGGCAAGAATCACCCTAATTTTGCTTTGCTCGCAGTTTGTTTTGTTTTCTAAAAGACATCAGATATTTATATGCATAATAACCTGACATAATAATCACGGTTGTTACAAAGAAACCGAATAAAACGGGCAACAAACCAACAAGACCAACAGCGATTGCGGAAAAGACAAAGAAGGACCAAATGAAAGTAGAGGTGACAGTGGCGAAGAGCATCACGCCGGAAATGAAAGCCAAGAAAATACCCAAAGGAATGGCAGTTAAGCTACCAAAAATGTAGCATGCTAATCTAAAGTCTTGTCTATGGTTGGAGAATTCATTATAGTCATGTCAATTTAGTTGTAAGTTCATGATAACTGATATATACTGCTTTTTAGATTAAGGATGTTTTACTGTTGCCATAATTCTTTCATAGTAGCTTCAAATGCACTCCAATAAAATTGTGCTCTATGCTGAGTCTTCATTAAAAAGTTCTTGGAGCTTTCCAATTTCGTTTGAACGTTCCTTTGAACGTTCTTGCCAAGGTCTGATGAAGCCATTTGATAAGGGTATTGAGCAGTTTGTATGGTAGACATTGTCTATGTTGAGAGTTGAGTTGTAAAGAGAAGAAAGATATGTCCAAAAACCCGAAAAAGTACAGAACAATGATTTTTTGAGAACACGACACACAAAAATAGTTGAAAGCAAACAGACGTGACTGTAGCGCCGGTAATAAGCTGGTTCTAAATTCTTCAATCTATAGCACAGGTATTTAATGCTATGCACCAAATCACTGCTGCTCGTTCATGAATCAACACAGTATTTAAGGCATTCTTTTTTTTTTTTTTTTTTTTTTTTTTTTTTTTTTGTGTAATCCAGAAAAAAAGGCATTATTTGAAAAGCAAGGTGCTTTTAATCGGTAAGAGGAAGTTAATGCTTCTGAATCTCTTAAAGCAGCCGAATGATAATTCATAGTGAGCTTTTTTTTCTCCATCAGCGTGGATCACAATTACTGATTTCTCAGTGAACATAAGCAAATGTAACCTTTTTATGAGTAGCCGAACATTTTTGCTTTGTTACTACCATTACCATCACCGTTTGTATCAGCAGATTGCTTCGATATATGACCATTTTAGGCACGGAATCAATTAATCCGCAGACAGTCATAACAGTAACACAACAGCATGCTCACACCTATTTTCTGTAGAAAATAATTGACAACGATCGTCCATTGTTTGTCAGATAGAGCTTCTGCATAATCAAAGAAGGTTAATTTTTCAGCTCTTAGCAGCTTAAGCTTGTTGTGGTAAGCAAAATGACAATCGAATAGCCCTCATTCTTTTCGAAAATTTTGCATAACATCAGTTGTGCGAAAACGGCAAATTTTGATAGGTCAGAAAAAAAAAAAAAAAGGAAGTTCATTACAAGGTTTGCCTTTGTTCGGTTTGAATCATCTACATTTCGTTTCTTTTATCCTTTCAAATACCCTCTAACAACTGCATTTTCTAGTATAAACTAAAAGATATACATAGAGCCCCTTCATTGCTAAAGTACCGGCAATTATCTGCAGCTAGAAGTAATAACAGATCCATTAGATTACACACTGTTAAGATATTGATTTCCAATACTTCAGATATTATTTAGCCAACAATAAGTAAAATTAAACGCAAAGAAACTGTTGCGTACGTGAATCTCGACTACGCAAAAGCTTCGAACTTATACGATTTATTAAGACCCACCAAACGACGATCTTGCAATTAGATCAACATGACCACTGTAAAGCAGTTAAAGTCAAGAATACCGAAAGCGAATTTCTATCCGACAGAAGACGAAATAAAACGTTATGATGCAGAACAAATGTCAGAACAGCTCGCTCAGCAACATAAACGGAGTAGATCTTCCCTCAGCAAAGATTGTGAAGATTTTGAAGTAACAGAGTTCCCAGCTGTTATTCAGTCTAATGCGATTATGAATGAGTCCCGAAAACATAACCTACTGAATGCCAAAGTTAGTAATGATCTTGATTCACTTGCGCTTAATTCCGCAAGGAGGAACAGCAGCAGTTCGAATCACATCGCTAAAGACAGCAATGATAAAAAGAATGTAATGAACCTGCTACACATATTTGATCCTTTACAAAATTCTTCGCCGAGCAATGAACGCACGGATATCGGGGTTGAGAATCACTTACAACGCCAGCAGCAAGTAAACTTAATGTCACCAGCTATGGCTGCAAACTCAAACAGTAGACTACCAACACCACGCAGGCCTGCACAATTTCATCATACTTCAGATGACAATTTTCTCAAAAATAACGGCAGCGGTGCTATACAGCTAAACCCAACTCCACCTACCTCGCCTGGTGGCAGCAGACGAGTAGGACACCATTCGTCCATTGCTCGAGTTGTTAACGTACCTACTGCAGAAAACACAATAGGTGTTGAGAAAGCCAAAATCCCATTGGCTGAATTTGACCCGCTTACATTTCCTTTTTATGAAAATGAAGCAGAAACTGCAAATCATGATTCAGAGAAAAAAGTCCCTTGCAACCCTGATACATTTGACCGAATTGGTTCTTGTTTCTCTTCTTTAATTGCTACCAATACTACTAAGAATAGCATTCATACATCAAGCCAACCGATACATCAGCATCAAATAAGTTCACAGTATCAGGTACAGTTAATGACAAAAAAAAAAAAAAAAAAAAAAGTTATTCTTACTGTCATGGAAAAGCTTAGGAAATGCAGAAAAATCTGACTTTTTCTATTTTTTTTTATTCCTTTTTCTGATTTTTCCTCTTTTAACTTGATTTGTTGCAAAACTTGATAAAAAAAAAAGAGTGACAATTCTATGAAGTTATCAGAAATTTCAAGTGTCAAACAACCTTCGCAGCAAAATAGCATGACAAGAATCCCACTACCGATATCTAATGATAAATCAACACCACAATTGATAGACTTACTCTCCACGAATAATGTGAATCTTCAGCAGCCACAAACTGTACAGGCGAATCGCCGTCTAAGTCAAACTAGATTGAGAAAGCCTGAAATATTCGCACCTACCTCGATCAAAGCTTCTTCTTCACCGTCGTACGTAACAACTACATCTACATCAGATACAGAGTCTTCGATACCGTTTCCAGCATTTCACCGCCGCATATCATTTCCAGCAGATGCCAATGATATTCTAACAGAACAATTAAGTAAAGAACGTGAAGCCTCTCATCGTTTAAGTGCCAACTTGATATCAGCACAAGGACTTATCAGTCAACCAAACAGTCATGATGGATTGCAATATCTGGTGGATGCGAGGTCACCTACAGAAAAAGACTGTACTGTAACGCACTCGCAATTAAGTGATCCAATGTCGATTGATTCTGATAATAACATTGAGTCACCTGTCAATGCAATGAGTTCGAAAGGTAAATGATGGAAAGCACCAAGAGAAAGAGTTTATTTCTATCAATGGCAATATAACTTTTTTAACTGTTCATCTATTTTGGCATTAGTTGCGTTCAACAAATATAGACACTACCTTTCACCTTTCGAAAAGACTGAAATACTAAGATACCCTGTTATTTATTATGTTGGATCACATGCCAAAAAAATCAATGCTTCATTGGATCAAACTACATTAAATCATGGATACGATGATGAAAAAGGAGACTACAAATTGATCACGAAAGACCATTTGAATTACCGTTATGAAGTACTGGAGACCTTGGGAAAGGGTTCATTTGGACAGGTGGTCAAATGCCGCGATCATAAGTGTACAAAATCCGATCCATTCAATAGCACAGTAGCTGTCAAAATCATTCGGAACAAAAAACGATTTCAAGCACAAGCGTTAACAGAAGTTAAAATATTAGAACATTTAATGAAATGGGTAAGTTTTAGAGCCTGTTCAGTACAACAACAGTTTGTTACTGTATGCTTATCTCTCAAATACCCGTTTTAACAGGATCCTAAGGGGAAGCACTATACTGTGAGAATGCTGGACAACTTCTATTTTCGAGAACATCTGTGCATTGTGTTTGAGTGTTTAAGCTTGAATTTGTACGAAGTGTTGCAACAAAATGGATATCATGGTTTCAGTATGGGTTTAGTGAAAAGGTAAAAGAGAAAGACACTCAGTCATCATCTGAAAATAAAACAGCACCTAACCGGGCCTTGTGTATTTGTGTATTTACTTTTTCGCTTTATAGATTTGCTTACCAAATCTTAATGTCGGTCAAGTTGCTCAATGAACACAACATCATTCACTGTGATCTTAAGCCAGAGAATATTCTATTGAAGCAACCTGATAGGAGTTCTATTCGTGTGATTGATTTTGGAAGTTCATGCTATATCAATGAAAAGATATACACATACATTCAAAGTAGATTTTATCGTGCACCGGAAATAATTCTTGGCGTAGAATATGGTCCATCTATTGATATGTGGAGCACTGGCTGCATTTTGGCAGAGCTCTACACAGGTCATCCACTATTCCCTGGTGAGGATGAGTCAGATCAATTAGCTTGCATTATGCAATTATTAGGTATTCCTGATAGAGAATACTTGGAAAGATGTACAAGAAGAAAGCAATTTTTTGGTGAGTAAACTGAACAAAAGAATCGAGAAAAGGTAATCCATCTCTAATAGAAGCATGTGTTCCATAGATTTATACGACAAACCACGGAGAATCATCAATGCAAAAGGAAAAAAGCGACGTCCCAAATCTCTGACTTTTGCAGAAGCGCTGAGAAAATCGCCTACAGAGCCAGTGGAGAAGGAGTTTATTGACTTTATACGCAGATGCCTTACCTGGGAACCAAGCACTCGAATGAAACCAGTGGAAGCACTCTGTCATCCTTGGCTCCAATCGATGAAGAAATAAAACATCTCCCTGCACCAATGTGAATTCATGTAACATACCCCTAATTTGGTTAACAAAACAATCGTTGTCATGGCAACATAGTTAGATCTCATTCTCTTTTCTTTATTGGTTTATTGGTTTTCACGAAAAACCGCGCATTATACAAAGAGCGCGATTTTATTGTTCCTTTTTTTTTTTTTTTTCTCAGCTTTTTTTGCCTACTTTCTCTCAAACATATATTTTTATTTATTGTTCTTTGCCCGGATAAGCCCACTCATACACTAATAAAATGTCTCAGCAAAGCCAAGACGATATGGGTATAACACCTATTTCAAGCTTAGAGGTACAATTTATCTTTTCGAAATGCAAAGTTTTCAATTTGTCATTGAGTATTCATCCATTGCGTTTTTTTTTTCTTCACATTAAAAGGAAAGCGGAATCTCTGCTACGGATATTAAAAGGCTAAAAGAAGCTGGTTATACAACAGTAGAGTCCATTGCATACGCACCCAAAAAAAGTCTGCTCCAAATTAAGGGTATCTCAGAAACAAAGGCCGATAAACTATTAGCAGAAGGTAAAGCCTACTACGGAAAGATTAAACAAACAAACAAACGGAAGTTCTGTCTAGTGATTCAAAAACATGAAAGATAGACTAACTGTTTCACTCGTGTTCGCTTTGTAGCTGCTAAAAGAGTGGATTTGGGGTTCACAACAGCGACAGACATCTATCACCGTAGACAGAACGTTGTATACATCACTACCGGTTCTAAAGATCTTGATCGTATGTTAGGAGGTAAAATAATTCTATCTGACTGTTTAGACATACCTGATTGAATCTTGTCTAACTGTCATTTTTTTAGGCGGCATTGAGACAGGATCCATCACTGAACTATTTGGTGAATTTAGAACAGGCAAAAGTCAATTATGTCACACACTCGCTGTTACTGCACAGCTACCCATTGAGATGGGAGGAGGGGCAGGAAAATGTTTATTCATCGATACCGAAGCAACCTTCAGACCACAGCGTATCGTAGCTATTGCTGAACGATTCGAGTTGAATGCAGAGGAAACGTTGGATAATATTGCCGTTGCACGTGCTTATAACACAGATCACCAAGCACAACTATTGATACAAGCAGCTGCTATGATGACAGAAGCTCGTTTCTCTATATTAATTGTGGACTCAGCAATGGCATTGTATCGTACAGACTATGTGGGGCGTGGGGAATTATCAGCCAGACAGACACACTTAGCCCAGTTTCTTCGTCAGCTTCAGAAATTAGCGGATGAGTTTGGCGTTGCCGTCGTTATCACAAATCAAGTGGTAGCACAGGTAGATGGTATGAACATGTTTAACCCTGATCCCAAAAAGCCAGCAGGCGGTAATATCATCGCGCACGCATCATGCACACGATTACAGTTGAAGAAAGGCAGAGGTGAAAATCGTATTTGCAAAATCTATGACTCACCTTCTCTTCCAGAAACAGAGTGCAATTTTGCTATTATGGAAGACGGTATTACGGACGCCACTGAGTAGGCAACTTATGTGAACATAACCTTGTCTTTTTTTTTTTTTTTTCTTCCTTTTTCTGTTATTATTTTTACTACAAATTATTATAGTTCATTTAGTACATCATAGAGTCACTTTGTACATAACAATACCACTTAATCCGTTGACTTATAAAGCATCATTATAACACGCGTAAACAATTAAAAAATGCCAATGCGTCACATAGACTTTGAATATCCAGAGCTATTCATTACGTTGGCATAATTATGTAAAACTTTACAGATTTCTGTAGCTACGATAAATCTCCTTCGCGGTCGCTCTGTTTACCCCTTTGATTTCCGAACATAAATTCATGCATTTCCATTTTTTTTTTTTTCCATAGTTTTCTTGCACTTTCTTTCGATTTTCATTGAATGTTCAGGCCCAACTTACTAAAGACAAAGATACCTGTGCGTGCTGCCACCGTTTCTTTTATGAAACCCTCATCGCGTTTAACGGTAGCACGAGGTTTTTCTTCGTCAGTAAAGCTTGCTTCCACCAAAACGGTAACAGCGGCAGCAGCCAGCGCAGTTATTTCTCAACGACAGAATATTGGACGTTTCAGAACTCTGAGCAGTGTATGTGCAGTACTCGCAACCACTGCAGTTTTATATGCATCCAAAGATAGCAATGTTCTGGCACTTGAAGCCAATGACTGTAGGTTATATAGTTATTGGTGGGCAGCACCTTTGTACGTTCAATAAAGTTGATCTCACACACGATCTCGAACTTGAATGGGTTTCTATTCAATGTAGCCTTAGGTGATGCCATTTGCCACGCTATTGTACAAAATGACTTTAAAGCCCTGAAAAAGTAATATTGAAATAAGTTCAGTTTTAAGAGTAAATCCTTTGATGTTCTGACTAAACGATAAATGTAGGTTGGCTGAGGATCCGAATTTCACACCCAACGTTTATCATCGATATGGCTGGACGCCTTTGGTAAGCCATCGAGAAATTCTTAGTAAGAATGATAATCTGAAGCTCTGCATACTAACCCATCAAAATGTTAGCAAGTGGCGGTTATCCAGGATAACGAACAAATGGTACAGTTCCTTCTTGATAAGGGGGCAGGTAAATAAAGGCAACAGAGAATGTCGTTCGCAACACAGTAAATTCAAATTTCGCTTTGAACAGACCCCAACCTTCAGGATCAATATTATCCACGATCACATCAAGCAGCAAGCGTCCGTCAAGTGGATTTCTCTGAAGATTTGCTACCCTATCGCGATTATCGAGAATACACAGCCCTGCATTATGCAGTCATTATCTGCAATCCAAACGTAGTCAAACTCTTATTGGAACATGTTGCTGATCCTCTTGCACGTAACTCCCACGGTTTGACACCACGCGAATATCTTTATTACGTAGAACGATTTACAGGCGAGCAAAATACAGAGATTGAAGAAATGTTACATGGTATGTGGTTGCAATCGACAGAGGATTTGAAGGAATTGACAAATATGAACTCAGTCATTTGTGTGTTTTTCCATAGCCAAAGAGCTATCCTATCCAAAAGATAAAGCAGAACATGATGAGCGACAACGTAGAGAACAGTTTTTAAAAGAGAAAGAATATCGTAGAAAGCATCCTTTAGAAGATGCATTAAAAGGGCGTATAGTAGGACAATTAGGACCTATTCATGCCATTTCAAGCGCTATTCGACGAAAGCAAAACGGTTGGCATGATGAGGAACATCCTTTAGTGTTTTTATTCTGTGGATCATCTGGTGTAGGCAAAACGGAGCTTGCAAAAGGTACATAGCCTATGAGCAATGGAGTTAGTACTCTATTGACGGAAAGTTGCAGCAATCAAGCTAATTTTTAATCACTTATTAAACAGCTCTTGCACAGAATCTACACGGAAAACAATTGGATAAGGGGTTCATACGTATTGATATGAGTGAGTTTCAACACAAGCATGACGTATCAAGATTTATAGGATCACCGCCTGGCTATGTCGTTAGTATTGAACAAATTAGAGAAAAAAAAAAAAAAAAAAAGAAAGAAAAAAAAAAAAAAAGAAGATAGGGCAGCGAGCTAAGTCTATTTGATTTCTATCTTTAGGGTTATGATGAAGGCGGTCAACTTACCGAAAAACTCAAAGAATGTAAAGTTTTTGTTTTAGTAGTAGATGCTGGAGGTTTTACTAATGAATATATTATCTTTCGTAGGCCCTAACGCTGTAGTCCTTTTGGATGAAGTAGAAAAAGCACATCCCGACGTATTGACAATCATGTTACAGCTTTTTGATGAAGGTCGTATTACAGATGGTAAAGGCACAACAGTAGAATGTAAAGACGCCATCTTTATTATGACTTCAAATCTGGCACAACACGAAATTGCAGATGAAGCTGAACTCTTGAGACTGGAAGCTTCCGTCTCTTCTGATGCGCAGACAACGGGTACTGCTACAGTCGTAGAACCTGCGAAGAAAAATCGCAATGACAACAAAGAGAAACCGAAGGAAGAACAAACACAAATATCTTTGTCACGTCAGTTCATCGAGCGTACTATATATCCTATCCTGTACAATCACTTTCATCGTGACGAGTTTTTAGGACGTATCAATGAAGTGCTTTTTTTCCTGCCCTTCAGCGAAGACGAGCTGAGAGAAATTACATCAAGAGAACTGACCAGGTGGGCTGATAAAGCTAGAACAAGACACGGAATTACACTTACTTGGGATCCAGAAGTAGTAAATGTGTTGGCAGAAGGGTATAATATTCGCTATGGTGCACGTAGTATCAAGTATGAGGTAGAAAGAAAAGTGGTCAACTTGATTGCAAAAGCCAATGAAAATGACGACGTTATGGATGGAGGACGTATTCACGTAGTTGTGGATAAACTGATGGATAAGAAGCATCGCATTTGTAAAATCGAAATTATAGAGCGCGGTGGGGATGATTCAAAGAAGAACAAAGGCAGCTGGTTTGGTATGAAGAAATAGCCGCACAAAAGCCAAGACTTAACAAGCATAGATTAATTTCCACTCTATTATGATAATTATTCGTTATTTAGAATAACAGACACTACGTACTATTCGTTATACACCATAAATTAATTACTCTGCAAGAGTTTTCATGTTGAAATAGTGTTCAGATGATGAACAAAACTCTACAATAAAAGCACGCTGCAATTTATTGACCGTAAATGATGATAGAAAAATGTTGAATTGTAAATGATATCTTGTACTTTTGAGCTTTCACAAGGATAAGTGGATTGATATTACTATATACATTTTTGTGGTTTATCTCTAGTAAAACTTAACCACTGGTAACAGAAGACGTTCATAATAGATTCATTTCCAGGTGTCCTTATTGATTGCGTGCAGCACGACGAGCACGGACACCTTCTCTCAAGTTTTCCAATACATTCACTGTATCCTCCCAATTGATACAGGCGTCAGTGATAGATTGACCATAATTTAAGGCGTAAGGTCCTTCGGCAGGAATGTCTTGACGGCCTTCATTGATATTGGATTCAATCATAACACCGATAATATAATTGCCGGTTTCTGAGGGGTTGGCTAATTGATTTGCAATATCTTGTGCAACGATGGGTTGGCGTTTGTGATTCTTAGAAGAATTGCCATGACTGCAATCCACCATGAGAGCGGGGGATAACTTGTGCTTGATTAGATCGGCAGCAGCAGCCTTAATATGTTCGGCTTCATAATTTGGACCTGACTTACCGCCACGTAGGATGACATGACATGCGTCGTTACCTGCTGTTTGGACGATAGCGGAAAGCCCTTGCTTTGTGACTGAAAGGAAATGATGACCGTGGCTAGCAGCACCAATAGCGTCGATAGCAACCGTCATACCACCATCTGTGCCGTTCTTGAAACCCACTGGGCATGAAAGGCCGGACGCCAATTCTCTATGCACTTGAGATTCTGTTGTACGAGCACCAATAGCACCCCAGGAGACGAGATCACCAGTATATTGAGGAGAAATGGTATCTAAGAATTCACAAGCAGCAGGGATGCCCATTTCATTCTAGGAAGAAAGAAAAAGTACTGTTATCAAAACATTGTTTCTCAACCCTTCAGTTGCAGGCTTTACACTTACCAAATCCAATAATAGTTTACGAGCAATACGTAAACCTTTGTTGATTTCATAACTGCCAAGAATGAAAAATAAGGCTTTTTAAACCGCTGTTAACTTGAAGCAAGTAATTAGTGTTACTTACGTGTTATTCAAATGAGGATCGTTAATAAGGCCCTTCCAGCCCACAGTGGTGCGGGGCTTTTCAAAATAGACACGCATGATAATATGCAATTCATCCTTAGCACCGTTTGCATACTCAATCAAACGTTCAGCTGATGAATGAATTCGAAGGTCCCATTAGTACTGCGGTATTTTTGTCTCCTCAAACGTCAAAATCTGTTATTTACCGTATTCCAAAGCAGCCTTGACATCATGAATTGAACAAGGGCCGACTACCACTAAAAGTCTATCGTCTTTGCCATGAATAATATCTTCAGCTGCCTGTCTTCCATTCAAAATAGTGTCGGCAGCTTTTAAACTCAATGGAATATCTTCCATGAGGATTTGCGGTGGGATCAAGGGACGAATGTTGGTAATACGTTTATCATCAAGTTCATTCAATGCTGAGAAGGCAACCATTATTAGTATACGTGGAAAGGTTTTAATCTAATTAGAAAAAAAAAAGAAAGAGAGAAGAGAGCAGACATATTTAGAAAGCTAAATAATTCTATAAAGTTTATTTGCAGATCTCCTTGATTTTCGGAATTTCTTCAGAAAGAAAACTGTGTGGATCAAAGCAACAATGATTCTCTTTGAGTCATTCCCTGCGAGTGACTGCCTATCAGTTCTTGCCAATAGTATATACATCCTTGGCATTAGACTGTTCCGGAGAAACTTCAAAGTGTATCTTTCCATATTCTTTAATGAGTCTTGACTGTAAATCTTTGAACAAGCCTTTAAAGATACGTTGACAATCAAGTGTACCGTTTTAAATAGTGCAGAACATAGCCTTAAATGACGATTCGAGATTAAAAAGCTGGGTTTCGTTAAATTGATACTCAGAAAGCCAGCTACACCTTTTCATGCATTGAAGAGACAACACTTCGGGTCGGCCGGTACAGTGGTAGCATTTACATTAAGCTTAGCTCGGGATTAATGCAATTATTGTAGATAATAAGCATGTTTAATCTAAAATTGGCAGCCTTGAACAGTAAGTGCTCTGCAAGCTACAGGAAGGCGAGGTGTTAAAGTAGCTGCCTAATCAAGTGGGTTTCTCTAAATGTTACTCTTTAAAGTTGACCAGCATTCTTCGATCGAGTTCAGAAAAGGAGAGTAAAGAGCGCATAAACAGAGTTTGTATTCTCCCTGTTGATTGTACAATAACAAATGCTAAATGATCAATTGTGCAGTCATCCATTAATATTCATATGGAATGGCTTGACTCACGAAGGGCGGGATAGCGTTGGAGGATCGATCGAGTACGGCATGGCCGGAACCCATAAATAGACCAATTACTGCATCCCCAAAATTGCCAAAATTCACTAAGGTACCATCAATTGACCAGCGGCGAAAGAATACCAGCCGAGAGCAGGTGTTGTCAGTGGGAGCTCAATGTATTGGTTGCATTGCTGTGACTCCTGGTGGTATTGTTCCATTGGTTTCAATCTAAAGAGTGCTCACATTTGAGATGGAGGTGGTAGTGGAAGGAGAGTCTTTGCTACGGTAGACTTAAAGCGTTTCCTCTACAATGGTTCGATACACAAGGCATGTGCATCCGACTTTGCCTTTGAACGAGCTCGCTTCTTCCAGAATCAGTGCGGTTTATGGATAAATTACCATTCTTTCAGTTCAGCTATCAGGCTATCTTTGGCACCGGTTTAAAATACTTTTCAAGAATAGTTCGATAACGCACTCGGCAATATTGACGAACGTATAATTCAGAGTGGCGAGCAAAGGATTTTACTGAAAAAGAAGCAGATTTAAACCCCACATTGCATCGCGAGGTGTTCTTTTTCACTTTTTTATTGTGCCAACTGCCATTTAAGGGAGTAAACAATGTAACTGTAGTCGAGTCGATGATAACTTTAGTTATTACTCCTCAGTTGAGCAGAAAGATTATTTACTTTGTATCTTATGGAAATTATGTTATTGTGGGGCGTAAATGCTATGGCACAAATGTCAGATTCAAATACTTCATGTGTAATCATTTATACTTGTGCTTTTCTCTTGCTATATACTTGTACAGAGACTGTATTAGATGCAATATAGATAGACCGTGGTAGAATAGATTCTTCATCAGTGTTCGTACTCGAGCATTGTAGTTGCTATCTCACCGAACCCGCCAAAGAAGGGTACTGGTCATGTCACCTCAGACAACGTAAAGTTTGGGGCTAAACCTAATTTCAAAATGCTATTTCTTTAAGGATAGCAGATTCTTTTGTTTTTTCTTCCTGTAACGAACTACTTACAACAATTACGATGCTTGCGGCTGGTAGTCTCCGGATGAACATTCTTGATCAGCTCTTCAATTTGATTCTCCGGCGAGGTGAGGGTCTGGACTACCTCAAAAAGAAAAACAACAACAGTATGTGCTTTCGACGTTGGTGATACTTACATCAAAAATCAACAGCCAAACAATCAAGAAAAAAAAAAACGCAACATTGGAACAGCTACTGCAGAAGGCTATAGGAACAGCAATAATCCATTAGTTAAAGTTTCTGATAGGGTAGCATAGATACCCTGAATTTCAATGCTATTATCTCCTTATGAACAGCACGCATCAATATATCAATTGAAATCATTGAACTATATCTTACTAAACGTGGCTACAAATTTCCTGCCATACTCTCCAGAACTGAACTCCACCGAACAATTTTGATGCGAGGTGAAGTACTGATCAAGAGGAAAAATCTGCTGGATGTCGACACACCCTTTCCAAGAATATCGGAAGCTTGCAATATGGTACGCATTAGGATCATCATAAACACGACACTCTATTTCCTGCTCCAAGGATTGTCTCAATGATGTCCCTATTAGTGTAGTTCATTTATGTTATTTTTATTCCATTATTATTATTTTTTATCTAATAAATTATTAGTTTGTTTTGCTCTGTAAAGTTGAACTCTGCGATATACCTTTCTTTTATAGGCGACATCTGCCTGGGACCGCAGGCAGAATGTTCTTGGACAGAATCTATGACCATCGTTTTACTTGTAAAGTCACATTCGCGCGTAGGAAATTAAACAGGTCCTCTGCCAAAATCTCAAATGCCGACGTATATCGCTTTCATATGTCATATATATGTCAGCATATAAATCGATTTTCTATAGGAGAAAGAATCATCGTGGTCTCAAGCTATACAGTTAATATTGCGGGCATTCTAACTATGATGATAAGAAATACATTGAGGTTAGCAAGAATAAAGCCAATTATAAACGATAACAAAAGGCTATAGAAAAAAGATGCATAACCGAAGAAATTATGGGATTGCTCACATGTATATTAGACTTGCTGAGTGATGAATCTACATTAAGTAAAATAAGCATTGTTATGCAACTATTTGTAATAATTCGGAAATGCGACAGCATGGCAGCGAAGAGCGTGTACATAATTGCAAGCGATAACAGGACTGGTGTTGGACGCCTGACGAGTTCGCATGGCGTTGTTCTTGAACAAAGCGCCACCTACAATTTTATTATTATTTATTCAAAGGATGGTTCCAAGATTTTTCAGGTTGTTTACATTCAACATTGATCTTACCCGGAAAAAAAAAGAATTATCTAAATCAAATTTACTTTACGCGTAATGGTCAGAATGCCTTCAAAATCTGGCCGAACCTAAAACGGTAATACTGCAATAGATCACTCATATTTCGCATATTTGTAGTCCTCCTCTTTTGCTTAACAGCAAATAGTTAAGCAAGTCGGTCATTGATAAAAAGATACTGAGTGAATATTAACGAAATCGTACTTTCTGCTCTGCTGCATAAATGATTATGATTAAACGATTTTGATTCAAATATGCATATCTGGGACAATTGGCCCTCAGCATTACCAGCTACCGATTGCGTTCCCTCTCTTTTACAAATACCTCTCGATACATGAACCGAACAAAGTACGTTCAACAATTTACTGGAGCAGGGGTTTGTTCTATAAAACCCTTCGCTGGAGTGGTATGCGGAAGCATTAAATTATGGGAAAGTCTGTAGTTGACAGCAGTTTGGCTATTTCGTGTACGAAAGTTATTTTATCCGGTTTTTCAGAATCTTCCCGCTTTTTAAGCGGACTTTACAGGGAGCCTTTTAGCGTTCATTCAAGCACCTAATGAATCAAAAAATTCTGGGTGACCTATAAATACCATTAGGTCTAAAATGAAGGGCTCTGCCTCTTCTCCTCTTTTTCTGTTTCTATTTTTCCTGCAAACTTGTTTATAACCCTTTCTTCTTCATATTTTTTGCAGAAATCGATTTCATAATGAGATTAATTATCCGTAAAGATTATGACGAAGTGTCAGCTTGGATTGCGCATTACATTAAGGAACGCATCAAGCAATTCAATCCCAGTAAAGAGAGACCTTTTGTTCTAGGCCTACCATCAGGCTCCACACCGATCAGTTTCTTCCAAAGACTTGCAGAGTTCTGTAAAGCGGGCGAAGTAAGCTTCAAACATGTTGTGACCTTTACCATGGACGAATATGTTGGTATTCCAAAGTAAGTATATACCTGGTTGGAAAAAAGAGGCCAGCTGGGAAAAGAATGGCGACTTCCGTCCTGGAAGACGATAAAAAATCATCTGGGGATCGTTTTGTTTCTGAGAATGTTCGTAATCGTACCGCATAACTAATTCATTGGTTCCTGCCTATTCTTTACACAAGGAATCATCGAGAGTCGTATTACACGTACATGAATACTAGCCTTTTTCAGCATCTCGATATTAATCCAGAAAATATAAATTTATTGGACGGTAATGCACCGGACTTGCAGGAAGAATGCAGACGATATGAGGCAAAGATTGCGAGCTATGGTGGCATCGAACTGTTTGTTTGCGGAATAGGTCCTGATGGTCATTTTGCTTTCAACGAACCGGGATCATCCATTACTTCGCGTACGCGTGTCAAAACATTAGCATACGAAACAATTGTTGCGAACTCCAGGTTCTTCGGAGGAGATATCACAAAGGTACCAAAAGTAGCATTAACAGTGGGTGTTGCGTAAGTATTCTTTTTGTCTCCTCCCAAAAAATAGAGTGGCTCAAGCTATATGGGTGTACACATTATGCGTAACATATAATATTAAATTTGTCTTTTTTCTTTATGGAAATACGTTCAGAACTGTCATGGATGCTCGAGAAGTTTGTGTTGTACTTACAGGTGCTCATAAAAGGTAATTTTCAAATTGTTGAAACCGTAACAATTATATTGTCGTTACTGAATTGTAGATAAGTATAGTATAGCGCTATCAAAATGTGTCGAGGATGGAATAAATCACATGTGGACGGTATCTGCTATTCAAATGCATCCTAAAGGCTTAATTGTTTGTGATGAAGATGCAACCCTGGAATTGCATGTGAAGGTAAGTGATACTTATGGTGTCGATACTCTGGAAGGGAAGAGGTATACCAACATAATATCTTTCAAAAAACCAGACTGTGAGATATTTCAAATCAATCGAGCATGTGCATTCATCACTTATTGGCAAAGAAAATCTGGGCCTTCAAGGCGAATTATTATCACCTGAAGCATCTACTGCCATGACAACACATAAAAAGGGACACAATAGCCTCGTTAAAGAGCTTTTAAGGGTCGGTCAGAATACAGTAAACGATGATCTGAGCGAAGAAGAAGCAGAAATTGATAAGGATGATAAACCGCCACGCCCATTAAAGAGAAGAAGAAGTTAAAAATAGACAAAGAATCGTCGGATATTTAAGCGCATTTATCATTGAACAAAAATGTGGATGTACATACATACAGACAGAATATTCCCTATTGCATACATTTGTAACAACAAACAATCGTACTATTAACCTCATGAATAAACATACAAAAATGCAGCCTATTTACTGTCATAGTAGATGGGTATATTGCTTTTAATTGTAAAAAAGATAAAAAATCTTTCATATGGCGAAATTATGCTTGTGACAATTTAGGGGTATAGTACTATGAAGCTTACAAGCAGGAGCAATTGAGCGACTGCCTAATACGCTAACGCAAATAGCCTGGCTCATCAGCAACTTACCCATGCAGCTTAAAGGATGTCGGCATAATTCAGCTGCCAGAGCAAAGAGTGAAAATGGGATAGCTTGCGAACAGCCGGATGAACGCATTTGATGAACCTATCTGTCAATTCATCATTTTATTCCCTTACTCCTTGGCTCTCTTTTTCATAATAGGACACATGTTGAAACTTTAGGCACTCGTTCCCCCAGCTGATCCAGCCAGGCATGAGGCAACGAGCGAATAACTCAACATAGACAGGGTTTTTTGTGGTGTCCTTTGAAAGGTAGGGTGATAAGACATCTACAAACCATACAAATGATATCAATGAATTAAAGCCGATTCGTCGTGCAGCTTTTGCTTTAAACTTACCTCCAAGAGGGGGCTTCCTAGAATGCCTAACGCTAGGAACACTTACGATCACATTTGTCTGAGGAATTGAGACTCGCTCTTTGCTCTCCTTGTGCTGATAGGGTCTACCGATAATCAATTGCTCGTACGGTTTCTTATGTTCAGAATCCAAAGGGAAGACACATTCCGCTTGATTAGTCACCTTGAGCCATATCCATTCACCAACACACTCTAGTTTCCAGGAAGGAAACAATTTATGGATGATGAAATTTCTAAATTTGGGCTTATTGGTAACCCAAACAGCTACAATAGAATCTTTTTCTCCTATCATGGAGGGTATAGCTATTTTGAAGAGATCATAGATATCCTGAGTTTCGTAGTGAGAAGACCTTTGTACTGAAGGTAGATGAGAATAGGCAGAATTAGGGTAAGACAGCGTCATAGACGGACGGATTGTTCAACGGGAAACAGATGCGCTTACCGCTTTTGTTCGGCCATGGAGGGTCCATCACGATTAAATCTGCCCTACCCACTGACGTAACTTTTGTTGTTGTTGTTTATTTTATTTTATTTTTGAAGAAGGATAGAGTGCGTTAGCTTTCGTTTCATTTCAGTTTAATCAATAGGGCAAGTTATAGAAAAACAGATTACTGTATGCATCAAGTTGCTTCATGCTGTTAGCTAACGACCCCATTAAAAAAGCGGTCTTGGGTGGTATTAAATACATAGCTGTTGGTGTCAGCTGTAGTAATCTGACTCCTTCGACAGCTCGATTAATACAAACAGTATTAAAGATGGAAAAAATATCAAGTTCTGTTGTAACAGAAGATGTAAATTCAAATAATGCAGGCATAAACTGTTTTCCCTCATTGCTGTCATCATCTTCCTGTACTACAGTTGTGAATTTGTTCTGTGATACTTCCACCATTTTCTGGATGCTTGGAAAATCGATGGTCTCTGATGTGCTATCCTCATCATTTTCGCGCGTAATAGAAGAAGTATTCTCGTGTTTCAACAATTTCTTTGGCAATACTTGAGGCAATTGTTCAAGACAGGCTATAATCTGAGCTCTTAAAACATGGTGTCTTTCCTTCGTTTTCATATCGGCCTCACTAGGAGACACTTCCTTAACACTCTTTTTCCGTTTTTTGGATGGCCTTTGCTGGTCTGTTGGTTGATTTTTGGCGTAGAAGTATGGCTTTTGAACATCAAATTCTCCTTGTCTTATACGGTAAGGCGCAATATCTTTATTGAAGCACTCTTCTGAATCTACAATGTCGACCATTACCATCACTTACAGATCGAAAAAAAAAGAGATCTTTTTTGCACAAATATCAGATAAAAAATCTGGGCTTTTATCACCCACTTGTTCGTAGGAGATCAAAATGGGCATTATTGTTCTTTTTTTTCCCCTCAGACAAACAATAAGATTAAGGAACAGTAACATGGGCTTATTTTCATGGCTGAGTCCAAGCAGAGTCGATGAGAATGGTGATGCCAATGCCATTCCAACGAAAACACAATGTTTTTATATAGTAAGATAAAAAGGTTGATTGTGTACTTATCGTAGTGTTAACATAAGTTGTCAACTTAGGAAGGATTTTTGACTTGCTCCTACTTTACAAATGCTGTGAGAGTTGCAGATATGTTAACAGCCAATTACCCTCATATTAAAGTAGATGTGAGCGCATATGTGAAGGAGCAGTGGAAAGAACGTGCCGAAGAACTGCAGCAGGTACGAATCAATAGATTGTATTCCGTCTATCTATCCAACAGCTGATGTGTTAACTCTTGCACTTTGTTCTACAGGAATTTGCTACAGATCATAAAACTTCACCGTTTATATATGAAGGCTGCAGTACAGAAAATCAAACTCTGATAGGCGGATATACGGACTTTGCGAAAAGAGTTAAAGAAACATATAGGCTCAACAATATACCTTTGGATTAATGGATCAGAGCTGCTGAGACAGAATAATGATGCGCATGCGGGACCCTCACCTTTTCTTGAAATAAGCCACCGATAAAATCTCAAAAAAAAAAATAAAAAATATATAAGATGATAGCCAGCTCCTTTACTCTTTTCTTTCTTTTTATCCATTATGGATATGTTAATTTTTGTTAATAAACAAGTAAGTACTCTTAGATGTCATTATTGAAATGTATGCAATGGGTCTTTTCTTGGATTAGCTAGCAAAGGATGCATAACTTTCTACGTCTAATCATATATGTGGCTTTAAAAATATACTGATTTAATGAGCCTGATGCGAGCTATTTAAGAAAAGATTGATTTGCCTTTTCAAATCCACTGTAAAACACGTTTACTCATCACTTCTCTTGTATTCTATTGTTTAGGTAATAGATTATTCTGTACGCATTCTATAAATTTCTTTTTGTAATAAATACATTTTTTATTTTGTTTTTGTATAATTGAATAATTGTTTTCCTGTCTTTCTTTGTTGAGTTCGAGTATGTTATTAACATGCTCATGGCTTTTTTGCGTTGTCTATAAACATTGTTTTGACTCTAGATTGGGGCTATTTAAAAGAAATTTGCCAACTTGGAAAAGTGCGCCACTGTTGCCATCGATACGATTTGGCTTGTCAAAAATTAAAGTTTTGGCACCTGATCGTGAGACAGTAATATCCTAGAATATAAAGACTGTTCCCTTTCTTTTGTTTGCATGCATACAGCACTTGCTTTTTTTATTCGTCTCATTTTAAATCGTTCAAAAAAAAAAAAAAAAATGCTATCTATTCAAAAGCATCGTATTTTCGATACATATCATAAAACACTCATTAGAAAACGTTATGCTTCTCAAAGCAGCATTGGTATTAGACGAGAGGATAAGAGTCGCTGGGAACGACGTGCAGCCTTAACTCCCAGTTCCGTCAAAAGACTCATTGAAGAAACAGGAGCTCAAGTCTACGTACAGCCGAGCACGAAGCGTATATTTTCTATCGAAAGTTATGAAAAAGTATTGTAGAATCCATCTTTTTTTGTTTCATAGCGATGAAAGTTTTCTTTTTCTTAAAGTCAAACTATAACCATCGTTAGGCTGGAGCTATCATTAGCGAAGATATATCCAAAGCAGACATCATTTTGGGTATCAAAGAAGTTCCTGAAGCAGCTTTGATTGATGGAAAAACATATCTGTTCTTTTCTCATACTCACAAAGGCAATGAAAAGAACATGCCGATGCTTCAAAGTATTATTGATAAGGTACCATTTTATTGTGTTGCTGGCTGTCAATGGTTGCTCTCAATAGAGTGGGCTAAACTTTGAGAGAATTTTTTGGTCGTATAGAATATAAGATTGATCGACTATGAGTTAATGAAAGACGCAACGGGTAGGAGACTCGTGGCTTTCGGCAAGTTTGCAGGAAATGCCGGTAAGATAGTAGAGAAAACCAGCTTTAAAGTTGCATTGTTCAATCATAAAATACTTACATCATAAACTGGGAACTAGGTATGGTGGATATCTTTCACGGAATGGGTCAGCGATTTTTGGGTATGGGATATAGCAGTCCTTTCATGGTGAGTACATAGTCTTCTTTCGAGCGAGATGTAAACGACAGTCAGTCTAAACATACATTTACGATTAGTATATGCCAATGGCGCACACATTCCCAACTATAGCTGAAGCAAAAGCGGCAATAGCTAGAATGGGGAATATCATTAGAGAAAATGGCACTGCTAAGGATTTTGGACCTCTGGTGTATGCTTTTACAGGTTCAGGAAATGTGGCTCAGGTACGTCGGCATCGTATATTCTTGGCATTGATCATGCGCAATGGCCGAAACTGGATCCTATGTTTATTAGGGGGCTATGGAAATGTTCAAAGAGACACCACATGAATTCGTTCCTGCAGAAGACCTTCCCAAGTTGATGAATGATAAGAGTACATTTGATGAAAGCCCAAGCATAAGAGATAGGCCTCAGAACTCACCTCGCTTTTAATGTGATAGATCCGAACTTGAACAAATTATACGCTACACAACTAGAAGTAACGGATTACATGGTACATAAAGACAGTAAGGAAGCTCTTACTTGTCAAGAAGAGTACTTTTCGCAACCGAACAACTATATGTCAAACTTCCAACATAAGGTAAAAGAGTACGGTGCTGTGTCATGGCGTAGTATTTGTAAAATTGACCCATGCTGTTATACAACTGCTTAGATTGCACCTTATGTGAATTGTGTCATTACTGGTGCGTATTGGGACAAGAGATACCCACGTACTTTGACCAATCAACAATTACTCGAAATCGAAAGGATGAAACAGAAAGGATTGATGAATAAAGGAAAGATGATGAGTTTAGCTGACATCGTGTGCGACATAAGGGTATTTTCTCACAATGAGACGCGCTTATTCTGCATGATCCTTGATTTCTCACGACTGTGGAACAAAAACTTAGGGAGCCTTCGAATGCTTGTCACACTGTACAAATGTGGATGATGGCTTTTATTACTATGATGCCATAAAAGATATGGAACATAAAAAGTAGGTTGCCAAACATTCATGATGAAAGACGACACGTTGTACTAATAGAGGGGGTTCCATCATAGTGCTGAAGGGGATGGAATACAGATTATGGGCATTGATATTCTTCCTGCAGAATTTCCTATCGAGAGCAGTGAATATTTCAGTACCGCACTATATCCCTTTATTAAAGAAATGGTAAAGGACGTATAGAAGCATCTTCAAACAGATTTGGCCTCTCTATTCTGACTCACGCTTGCTACCTGTTCTACGCAATGCTATCTAGGTTATGAAGCCTCCTAAGGCTGCACTTTCCCAACTCTCACCACTGTTACAAAAAGCTGCTATCACGGAGAGTGGAAGTTTAACGAAAGATCATATGGATTTAAAATCAAAATTACCCGGTTTGAAGAGTACACCCAAAATCACCAAGAATAGTAAAAAAACCGTTCTGTTATTAGGCTCAGGCATGGTTGCTGCTCCGTTAGTTGATTATTTAGCAAAAAGGCCTGATGTCCATATTATCGTTGGTAAGAGCGTCATTGTGTAAAAGTAACCCTATGTAAAAGACATCTAGATTGTATTGATTTTTTTTTTCGCCATTTGATTAGCAAGCAACAGAATGAGCGAGGCAAATACATTAACAACGGCCTATTCAAATGCAGAATCAGCTCTTTTAACCATTGAAGATAATGACTCTTTATTGCGCTTGGTTAGTAAAGCAGATGTTGTTGTGAGGTAGAGATTGAAATGCAGAAAATGATGATATCGCTCTCCTTCTCAACATCTTGGGTTACAATTCTTTTCATTATAGCCTGGTTCCCGCATTTTTACACACAAAGGTAGCTCATGCGTGTATCGAACAAAGAAAAGATATGGTTACTGCGAGTTATGTATCTAAAGAAATGGAAGAGCTCGAGACAAAGTAAGGTTCAAAGAGTGATCAATGATTATATTTACACAACACTCACGTAAAACAAAAGAGCACAAAAGGCCGGTATTTTGATGATGAACGAAGTAGGGTTAGATCCTGGCATTGACCATATGTCAGCAATGAAAATAATAGACGAAGCTAAAAATAAGGGATCCAAGGTACAATTGCAACTACCAACCTCAGATACTATTAACTCAACATCCTCTGGTGCCGATTTTACATCTGACATATTATCTTACTCCCTGTAGATTCGGTCTTTCATTTCTTGGTGTGGTGGATTACCATCCCCTGAGGCGTCGAATGTACCACTTGGATACAAATTCAGTTGGTCCCCAAGAGGAGTACTCACTGCAAGCGGTAATGATGCTATTTATTGGTCAAATGGAGAGGTAACAGGGAAAAGAAAAAAATTATCTGAACAGCATAGAACTGCATACGTTGTATAAGTTTTGCTGATAAAACAAACAATACAACTATAGGAAAAGAGGATAGCTGGTGCCGATCTTTTGAAGAACCATTTCCCCTTGGTTCAGACTCCTTATGCTGGTTTTGTTTTTGAGGGTCTTGCAAATAGAAATTCCTTAGGATATGCCGATATTTATGGCTTGGGAGATGTTACGAAAATGGATACAATGTTCAGAGGGACTCTACGATATCAAGTAAGGGCCTTTGAGGAGATTTCTTGCTTGAATAAGCTCTACAAGTGTTGACTAACCTTGTTTGACAGGGCTACTCGGATCTTTTGTATGCATTCCGAAAACTTGGTTTCCTTGACCTCTCTCATCCGACAGATATTAGCTCATGTGGCACTTGGGTAATAGGGAAGGAGAATCATACAATCAAAAGCAATGTCATCTAATCCATACCCTTTGAAAATAGATGAATTATTTTGACCATGTCATCACACATGGTAGCTCATTTCTTACCGCCGAGGAAAGACAAGACCGTGTGACGAATAGATTAGGTTTACCGCGCGAGCATCCTATGTCTGAAAAACTGTGGGCTTCAATCGCTTACCTGTTTGATACAAACGAAGAATTGACTGCTGCACAAGGTGATACTGCATTGGACCTATTTTCAAAGCTATTAGCGAAAAGACTAAAATATAATGAAGGCGAGAAGGATATGGTCGCCATGCATCACGAATTCGAAATTGAGCATCGCTCTGGCAAAAAGGTAAAAAAAAAAAACTTTCAATTGACGGTGCCCCTTTGAATTTGTACTTTCAATAGTAACTGATAGATATTCTTATGGCAATAGGAGAAGCTGACATCTACACTTATGCGTTATGGTGACGATAAATACACTGCTATGGCTAAAACGGTCGGATTACCAGCTGCTATGGCTGTTGAGTTGATTTTGGACAATCGTATCCCTGAAAGAGGTATACAAAGACCAACACAGCCTCATGTGTATTTGCCCATTCTGGACCAGCTCGAAATGCATGGTATCAAATTTGTGGAGAGTTCGCAACCTTTCCATTCTGTTAAATTAGATGCTTGTGGCTCGAACACATGGTAAATTACAGCAAATGGTTTCTCCATGTTGATTGGTGTGGATAAAATAAAAGCTTTACTGTCAATCTACGCACATTATCTTTTGTGAGAAAGGGCTTTTCAAATAGGCCTTACTGGTTTATCACTTTGAATTGAAAAAAAAAAAAAAACTAGTAGCGATGATAGTAGTATAATCATATTCCATCCAAACTCTGTTCACCAATAGGCAGATTGTGTATCAACCTGATAATGGAAGATTGTGGTTCTGAACGATTTGGTAATTCAGAGCAGAGAAAGGGTTTTCAAATCGATAGCGAGTGTTATAGAAGTATAATGATTTCTCCAAGTAATCTACTTATTCAGTAAGCAACTATGCCATCTGTAATGAAGAGTTGAATAGGCAACGTGGGACTAAAACAATACCAGGATCCTTCTGTTGACTCAAAGTTAAACGTATCATCCATGATCTCTTGAGCTAGTACTTTCTGTAATACCCGTCTTTTCTCTCCATGAACATCACTTTTTAGGTTACAACCTCTTAGCCGGGAGATCCAGCATAGCATTACAGCCTAGTCCAATGGGCCGCATAATGATGAGACTCACGGATCATTGGATGTTTCAATAAATATATCAACTGTCAGTTGAAAAGGGCCTATTGTTTTTTGTTTTGTTTGCACTAAAGAGAAAAGACGGATAAATTGGATACTTACGGTAATCGAAGGATGTTGAAAGAAGCCGTTTTGCATATATTGCTTGTATACACCCAATTCCGGGACTGCAAACTGTTGTGTCTCTGTTGATGAGTTTCGATTTCGTATGCACTACTGTATTTGAAGGACAATCTAACGCTGAGTCAATTTTCATTTGTAACACTTGCAGATCATTGTTGTTTTCTGTAATTTTTTCTTTCAATACTGAATAATGAAATTGTGAGTGTATTTAGTATAAATTACTACTTTAAGCAAAAAGGAAAATGATTTTTATGCGTTCAATGTAAAAAGTATGCAATAACAGATTTTTTAACTGTTTAAGACTATCTCCTATAGGACCATCATTCAAGCCCAAAATCCATCCAAATAATAAGAGCGTTTTATTGTATGTAGACACTCATTTTTCCCCCTTTTTTACATTGGCTTTATACAAAATCTGTCAATGATTGGGGTCTTTCGCTTTTTCAAACTTCTTTCTTTTTGATCAATTTATGCTGTGAGTATGTCTGTGCTTATAAAGTGAGTCGTAATTGTTTGTATATATCATCAGATTTGGTTTCCCTCCGATAGAAGCTTCTTTAAAAACTCCCTTTTTTTTTCTCAAAAACGTCTTCTTTCTTCTTCTCTTCTTTATTTCAAGCCCTTGTTTGACCTATGCATATAACATCGTGTAACACTATTTTTATTGTAATACTACTATCAGCAACATACAGGTCTGAAGCTATATCGGGTGGAATGACAGTAGAATCGCCTGGTCACTACCCTTTCTCAGTAACGCTAAGAAAACCTATTCTCTGTGGAGGAGCCATCATTTCACTCGATCCTCCATGGGTTTTGACAGCAGCTCACTGTATTGAAAATGTGGTAATAAACGATGACGAGACGCAATCAGTAGCCTATGGAGATGTAAAATTTGCAGAGCAAACGTATGCCACGATGAAACGAGCCGTTATACACCCAATGTACATATCTTCCCAACAACTCACCAATGAAGTTTACGATTATGATCGAACCGAGATTATACCGTATGACATCGGCCTAATAGAATTGAAAGAACCCTTGACTGCCAGTCGTCATGTGAACAGAATCCCCATTTATACATCAAAAGTAGAAAAAGAAGAGAACAGCCAAAGCAATGATACGACTACAACATGGGAGACGATTGGCATGGGCTACCTAGGCTATGGACAGCCACATGCTGAAGCATTACAGAGTACAACATGCACACTCTCAACGTCCAACTATTTAAAGGATAACAATTACAACAATAGCGTTATTTTGGCAACTTCAAATGCAGGTTTATGCCACGGCGATTCAGGTAAATGACGGGGATATTCATCATGTACCCCCATACAAAGTCGTTCGTAAGAAACAGTCTTTTCTCACTGACATGGCTTTTAGGCAACCCACTTCTTTACAAAAACGAAAAGTCTGAATACTATATTCAAGGTGTATTGAACCGTATTTTCAATGCTTATGATCCTGATCCTCAAAACTATTCGTGCCCGCTGCATGAAACCAACGCGACATCATTTGTGAATTCCTTTGTCAAACCTTCAGCGCATTTAAAATGGATAATGAAAGTAACTCAGCTTTCCAAAAGTACTTTGACAGATCCTCCAAGAGCAGCGGACGAGAGAAACAACAACAATAATAATATGTATATGTCGTCTACTTCGAATGCTGCTGCTGCTGCTAATGTATGGTCGTTATTCATAATATTGCCTTTATTGTCTATTATTTGCAGTATTTTTGGATAATTGCTTATTCGCATCTGCATGTTTATTTTTGTTTTAAATTTTTGTTGTACATCATTCTTTTGTATCATACCTCTCTATTCTATTGCTTTTTTTTTTGATTTCGTTTATTTGCTAAAATAAAAGTAAAAAACATATTCTGCAGCCTTAAAGATTCATACTGTAGCCCTCGCAAAAATAATCCCATGCAAAGAGAAAAGCGTAAAAAAAAAGGGGGGAATGAAACCGTTTTTGGTTTTATGTAGGTCATAAAACTTGCCAGCATGAAATCAGTGCACTATACGCCTGAATGGATATTGAGAATTTGAGCTAAAGAAGACGTGGCATACGTTGACGATCGTCTAAGTGTTGGATTTAATAGACATGCTTCTTCATCAGCGTTTTTGTACTACGTTGGAGTCACATGTCACCTGACAGGCAAGTAAGGTAAGATTTTTTTCCTCATCATCTTGCTTCATTACAATCAGAAAAATAGACTTTCTTTTGATTACATGAATTCCAGTGCAACACCACTTATTAGACAGAAATAATTCATGTAAGCTTGCAATAGATCAAACTTTTTGAATACCGTGAAACAAAAATTACCATCGTGCGGTGACATAAGTAAACTGTGTTTAGCCATCCTTTATATATTGAAGTGTTCTTATTATACAATTTTTTTTCTTTCAAACTGATGCTATTATAGACTGAGATAATGGCTGCTGTTTATGCATCAGTTTTTCACAGGATTCATATTCCAACCAAGGGTGGTTTTCATTCTTCTTAAAGCGATAATTTGGGGGCATTTGATATAAAAGACGGGAATATAAATGATCTTTCACTTCAGTTTGTTTGATAAGTTTAATCTGTATAGACTTGCCTAATCTATAAGAATACTTGATGTCCTTTGTATTGTACACATAAATAACCAGATAAAAAAAAAAGATCCCCCTTTTGTTCAAGACTATTGTAAATTAGGGAATCCAAGGCCTTTTTGTGTTTATGATTTATTTTTAACCGGAAAGAAAGGCCTCTCTTCTTTATCACTTTCCAATATAGGCTTTGTTTAAAAGTTTTGGTTGAGTTCTGTTTCTTTGTTGAACAGTTGAATTAATAAAAAAAAAAATCCTTAATGCATCTTTTTTTGATATGCATGTGATTTGTGTAATTGGCTCTATCTTACCAAATAGGGTCATTTCCCCCTGAATTGGAGATAGCCTTTAGAAAAAGGACGCTAAAAAAGACCACAGAGAATCAACGCAATGAACTTTTCTCTCTTTCTTTCTCTCTCTGAATCATCTTATTCATCCATTTTTACTTGATAACTTTTACGCAAAAACAGCCTTCTTTTCATGAATGACACTTCTCTACCATCAGGCCTCACGCCAAAAAAGTCAATGACATCAATCGCCTCCAAAAAACTTGCTTGTATGCCTACGCCATATGGGACTATACCTAGGCGAACAAAAAAGAAACAGAAAACGGTAAGTACAACCTTACTGTTCAGAACTTGGTCTATAACAAGTATGTGCCAGAAAACGATATTAGACTCTATGAATTCTTTGATTTGAATAAAGAAAGAAAAAAAGAAAAAGAAAAAAAAGCACTTCTCACCCTACGTCTTCTCGTTACTTTCATTCAAATCAAAGAATCCTTTGAAAGATATTGCAACTAAATTTCTGGCATGCATATAAGCTATATCCTTGATAAAAGGAGGAAATAACTTGATAACTGATGATAGCCTTTCTTCTTTCCTTCCCTTTCGTTTTAAACCGTGCAAATTTTTTAGTCAAACGCATCAATGGGCAGCAGGCAACAGAAGGCAACAACACCCTATCCATTTTTTACACCCTCTACGGGATCCGTTTTCTCATTGATTGTTGATAAACTGTTTCATAATATGACACGCTTTGGTTGTAGTATCAACAGCTCTAGCTGCAATAGTAACACTACAGGACACATTGGATTCATGCCGTGCACAACACCTCACACCAACAAAACACAGACTTCTGAATTAGAAATTATTATACCTGTTACTTCAAGTACGACTCCTCCAATGAACTGCCACTATAATAGCCATTATCATTACAATAGTGGTGGTAGTAATGGGATGTCTGACAGCTGCAGCTTGTTGAGTACAAGCAGTAGCTCTTATTCAAGCACAAGCAGCAGTGGCAGTAGCAATAGTAGCAATAGTAGTAGTAGTAATAGTAATAGTAATAGTAATCATAATAGTAGTAGTAGTAGTAGTAGTAGTAGCAGCAGTAGCAGTGGTAGTCACAGTGACAGCGCATGCTTCACCGAAGAAGATGCCACTGCCCTTTGCAATAATATTTTTTCTTTACCTTCTCTTCCTACCTTACCATCCTATACGGATGACACGAGAGAATATATCCGTAATGGGTTGAAAGAGACAATCGCCACGACACCAATGGATGACTATTATAATGTTAGTACGACCTCAATTTTATCTGACATTTTATGTGACCATTACGTCCAAACACAAATCAATACCATTACTCCGTCTTTATCCGATACGGGCGCCAATGGTAATAATAACACAGACGACAGCATTGACGTACCGCTCGAGACTTTCTGTATATATGAAGCGCCTGTGGAAGGATCTGAAAAAGAAAACGCTTCCACTGTCAACGCCAGTACGACTACTGTGTCCGCAGTGTCAACCCTACACGCAGAAGCGGCAGAAGAGGACTTTATTTGCCAGAAAGGTGATCAATTAAATTGGATGATAAGCTATCTATTACCAAATACAGAATTTGAGCAGAATAAAGAATGGACACTGGTAGAAACATTGTCTAACCAAGAAAAAAAGACCAAACGACCAAGGACAAAGAGGCAACACGCCTTGAATACAATCAGCACAGAAAGGCAAAATGCAATGACAGCAGACACCACCGAACAAGAAGATGACGATGATAACGAAGACGAAGAAGAGAGGATCGAGGAGGCTGATACGGATAATGAGAGTGACCAAGAAAAGCAATTACCAAAAGATGTGTCTATTGACTTGAAAAACAAGAACAAAAACAGCAGCAGCAGCAGCAGCAGCAGCAGTAGTAGTACTATTTTACTGGCTACCAATAAAAAGAAGAATAAGGCTGCGAAATCGTACTATTTTCAACACTATCATCATAACCGTGATGTTCGCGCAAATGCAGCCTATCTAAGAATAATTGTAGCAGAAGTCAATATGATGCGTTCGCAAAAGATTGTAGGTCCTTTACGGCAACGTAGAGTACTTCCTAAAAGAGCAGATAGGTTCATTCGAAGACCAAGTCCACTTCAACTCATCATAGTCTAGTCTCGACAGATACAGGCTTTTCTTATTCATTTATTGTATACGCATCGATGTCTCATTCTATTATTATATCCAGTACTTCATTTATCGCATAGTTTGCCTCCCCCCCCCCCCGAAAAAAAAAATCCCATGTTATCACACATTGTTTAAATAAATCATTTCGTTTTCTATCATAAGCTTTTATGCAATATTTGATTCGTACGGAAAGTCGTGAAACAACTGTCAAATAAAAGTAGGTGCGACATTGAAATTGAAGAGCCAACCGCTTACATAACGTGATCATCGCCCTTCAATGGTAGATGAATGTACTACGGCTACTTCCTAGGCTAGAAACACAAATGGTAATGTGTTATTGGTGACAGTTAACGAAAAGGATCTTGTCTTGGCGAGACATGTGTAATGAACACCAGGATATCTGTTGCTGGCTCGACGATAAAAACAATTTTGAATATGTTTTTGCTTGTCCCAACACTGGGAAGACGATTGCGAGTCAAGGAAAAAGATATTACTAAGTAGCAAATTTCTCTCTGCTGTATGCTGAAACCCTTTTCCTCTTTTAGTATTGGCACTAACCTTTTATAAGAAATTCTGTCTGTGCGCTAAAGGGATCATCGTCAAAATTTTTTAATTAAATTGAAAGCATTCGGCTTCGTCATATAGATTATTCTATAGGTAATAATGAAGTGAGGCATACAGCATTATTTCGAAACAATTTTCAGATTTGCTTTGTTAGATTTGATTTTAATTTTAACCTTGTACCTGAAATTACCGTTCGCTATTATTTAAGTAATAAAAGAAAATGGTTGCTTGACCCTTCACCAAACATGTACTAAATCATAGATTACTAGCCCTATTTATTGCAAAAGGGTAAACGACATCCTTACAAAATCATGATGACTCGTTTCGCTGTGCACACGTTGTCTATATAATGTCCACCCTCTTTGTCGTATTTTTGTTTATCTTTCTTTTGTGTTTCCTAAATCAATAGCCCCCGTCCCTTTCTTTTTAACACTTTGACGAAAAAAAAAATAAAATATTTCCATTTTCTTTCGCACATACACACCATTTCCTTTATTTCGCGCATTTTTCTATTTAACAGATCAGGCAACTTTTTACTAAATTACGTTGATGCCATTAGACAGTGACAAAACTGATTCTGTCATTGCAAAATTAGTTCAACAGCAGAAAAACTACAATAAACTTTTTTTAACCAAAGAAAAATCAGCAGCAGCAATAACGGTAATAACTGAAACAAACATAAATTCAGGGACAAACAATATTGTTGGTGAGAATAGCGGCGGCAACAACAACAACAACAACAGCAACGACAACAGCAACAGCAACAGTGTTAGCGGCAATTTATTTTTGCAGTTTTTAAGAAGCTTACCTTTTGTGAATTTATTATTTGTATCGGTCACTAATAGTAACAAAAAGGAAATGCAACCAACAAGGACATCAACTACAGCAGCAGCAGAAGCATCATCAAAGGCTTCCACTACTGTAGAAAAGCAAAAAAGACAATCCTCCGTTTTGGAGTTGAATGTTATCCATGATGAGGAAAAGCATCTATTTATGATTGAAATTGATAAAAATACAACAGGTGAGTCATGGGAGCAGATAGGGCTTGTGGGTCGTTGTGTGGTTGTCCTTACTTTTTTATTTTATTTTTTGTTTGTTTGGCTGTTTGGTTTTGACCATGTCCCCACTATAATAGCTGCATTATGTTACCTACCGACAAGGGTCGAGGATGTTCTTGAAGTCTATCATATAGTAAGAACATCTTGATTCTTCCGTACGACATTCATCGACATAGAGATATTAACCTTTTCTAAAATGCGGAATTTTAGGAAATACCATCAATTTATCGGAATAATGGTCTAGGAGATAGACTAGTATGTCAATGTTTAAAATGGGCAGAGCTTCAGCATAAGCTCATTATACCAAATACTCATTTCATGAAGCAGTATTTAACAGCAAACGAAGTCAAACAAAAGTATGACCATATTATAGTGAAAAATGAAGACGAAGGCAGAGCACGGATGAAACAAGCCACGACGTCTACCTAATTTCTTGTACATACGCTGTCACTATAATACTCTCAACACACCCCCCCAGGTGGATCGCCTTTTTACTACCTAATCTATTTATTCTTTCTATTTAATCTTTTTTGAATTTTTTTTTTTTTGTTTTCTACATAAAAATGATATACCGTGCTACTATTATAAACCCTTTTTTCGCTTTTTTTTTTGTTTCATCATTTATTTATTTAGCTTAAATATATACCTCGTCATCCGTAATATATTGTCGTTGGTTAACAATGATAGTCTTGTTGTCCAAAATTGCTTGTCTTTTTGGTGGTGGTTATTGTTGTCGTGTGCTATGCTTGCTTTTTCTACCAAAAAATAAAAATAAAAAAATGTTTCTTTTGAAGCTCCGTTCTTTGTTACAGCCTAACTGCACGAAACTGCGCGTATTTTTAAAATTTTATTGGATTCCCCTCATGATTTCGCATCTTTCCTTTTTTTAATCAAACCAACCTGTCTTCTTCTACTTTCTTTCCTTTCCCTTCTTCCCATCCTATTTCAGCCTATCCGTTCTACCTACCTTTACTGTACGCCATCAAAAAACGAGTAACATGTTGAGAGTGACGGGTAATCATACCACTACAACCAGTACTTCTACCACTGTGACAACTCCCACGTCCAACAATTTAATGTCTATGCAAAACGGGATGTTAGTCCCCAAAGTCGAAACCACAGGTTATGATAATTGTCAGCACTGCAGACTAGGAGATTTTCCAAACAGTTTTCGTATCTCGGTCAAAAACAACTCAGATGCTCGCAGCCACCTCTTCCACGTTCACAAAAACGAAAGCTGCCAATCCATCATGATACGTTTATGCGAAGAATATCCTGAATCTTGGAGTAGAGGTCAGGTGTATTACTTTTATATTGATGTAGGTGGCCATTATCACCATTTAGATGATTCCAGCTGGCTACGAGGTAAAAGCATAAACACATCCAAACAACAAGGAGTTGCCCATCCGGTCTCCGGACGTTGACGCCGTTTCTCATCCTTTGCCTATTCTTAGACAAGGATGTTCTTATTGTCACAACAGTAGATGATTTACAAGCGTTACCGACAATTAGTTTAAGTGCTGGTAAGAAAGAGGCAGCTCCAATGTGTTACATGCAAGAACAACTGTCAACATGGATGAAAAATTGAAATCCATGTCTTTCTTTTTGCAGTTCATGCTTCGTTACGACCCGAGGTTGAATTAAGACCGCATCAGATCGACGGTGTCAATCAGATGATTCACTTGGAAAGATCGCGTGGTGGAGGATTTCTAGCCGATGAGGTACAATGGCATCATATCTCCCTCCTTTAAGGACCAAAAAAAAAAAAAAAAAAAAAAGAAAAAAAAAAGTAGATCAATTCTGACATTTCATTGTTCTACTTTTGTACTACATCGTAGATGGGTTTGGGCAAGGTAAAAGTTTATTCACTGTTTTAAATGAATTCTATCGATTCGCAGTGGTATCAAACGTGTTTCTTTATAGACTATACAAGCACTCACTGTCATTTTACGTCGTCAACCACTCACCAATACACACGCTTGTACATTGGTCATCGTTCCTTCGCATGGGGTAACGGTTTGCTTATTTCATTATTTGTATCTAAACAGAACCCAACAGCAGAGAAAAACAACGCTTCTCACACTTTGTTTTTGTAGATTGGTGATCAATGGGCTGATGAAATACGTTCTAAAACAACGTATGGCAGCTTACCTTATTTTATCTATCAAGACGACTCGATTCCACTTATTGACCGTAGATATCGAGAAAAAAAAAAAAAAAAAGCATAAATGAAAAGGCGTAGATGAAAGAAAGAATACTAAATTGGTATTATTTTTTTTTTATTTTTTTACCTTTTCATGTGATTAGAGCCATGTTTCCGTGTTATCATTACAACTTACGATAGAGTACGAAATGAATATAAAAAGATCATGCAAGGCATTGATAACGAATCTCCTCTGTATAATATAGACTGGCACCGAATTATATTAGGTAAAAAAGGAGGAAGATGAATGATGTGTCTGTGCGTGTGGGTGTCAATAAAGCAAAATCTTTACTTAGATTACCATAATATTTACAGACGAATCACACAAACTACGAGCAAGGACAATGCTTGCAAGCGCTGTCACCTCCTTAAAAGGCAAGTTTAAATGGTGTTTGTCGGGTACGCCGTTTCAGGTAGGCTGGAAATAGACCAAGGATACATCAGAATGGAGTAATAACCTACATGTCATAGAACGATGTCACAGAATTATATCCCATCTTTCAGTTTTTGGGTATTGAACTGGATCAAAAAAAGAAGCATGATGAGGATTATGTCACCGGCCTATTGAAAGCCGTCATGATTCGTAGAACCAAATCCTTTCTGTTTAAAGAACTGACGATTTTGCCCAAGCAGGAACGCCGTATCACGCTTGAATTCAGTCCACCCGAAAGAGCACTTTATGATTATCTTGAAAGATTACTATACCATCAAATTTCTTTACTGAAATCAACCGGATATCGTAATCATCATATCGTTTCTGCTGCTATTCTTTATTTGAGATTAAAGCAAGGTAAAAGTTGCCGCTCTTGTTCTTTTTATGCCTGCACGAAAAAGAAAAGCTCATTACGTAAAATATTGTAAAAGTGTGTGGTCATCATAGAATCCTCATCGATAAATTTCCCGATTTGATTCCCTCCAAGGCCGTAGCGCATCCCAACGATGTAGAAATAGCACAGCAGCTAGGGGGATCAGAAGTCGCACGTGATAGATGCTACTACGAAGAGGTATCTGAATATGAGCAAGCTCTGGAGATCATTGAAAGTTACTACGACCAATTCGGCAATTTACAAGAACCTATCGATATGTCACAGCTTCAACGTTTAAAGTACATCAAACATTCTACAAAAGCGACATGGCTTATCTCTTATCTAAGACAGTTATTGGCCTCCGAGTCATCAGATAAGATTGTTATTGTATCCCAATTTGTCGATGTTATATTGAAAGTATCCGAACTCTTGACTACAGCAAAAATGATGCATACCACCTATCATGGCTCTATAAGTCCCTATGCGCGACGCGTTGCTTTACATCGTTTCAACCATGATCCAAGAATAAGGGTGATGGTGATGTCTTTGAAAGCAGGCGGTGTAGGGTTGAACTTACAAAAAGCCAATCATATGATTATTTTAGACAGGTGGTGGAATCCTGCTACTATGGATCAGGCAGTGGCGAGAATTCACCGTATGAATCAACTAAAGGAGACCTATATTCATACTGTTGTTATTAAAGATACAATTGAAGAGAGCCTAATGGATAACATTTTAGACAAGAAGAACGCCTTATTCAAGAAAATTGTTGAGCATGAAACAAGATTTGGAAAAGAAGTAAGGACGTTGGATCAAATGGCTGCAGACGCGGAAAGTGGAGACGATACAGGAGCAGAACACCAAGAAACAGACCAGGAAAGCACACTGTCAAACTAAGACGAAAAGCATACCCAGCCCTCTCTCTCTCTTCTCACCTCTACAACTTGATACTTTTCTGCATTTTTTTTTTTTCATATTTTCTACGCATTACTATAATCTTAATAGATCATTATCCATTATAGGTTTTCCTTTCTTTTTCTCTTTTAACTATTTAATTCTAAAGTCGTACTTACGTACATCTGTATATAGTTGCCATCTAACAGTAGTTGCCCAATTTTTATTTTTATTTTCTTTTTTTTTGCCTCTTTACGAAAATTGCGTAAGCCCTCGGAGGTGTCAGGAACGCTTCATTTTCGCACCAAATAAAGATAGGATTTGAAATTCTTCAATACCTTATTGTGTGCTGGATCTTGCTTGCTTTGCAAAAGATGGGTAGAATTAGCAAACAATATCAATGGCCCCTCGGTCATAAGAGATGTCACTGAAATCGAGACCATGGATTATTTAATATAATTTACAATAGAAATATAATAGATAGAATGTACACCATCCTGCAATAAACTATTCTGATTCTATTACTTTAGTACATAATATGAGTTATACAGTGGCATGCCAAGTCTCTTCGAATGATCTTGCTTTCTTTTTTATTTCAACCATTTTTTTGTTTACCTGTCTATTATTGAGAATATTGAATCAATGATCGATCATTCGAACAAGGCAAAACATCCAACATGCTATATTCGGTATTAAGAATGGATAATAGATGAATGAATGGATATAGTTCTCTTCTAGGATTGTATACAGTGCTTCCAATAAGCAATGTACTGCAATCTGGCTTTCTAGAATAAAGTAGATGGGAGAAAACAAAAAAGATGGTGATAGCCATCAGGGCGTAGGACAGTAACACTAGCAAAATAACAGAAGCGCACTGTTGCTGCTCATGAGCCAATGACAATTTATTTATAACGTTGAAATAATGGGGAATGTTTGATACAGTATAATATTTTTTCCTTATCATTCATTTGAACCATTTTGCCGCTGTTGTTCAGCTGTATTGATAATTGACATTATAAAATTCCGCTGTTCCTCATTGAGGCTTTTGGTAATGTGCATGTACAGACCAGGATTCTGTTGTTGTAAGCCTATAACAAAAAGAGAAAGCATGTTTAGCCCCCTAACAGCAAACATACTTTAGAGCTTTTACTCACCTTTGATTGCTTCCTCAAAGATGAAATAGGGGTTGATGTCGTCAAGTGGTGATTGGTATGTCACGTCTTCCTGTAGCTCTTCTTCCTCTTGTTGTTGTTGTTGTTGTTGTTGTTGTTGTTGTTGGTTTTTCATACTATCGACCGTAAATTTCTCTTGTCGATTACCATTATGAGTTGCTCTTTGTGCTAAAAATTCAAGGTATTCGGCATCCTCATCCTCAACTACATCATCATCTATACACAAATACAAACAAGCATAGAGGTAGCTATCAGCTTAGTAGACTGGTGTATGTACGTGTCATGTCTATAGTTTACCTTCGTCATTTTCAGTTGCTCCCTCTTCTGGGGTCTCTGCACTTTCCTCTAGTTCTTGTTCGTCCGCTTCTACTTCGTCGTCTTCAGTTTCCTCTGCATCTTCGTTTCCTTCTTTTAACAATTGCTCACGGTCTATACATACAATAAAAAAGGAAGACTCACGTATGAGTATGTACTCTTTTTTTTTGTTAAGGAGTTCTTATCTTTACTGTCAATAGCTTCAGGTAAAGTTTGAAATACTTTTGCAATATGTAAAAGTATATGCGGCCAAGCCGCTTGGAGTGATCCTGGTACATTTTCATTCGGTAAATTCAATAATGAACAGAGTGTCACAATGACCAATTTCTTATCGTGCACTCTAAGTAAGGATGTTTAGTGTTTAGATTGGGTGGTTTCTATGTTCTTGTTGAGCTTTACCTGGAGAATTGGTGAAGCGTTGTGAACCAGACGTTGAAAAACCCTTGTGTTAATTGATGCTCTTCTAAGAAATGCAACGTTATCAAAGGATTATAGTACATAGCACTAATAACCTAATCAGTTGCAATGATGAATGTTACATGTCTGAATTTCAGGGTACTTGTTGTGATAGTTATAGGCTCTTACCACTTCTAAACAATGCACTTTGAACTCTATCGACTTGATTTGGTCTTTGGTAATATATGGAAAAACCATGGTTAGTATCGGAACGACGCACTATAAATTATGAATAAGTGATTTGTATGAACAGAACCATTCGTATTTTAGACTGCTACTACTATTACTACTCCTTCAATGGCTTACTCTTTCTAGGGATATATCGCCACGGTAGCGTAACAAAATTGTTTCCAGCAATTTGCAAGCGCATGTACGTTCACTTTCTTCTACTGCTTCTACTGGTTCTCTATTAGTCGCACTTTCTTCCGTCTTTAATGTGACGGCAATCATATCAAAAAGCATACTTTTCACCTGCTCATTCGACGATACCACCTCTTTACCGTAAACAAGGTAATTTTCCAACGCAGAATAAATATCATTCATATTAAGATGGTTTTGCTCGTTTTTAAAAGCGGGGTATATACAATCAACAAAGATAGACCACATGGTAGGTGTTACCGCCTTCAGAGAAAAGGTACAAGCGTCGATGAGGTCAAAGAGATCGCCGTAAAGCTCGATGAAACCGGATTCTGCTACTGCAGAAATGTCATGACAGTCCGTGCGGTTGCTGTTAGGGCTGTTACACATCAAGGTGTTAGAGATAGCAGGCGCCACGATCGTCTCCAATTGCATCAATAGTTCAGAAGAGGAAGTTTCTGTGTTTTGGTTTATACTAAGAACCAACGAACACAGCGTTTTCAAAATACCCGTAGCAGCCGTTGTTCTACGGGTATTCCAAACGTCAGCCACCTGATTATTTCCAATGTCAAAAACGTCCTCATCGTCGTCTCCAACTTGTAAAGCGAACACTTGTGCCTCTTTTTCATTTTGCTGTAGTTGTCGAAGTTGCTGATGATGATGTAGTAGTTCTTCAATAGTGCGCAGATACATATCTCTTAACTGAGTACACAGTTCTATCGCAAATGGTGTTAGTTGTACGGGAAATGTTTCCACGAGATCTTGCATGACGGTGGAGAGAAGGTCAACATCAGCTTCACTTGTCAAAGCAAGGATGTCGCGTAGGATCAACGGCAGTTCAGGGCTTCTCATAACCTGTTGAACTATTCATTGATTCAACAAGGTGTCAGTATGTGTCCAAATAAATGGCACGCTCACTGAAGACTATACAAATAGAAGAAAGTGGTCAGAGAAGTAAACTTACCATATTCATATTTTACCAGAGCTTGGAGAGCGCGTGCAGCTGCTACTTTGACGGGTAATTCATCGTCCTTTAAACAGTTCAAAACATGTTGATACATGATGCCAAGGTTTTCTTCACTTGTAAAGTCAAAGTTATCAAACTGATAGATCAACTGGCATGCCTGCCATTGAGAATCATGGGGGGAAAAAAAAAAAAATGAGTTAGTTTACTTTATGGTTTTCCTTGATAAAGACTTTTTTTTTTTTTCCCCGTTTCTGCGCCTTTACCCTAGCTCGTAAATAGGGGAATTGGCTAGTGAATTCTGGGAAAATGTGGTTTTTGAAGAAAGGTTCTATTTGCTCAATAACGTCAGATTCATCATCAGACAAAATAACAGATGCCAACGCACCAAACATGCGTAAAGCGCCATCTTTTAGGTATCCGTTGTGTTGTTGATTCTCAGATAGAGCGGTTTGTTCATTCATGACGTTCTGAATAATGTCGAGTATATGCATGAAGGTGTATGTCTTGCGATAATTAGCGAGATCAACCAATAAATTGATGATATTATCTTGTGTTTCTTCATCTGTATCATAATAGGAGTGCATGAAAATGGCCAAGTTAGAAACTAACCTAGAGGAAGGGAGGACGGGTGGGGGAGGGGGAGGGAGCATCGCGTTTCTTTCAAATAAAAGATAAAGAATGATTTACCTAACTCTTTATGGATGTACTCAATAGGTTTCGACCATAATTGTTCATCCTCATCAGAAAAGCAGAGCTGTCGAAACAGAAATTGAGAAATCAACGCATCCATGTGCGATTTGAGCAACTGCCAGGTTACTCTATGTTTGATGGCATCATCAAAAAAGGCAGCTGTCAGCGACAAGCAATCTTTTTGATTTTTTATTGTTTTAGTAGGGTGGTGGTGGTGGTGGTGATGCTGTTGCTGTTCAGGCTGTGGTGAATGCTGGATCCAATCGTTTAATTGCTGTAAATAGGTTTGAACAATACTCGGTGCAATCAGTTCAACAAAAGAAAGAGCAAAAGAAGGATCAGGCGGTTGCAGCGAAGGGTTGCCATACTTGCCGAATAAACGGTTCAAACAAAGATAGGCCCACTTTTTAAGCGCCCATAGAGATTCAAGCTGGTCCAGCTGATGTGGTGGTCCTTGTGTCATCGCTTTACCGCTGATATTTTCGCTTAGGTCAAGACTATAAGGCAGCTTCTGATCAACAATTTGCAAGAATAAGGTAATCCAAGGTGAAAGTGAGGATGGAAAGTGTTGCAAACAAGCTGGTAACTCCACTTGAATACTAGCATGATAGATTTTGAGACATAAAGTGAGCATTTCAACCGCTTCCGTTGTATTCAGTTGGATCAAATTTTGGCCAATCATCAGCATCGTGGGGAAGGTCAAGTCAATGATCTGTTCCAATGGATCTCTACGTTCAATGGATTTGTATCTATAGAAAAGAAGAAGTCATCGTCCATTATGCGATACAATGTGAGGATAAGTGAAGCTAATTGTCAGAAAGGTAAGGGTCTTGTGATGTGATATTTAAGTACTTTACTGGTATACTTTGACGACTTGGTGCAATGCAATTAAACCGACATGGATCATTCTTAAATGGTTGTTCGCCGTCAAATACTGGCTTACTTCTTGTATAAACGTTGGCCATTCCGATGGAAAATCAGCGTTTAACATGTTATACAATGAAGAAGCCAAATGGACTCTGTTGCAGACAAAACGGGAACAATAAAAAAATGGATCAATGTCACATTACGAGATATGCGCGTGCGGAATATCATGATAACAAAATAACGTTACTGTATCGTCCGTGGAGAAGTATATAAGGCTTGAAATATCATTTGCCGAATGCTCGCCTTATCCTCTGGATGGATCACCGTGTCATTTTCTTCCCTGGTTGGATTCCATCTCTTTTGAACGCGATGTTTTAAATAAACCGCACCTGCGGTGAAGGCAAGGGAAAAAAAAAGAAAAAAAAAGGGACTTTGCTCAGGAACCAAAAGTAAAAAATAAAAAACTTGTTTCAAGGAAAACAAAAAGAGGTCGAGTTACCTGCTTGACGTGTATTTAGATCTACCTCTTCTGTGGCTAGTAACTGCAGAACCATTGGCAAGAATCCTGGCTGTTGTTCATACTATTGAAGAAAAGGTTATCAGTCAACAGCCTTGGATGGAGACAAGTTCTTCACGTTATAGAACCAACATTGCGAACGGTGATTTCAGCTTCTTTTCGTATATTTGGGTCAGTGTGGTAAGTCGAAGCAAACAGTTGGTAAATGGTGTTGTGATTCATTTACAAATGGTCGATTCTGGTTGAGGGATAAACCGTATGTAAAAGCAAAAAAAGAAAAGGTTCGTTTCTCCAGATTTCTCAATAGCTGCATTACGCGGAAGTTAAAAAATAAAAAAGCAAAGATTTTATAAGGGGAATCAAAAAAGGGTTTATTTGAAGCTCTGCTATTTATATAATGAATGAGAAAAGAAAAGTAAAATGGAATGATATAGATAAGATAATGAAAGAGAATCCTTTCTTTCTTTCTTTCTTTTTTTTTTTGTTATTTTGTTAACCAATCAGAATAGAGAGAGATTTAAGCATGTTCCTGTTTGATAATACTTTTCAATTGAGCAGTAGTTGTTTGTGGCTGATGTTGACCATTTTGATCGGTTGTAGCAGCAGGATTGGGGAAAGGCCAATAACCTGCAGGCGTAGGTGTGCCTGGTTGTTGCTGTGCTTGTCCGTTACTACTCGTATGATTATAGGCCGTTCGTTGTTGTTGTTGTTGTTGTTGTTGTTGATGTTGAGCTTGTTGATGAGAGGGTTGATAGTAGGTCTTTTGTAAGTTGTATGAAAAGTTGTTGGTTTGAGGTATCTGTTGATGTGGTGGTGGCTGTGGTTGCTGATGTTGTTGATGAGGTGGAGGTAAGTTTTGATAGCCATAGGGACCTTGACTATAACGGCCAGCATGCATACCATTCGTGGCAGCAGATTGGGAATAACCCATCGCTTGAGGGTGAAATGATGGTGGCTGTTGTGCCGGATGTTGGGGTAATCTACTCATGCTGTTTGGTGAAGGCATCATTGGGCTTTGGGATGCAGCTGTTTGAGGTGATAATTGCTATAGGGTTATCAAGAGAAAGTTTAGAACACAAATAAAGATACAGCACTGCACATCACAATCTTCCAACTTACATTACTGGTATCTTCAGACATACGACCTACATAAGAAGTGGGAGCAGCCGTAGTAGGTTGCTGTTGTTGTTGCTGCTGCTGTTGCTGTTGCTGTACGGTAGGCATAGTAGGGTTTGTCAAGGTATTTGTATTTGTTGCTGAATTGCTAACATCAGCTGTATTGTTATGAATGTCATTCGCAGTATTAGAAGTAGGGTGATCATCTTCCAATTGATTGTCCGACCCACTCAGCTAATAAATAGGTAAAAGAATTGACAATTAATGCAACGAATCTAAAGAAGGGACGCGTTTGTTATTGCATTTCTCACCTCTTGCTGTGTATGATCTTGAGATTCGATCGGTTGTGCTGGTTGTGGATCAGGCGTATTTAAGCAAGCCTGAATCAAATTTTTACCTTCAGGTTTAGTGACAATAGGTTGTAATTTCGTTGTAGTAAAAGTATAAACCAAACCGGTTTCAGAGACAACAAGCAATAGGACTTGCGTACCAGTTAACGTAGACAACTCATAAGCCTAAATCGTGTCAATGATTCGAATAAGGATAATATCAATAAAGAGGTAAGTATAATTGATCATCACATACGCCACGGTTTATTGCAGGCACTCAGGGAAAAAAAAAAATAAAAAAAAATGGACCTGCTTTCCCCAACCCCCCCTGAGTTTAATTTTTTAATCTTTTTTATACAACAGTCTCTCTTACCTTCTTCATAATACCAGCTTTACGCTTTGAAAACGTAATATGTCTTCTATTCTTGTCTTCAATATACTCAATTTTAATCTTTCTTCTTCCGTTACGCTTTAACGGTTTATTTTCAGAGTCTTCATCTTCAGAATCGTCGTGATCCACAGTCTCATTTTGTCTTTTTTGACTAAAGATATAAATAGAAAAATTGTATTAGATTTTTTTCTTTTTCCTTCATGTTTATGGAAAATTGAGTTTATAATTATACCCAGCAGGTAACATGCTCAACAGTTAGTTATTAAAAAATCAAGAGTTGGGAGAGAACAGAGTTATATGTTGAGATATATGTATAACAAAGATTGTTTCTTTTGGGATATTGCAAAAGATAGGTTGAGATATACAAAAAAGGCTGGGAATGAGAAAAGAATAAGATACAATATGTATTTTTTTAAGAAAAAAAAAAAAAAGAAAGTGTGAATAAAAAAGGAAAAAAGGAAGGGCAAAATTGTAAATTTATGGGAAAAAAAAAAGGGTGTTTTGAATTATTGCCCAACGCGGTGGCTTGTAAATGCAACCTAAGAAATGCTTTCATTTTTGTCAAAAGAGGGTTTGGGCTCATTTTCATGCATTTTCCCTCCGCTCCGGTCGACTATCATTTTTCTTTCAAAGAGTCCACCTAATGCATAATGTCTGAACTCTCAAGTCAGTTGAATCTGTTCCAGTCAAAAGTGTCCGAAGAAATTGGTCATTATCAAGCTGAATATGACCGTTGGCTGAATTACAAACGCGATTATGAAGCTCTTGAGCGTCAACTCTCCACTTTACCGGACACTGTATCTAAACAGGCCATGATACCCATGGGCCCTTTAGCCTTTATGCCCGGTAAAATTATTCACACCAATGAAATTTTAGTCCTCTTGGGAGATAAGTATTACGCAGAAAGAACGGCCAAACAAGCCATGGAAATAGTAGGACGTCGAAAAGAAGTGGTAGAGGAGAGCCTAAGACTAGTGAAAGCTCAGTTAAACAGTGCAGAAACAAAGAAAGCATCCGTATTAGATAGTCTACAGCACACACAATACAATGAGGAAGGATTACCGATTATGGATATTAGAGAAGAACTGCCACCAACCACGCCAACCAAGGGAAATGAAGGCGGCAAAAACAAAGGCAAGATGGCTCAAGAGTACTCTCCCTCAACAACAACCACAGCAGAGAGTGACTTACCAGAATCAGTGTTGCGCGCAAGAAGAATGATGAAAGAAGCCGACGAAAAGATCAAACAACAGAAAGGAGTCGACAATGAGAATAAAGCTCTCTTTGAACTTTTAAGCGAATTAGAAGCAGAGGAAGAGGAACAAGAAGCTGCAGGCATCCATAATATAATAGAAAAACCGCCTATTTATACCAAATTCATGAATGCAGATAAAGAAGACGATCGACCAGCCGGGAGTAAGAAACGAGATTCCCGCTTCGGGTCCGATGATAGCGATGAGGAGGAGGACGATGACGAGGAGGACGAACGCTATGATACAGAGATTGCAGACAATCTGTTTGATAAATTCACTGACGATCCATTGGAAGGTGTCGTGGACCAAGAAGATTTTACAACCTACGAGGATAATCATTCGGATGAAAGAGAAGAAGAGGAGGAGGAAGCAGAGACCATCGAAACAATGACGTCCTCTGTGAAGGAATTGTACATCGAACCTAAAGAACCAAAAAGAGATACTGCAAAAGTGATGGAAAAAGGGTTCAATGATGCAGATGATAGTGACAATGAGAGAAGCACACCAAGACTAATAACCAAGATGAAGAAGAAGAAGGAGAAGAAGAGAGTGACGTTTGCTGATTCTGTTCAACCTACACAAGGAGAACTCGAAAACGCAGAAGAAAGGAAGAAGACGATCAAATCTCCGGCTGACATATTCAAGGTGATTCGTAAATCCCAGAATAGCACCTCTACAGAAGAGGATGATGGTGATGATTATTTGAAAAACATAGATACAGATGAAGCAGCACAAAGCAACGATGTAGATATCAATGAGCTTATCCAAGCTGCTCGTGAAAGCGCAAAGGAAGCTCTCTACAGACCCGCAGATGGATCTGACGTTTTGATTCCTATGGTCAAGGAGCGCTTTTCAGAACCAGCAGAATCATCCGAATCATTAAAAGCCTCATCTGACAAGAAGGAGAAGAAGAATAGTAAATTAGACAATAAAATCATGAAGGGCGCCGTCATGGAACATGACATTGCACCTGTTGACCCGGAAGAAGTGGAAGAAGATATGGATTTACGAGAAATTACCGCTAGTTATCAGCAGAAAAGACTAAATATGCTGGCAGCAACAGGCAGCCTCTCGTTTGAACCGAAACCTGAGTTTGAAGTGTTTGACGAAGAGTTGCCTTTACCTAAAAAAGAAGAAGAGAAAGAAGAAGATATACCTGAAGTCAAGCCCAAGAAGAAGATATCCAGGTTCAAAGCTGCAAGATTGGGTATGCGAATGGATGATAACACTATGTAAGAGTGAAAGAAGTCTCTATGATTCTCATTATTTATTATTAAAAGGTCTAATTGAATGCTTGGGAATATGAGCCTATTATTGTCTTTTCCAATCATGTATTGTATATGTGTGTGTCTGTGTGTTCTTGAATTTATTGTTGACTATTTTTTGCGGCTTCTTTTTGAATGTGTTGCCACACAACCTTTCGTTCCTTTTCCTTTTCCTCATGCTCGTATCTAATGAAGGGCGATGAAAGAAAAGTAAATACTGTAGTTTCTACAGACGCTGAATCAGTTTCCATTCCATTTACACTTACTTTTTTTCGTTATTGTATTGATATGTACATTGTTCAAATAAGGAGGGATCCATGCCCATGAATGTTCTCAAGGCAGAATACACTAGATTATGAATTGTCCTAGGATTATGCGGGTATGAGTCATCTATAAAAGGATATGCATATCACTTGCCCGTATATAGCAAATGCTCACCTGTTCCAATGTTCTTTTGAGTGTTCATATAATGGTTCAAACATCATTGGCATTATCACTTGCGCGTTCTCATGTACAAGACTCATGATGAACTCATTATTAAAGATATAGAGAGCCCGCTCTGCTACTTGAAAATGAGAACTTGCTATACACTGCGCGATCTTGTGAAAAACGGGCACCATGATTTTAGGGAATTGGATATTGTCTGTGATATCGAGGATCTCTTCTATTTCATTCAGAAACATGACTTCCTTTATACTATTTACTTTTGGCCAGTAGCGCAGGATACCATCCACAACCTAAGAGGAAAGCATTTCCTTTTCTGTTGAGTTCTGGGAAGGATATGAAGATTGTGAGTTATCAATGAACCTTACCGTTTTCGTAAGTGTTGGATCTTTTTCCAAGAACTGCACGACACAATAAGCTAACTGAGGATGGTATGTCGTTATGGGCCTTGGCTTGTGTAAAGGCAACAACACTCTTGTCAAAAACGCCTTGTGTTCTTCTTTTAAAGGCAAGGCAAATCCGTTAATGATACTCCCTAAAATCTCCAACAATTCTGCAATGCCATTGAACCTTTCCGTCTCATAAATAAACTGCAAAAAGATGTGGTTGATGGATTTCCGAATAAAAGCTCGCAAATGGAGAAATTTGCCGTACAATCGATGAAGCGTAGTTTTCAGGAAATCACGTTCACGGGGATCTTCACTGTCAAATAACTCTAAAAGCTGAAGAATGAATCTCTGGTCGATATACTTCTTGGCTTCCTGTACGTTAAAATCGGGTGATTCGACGCATCTTAAAAAAAATTCATAGATAAGTTGAAGATGGGGCCAGGCCGCCTCTAGTGTAGGTTCATCATCTTCAGGATCATAGCCTTCTTCTCTGTATATAGGTGGGGGTATCGTACGAAATAAATTTTTAGAAAACTGGTTATAAAAAAGAACATGAGGGTGAGTGACATGACATAATGCGACTATTCCTAGTCAAAGACATGAAAATCGTTACCATCATGACAACATCTGGATAAATGGCATCTGTAATAGCTCCTTTTGTTGTGGCTACATACTCCAACATATCCACCAGTGCTTTTTCTTTAAGGTTCCTTTGTTCTATCATTGTTGTCTTAGCATCACTATGACCAGTACTAGTAGTAGCAGTAGAAGGTTGAGCAAAATCAAATATCATTTGACACTGGTTCAACTTTTTCAGAAATAAGTCAGTGCGTTTGTTAGCGGGGACTTCACTAAACTTGGGCAATGGTTCTAGTACCATTGGTTCGTTAGTACTACCACTACTCATGCTTGACAACCTGTCAAGATCATTGCTAGAATGAAATCGAGAAAATGACTTTTGTCTTCGAGGACCTTTGCCAACGGGTGTCATGTCAATGGCAGCTCCTTTGATCCAGGACATAGCGCTTTGACTGGTGTTTCCTGAGGCATTGCTATTAGTGGCTGGATTCGAAGATCTTTGTGCCATCGAAGGTGACTGCACTACTGCCGTGTTGGCGTTGTTGGACGATGTTGATGATGGTGATAATGTCGTTGTCGTCTTTGCTTTTGTCAAGCTTAAAGGCTTGGAACATGAATTGGATGAAAACGAAGAGACAGGGGCTGTGCTTGATAAAAATGATTGCTTTGAACCACCAGAAGTCTTTTTCTACAGTTGTTTTTTTTTTTGGAAGAAAAAGTTAGAATAAAAAGAGTGTATTTTATGGATGCGCAAATAGGCTCACATTTTTATTTGAATTTGGCGCGTTATTTTTGGTACTTGATACTGTTGTCGTAGTATTGGATGGTGATGAAGATGACGTACTCGATGAAGGTAGGATATTTTGTAATGAAGCTCGTGATAGAATGGATGATCTACTAATGTTATTTGTATTGTTGCTGCTGCCATTTTGTTGCTGTTGTTGATTATGTCCGCTTGAATTTGACTTGTTCGATTTACTGCTGCTTGAACTACTACTATTACTACTGTTTAACGATAAGCTGGAATGGAATTTAGTGTTGCCTTTTTTGCTCAAGTGTGTGCTGCTGTTGCTAGACGTAGAACTTGAATTGTCAACATTGTTGTTGTTGTTGTTGTTGGTGCTGTTGTTGGCATTCAATTTCGACGATTCTTGTGATGAGGATCTATTTCTTGAAAACTATATTCATTAAAAAAAATGGATAAAAGTTAGGTGATACACGTCAACTGAAAATAGAAATAAGGATCATCGAAAAGAATACAAAGCGGTGATACTCTACTGCAACTTTAATTCCTTTGATCATTGACCGTTAAATATTGATTGATTGATTGATGAGCTGTATTTCCAATGGAAGTATACAGAGAGGAACGGTGCGTGTGTGTGTTCGTGCGTATGTGTGAGCGACTGGAAAAAGAAGGATAAAACTGGCTACTACTGCTTCGTTTTTCTACTTTTTCTTCTTCTTCTTTTTCTTATTTAACGCGATAATTTCTGTTTGCTTTGTTTGCTTTATTACAGGCTTGTATTTTTACGCAATAAAAGTATTAACAGTGAACAAAAATAAAGTCAAGAATAAACGGAAAGTAAAAAAAAAAAAAGAAGGGAAATGCAAATAAGAAAGTTTAATGCATGCTTTTTTTCCAAATACTGTTGCTGCTATTGTTGCTGCTGCTGCTTTATTAATGAAGCACTGAAAAACGATTGTCAACCACAACCTACAAGTTTGGCATACCTCGAAATCAGCTGACAAGTGTACATCTATTTTGCTCTCATGCTATCAAACACATTTTTTATATTGCATAGGTTACTTTTAGAAGTCATACTTATCAATTTGAAATGAGATGCTTGCCTAAAAACAAGTCATGCTTATGTCAATTCGAATCCCCCGTCCGAAATGCTTCATGTTGATACGGGGATTTAAAATGTAGACTGAAAAGTTCAGAAGTTTTGATCGCTTAGAAGAAATGGTAACTGCCACGCAAATAGATGTTTCCTTGAAAACAATTGTTTTTTGAAAATGATGTTAGTGATAATAAGGTATCACCTGCCAAGCAAATAGATGTTTCATTAAAAACGATAAGGATGAAAGAAAGAGATCTGATGTGGGGTGTCTGCAGTAAGTAGCGGGACGAACATCTCAAACCACCACCGCTAACCGCAATAAGAAAATTAAAAGCCCTCTCCTCTATTTCTACTTTGAAACGGTTCCTGGGCTGCTTCTGCTGCTGGTATCCAACATTTGAGGAACTCAGCAGCTTTATCAAGAGCGATAGGCTCAGTCTTATATCATTTCTGCGTTCAAATATTGAGGGGAGAAAAGCTGTGGGGGGGGGGGCATATGAGCAAAAAGTAAATAGCAGCAGTATTGTCCGTGCCAGCCATTAATTCTGAATTGGTTACTTGCTATCATATGCTCTCTCTTTGACGCAAAAAAAGGTCATGCCTTCTGCTCCAAACGTTTTTCCTTTCCAGGGAAGAGAAAACATTGAAAATTTTTTTAGGCCTCTTTCTTTCTTTTTTTGTCTAATTTTTCGTCAAACCTTCCCCTTCTTCCTTCTTATTTCTATTTCACAGAAGCAATTTCATGAGAAGCTAATGATTTTCAAAAAACTGCTATTCACCGCTACAAAACGAAAAAGTCAAGACTCTACCGGTCGACCCCACACCAACAAAATCAATTTTGATCCGGTCTCTGTAGCTATTCTTTCTCGTCATTTTTCTCCTTTGCCTTCTAGAATCAAATCACCCACCGATTTATTGGACGTAATAGGATATCCGCAACTATCGCCGCATCCACCTCAAGATCAATTACGCCATTCTTCATCACCTTCGCTATTACTGAATGCTACCAAGAATGATATCACTACAACGGGTGTATTAGAATCTGCAACAACAACAACAACTCCCGCTACTGCTACTGCTACTGCTACTGTTACCAATGCTACTGCTACCCCTCTTTTGCGGCATAAAAGGAATAAAACTCAGCCTTCTACTTTTAGTACTCTTCGGATAACCAATGGTGACAGCATGTCGCTAACTGAAGAACGTGACGAAGGAACTGATAAATTCGATAGGCATAATGAAAATATGCTACTAGAAACAACGAGAGAAGACAAAACACTTATCGGAAGAAGCGATAGCCACAGTTATGTTGTAGTTAAAGGTAAATTTCAAAGTATCTTCTCTGGAACTATTTGTATTACTGAGATTGATTGTATAGATCCAATAACAGATATCAATATGGAATTGTACAAGCTATATTGTAAACTGCTTGAAATTGAAGATGAACGAGAAGTGTGGAATCAAAAATTGGATCAACATATGGAAGAATTGAGAAGTCTACTACGAGCACATCAGCTTGAAATGGACGAATTAAAGCGACAAAATTCTTTCAAATCGGCGACGACGGATAGCGCGAGCACCAGCGGCACCACTCATAGCTCATCAGATGAAATGATATATCAAACATCTAGCATTCTCCCGCCCTGTAGTTGCAAGCAGGCTTCATCACTTGAACGAGTGTCTTTGTCTTCTTTATCAGCATCAGAACAACCGTCGAGGAGTAGCATCTTCACAGCAACGAGTAATAAGAAAAAGAAGAAAAAAAAAGGTAGAGGTCGATGGTCGGTAGTAACACCGCAAAACGGCGATTTTTGCCACTACTATCAATACTACGGTAATGAGGGAGATAAGAATTGTGTTACTGATAGTAACGGGTACTATTACTATTGCGACGATGACTGCCTTCATAATAATAGCCAAACAGCATATTACAACTCTATCTCGAATGTCGGTAGTGCTAGAAGAAAAATATACTCTTATCCTTACGTTATGTATCCATCGCTAGCAATCTAGTCTCCCAGGATTGCAACCGTATTTTTGTTAACCCAGCCGCGTAGTTTATTCCATGTTGTAGCTGTTATGCCCGGGAGATCATTTAAAGGGATAAGAAATAGAGATGCGCCACTCCGAAAGCTTATGTAATCCATCTGAAACCTTTATTTTTGATTAACAGAGACAGTGCCACCACATTTCATGTTGATGAGCACCCAGACATGGCATGAAATAAAAAAAGTCAAAAATAGGACAGGCATATATGTCTATAGAAAAGTCCATTGAATCTATTGGAATAATATTGGAGTCCTAAAGTGTTTGAACATCAATCATTACTTTTGATGATTCAAGCTGCTCAAAAAACCAAATAGCTTCGAAGGTCTTTGGCATGTGTTCAACATCTATGCTTTTAAACAATGTTTAATGGTTAGAAAAGTTAATTTCCCAAATATCTGGAGCGTCTCTTATTTCTCAGTTCGAATCTTCAAAACGAACCTTCTATCAGATCAATTTCATGATCACTGCACAGACTGTGCGACCTCTTTCCCGTTTTTTTTTTTTTACAATTGGAAAAAGCGGAAAGAACACCATAACAACTGTTTTGTTTGAAACCACCATCTGTTCAGCCTGCAAAAGGAATTTGAAGGATTGACCTTTTCCACGAAAAAGAAAAAAAAGTCAGTTTCTCTATTAGGCGATTCTTGTGGATTACATAAGGAAAGCACTCGCGGAACACTGTCGGTTGTTGAATTAAATAAAGCTGAAGCGCAAACGGATGAAAGCTTTCAAGTATAAAGCAAAGCCCTAAAACTTCCCCTACAGCTTTTTCCTTTTTTTTCCTTTTTTTTTTTTTTTTTGTCAATCTTTACAAAAGTTAAGTTATCTCAACAGATGTCTCAAAAGGCTGTTCTTGTTACTGGTGGTGCTGGTTATATCGGTAAAGTAGTTATGACAAAGTATCTATTTCTTTGTGTTGATCGAGTCATTGGTTTGTTTGCTAACCTAAATATATCGGTGCGTTTTTCTTTGGTATCTACTCATTCTAGGCTCTCATACTGTCATTGAATTATTAGAAGCTGGTCGTGAAGTCGTCGTTTACGACAACCTCACTAACGCTTCATACGAAGCCGTTCGTCGTATTGAAAAGATCACTGGTAAAAAGCCCATTTTCTATAAGGCTGACATTCTTGATAAGAAGGCCCTTTTGGAAGTTTTCAGCCGCCACTCTATCGGATCTGTCATTCACTTTGCAGGTCTCAAAGCTGTTGGTGAATCCACACAAATTCCTCTTGATTATTATTATAACAACATCACCGGTACCATCATCTTATTACAAGCTATGAAGGAAGCAAATGTTAAGAACATTGTTTTCTCATCCTCTGCTACTGTTTATGGTGAACCTCCTATCATTCCTATTCCCGAAACTTGTCCTACTGTAAGTAAACGCTTTATGCTTTTTAATAAGTTGTGTGTAATTTTTGTGTATATATGCATATACCGCATGTGTATTCATTTTTCCGTTCCTGTTGTTGATTACTTTGCGAACTAAAAACAAATAGGATGCTAAGAGTCCCTATGGTCGTACCAAGCTCTTTGTTGAACATGTCATTCGTGATCTTTGCACAGCTGAAAAGGATTGGAATGCTGCTTTACTCCGTTACTTCAACCCTGCCGGTGCTCATCCTTCTGGTATTTTGGGTGAGAACCCCACTGGTATCCCTAATAATTTGATGCCCTACTTTGCTCAAGTTGCTATTGGTAAGCGTGAATGTTTATCTGTTTTTGGTAATGATTACCCTACTCGTGATGGTACTTGTATCAGGTAAGCTGGTCGCCCACTGTTTTTGAAGAAATACACTTTGAAAACGCTTCATTCGAAGAACTATATACTCATTCTCATATTGATATGAACAATAACAGAGACTACATTCATGTTGTTGATTTGGCTCAAGGTCATTTGGCCGCTTTGAAGAAGCTTGAAGAAAAGCCTGGATGCGTTGAATATAATTTGGGTACAGGTATCGGTTCTACCGTTTTGGAAATGGTCAAGGCTTTCAATAAGGCTGTTGGTCGTGAATTACCTTATAAAATTACTGATCGCCGTCCTGGTGATGTACCTAACCTCACTGCTGATCCTACCAAAGCCAACAAAGAATTAGGTTGGAAGGTCAAATTCACCTTGGATGAAGCCTGTGCTTCTTTGTGGAAATGGCAAAGCGAAAACCCAGATGGCCTTGAAGGTTATCCTTCTGAAGCTCCTGCTGAATGTGTCCTCGATTATCTCCATTAAGTGTTGCTCTCTAATTCATTTGCTAGTTTTTGTTCCATGTACTCATTAGACTTTCCGATTATCTCTTATATATGTATATCATTCTTCCCTTTTTCTATTTATACAACAACTAACGTTCATCATAACTGCATTTATTATCAATAATCATAATTTATTATAGGAAATATTATTCTTCTATCTACACCCGAATTTTTCAATTGAATAATTGATGCGATATCAAGAACCAACTAAGTGACACATGAACATATCGATGGGCTAAAGCTTCTTTTTGAAACAAAGCTACAGTATGCTTGTATTCAACTCTTCTTTCAAAACACTGCAGCACTGCATCCACTAATTCAAAATTATTTACTAACAACCTTTATAATATACCAACTACAACCTATCATTAACAGCTTGCCACTTGCTCAGCCTATTCGAAAAATGAAATAAGTAAATGAATGCTATCTTTATTATAGTGACAATTGTTACTTCTTGGTATTAAGCTCATTCTATTTGGTTCGATTGGATTGAAAAAGAATGTTCTACTTATCCCTTGTCGTTTGTTTCGCCGCAGCAGTTGATGTGTAATTCGTGATTTATATGAAGAGCTGTACCTTCCCAAAATTCGATCGAGTATAATTATTTATAACCGATAACGCATACAAATGTAGAACAAAACATACATTGCTACAATCGACTATTAAAACAGATTGACTAACTGATTTGCGGATGAAAATATTACAAGTACGGCTGTGATCTGTCAAATTACAGATTTTATTGTTGGCCTGTTCTGTTATCTGCATTAAAATTGTTAAATTTAAAGACCGAACAGCGATTTCTCTTTTTTTCTAAGGTTTCCAGCAAGTGAGAACTCTCTACTTTTCCTTCTATTCAAGTCAACAATGTCACATCACCCTCATTCAGCGTTACAGATATATCAATTTCTCTACACCTTGCATCAAAATACACCATCAAAAGAAATATTTGACTCTATTTTGCTCGATTTGAAAACACCGCGCTTCGAGCCTGTTTCTGTTCTTGCTGATCGATGGCGACCCATTTTCCAAACAGAGATGCCTAGTCTATTAGATCAATTTGAACAATTGTTAGCGAGTGCAGCGCAATCGCCAGCTTACGATTCTTTGCTTATGTCTGTTTCCGACCATTATCCATTAGTCTATCGAGTTTCCTGCTTTTTAGAAAACGATCTGCAACTGGAGTTGTTTGTTCGTTGCCTGTGTTTGGATCTTTCGACACCTGTCCATCACGAGGAGATAAAAGAAACCATTATTCAGTTTCTTACAGAGCTCCCATCAGATATAAGAGAATATGTAGAGGAAATATTGATTGAAGATGACCATCACTATTTGAGCAGAAATGATACAGTGACGATGATGATGAATCGACGGAAAACTGCAGATGCTTCTTCATTTGATGGGTTTTTGGATATGGATAAAGTCTACGAGGTGATAGACGATGAATATACTTTCGATATGTTTATGGCGATTCTGCAATCGAACATGTCTGATGGTGCGCCGTGGTCGCAGACGTGTCAAGAGATTTATCAATTGGTGGCGGAGAAAGGCATTTGGGAACGATTGGCGCCTTTGTTACAGCAAGTCTATATCAAATCAGGTATTAGCAGGTGCAGAGTACTTTAATAATGGATAACAGGAAATATTGATACTGAATAAATTCGAGATAGATACTCAAGATTATGCGTCTTACGAGGATTATGTTCAACAAAATTTCTTGGATGATGGAGGACAACAGTATTTAGATGATGAAATCAAGCGTGCTCAAGTCGAACACATGATGAGCAAATTGACCATGTAATCATATACCCTTGAAGTTCCATTATTCTACTGTTGAACGGATCTTTATACGGACGAAAGCAATTTCGCGATCCGAGGTGTTTAACAATGAGAAGCTCAATAAACCGGGAGCGAAGAATAGTATCACGTCAACTGGAGCTTCGCTAGGCTGCAACACCAATAGTTACTAGTAAGCTCTTACAAAGTTTAACAATAGTAATAACAATTGCAATGAAACAACAGCTTTGGTGCGATTTGTAAAATAGGGATAACTCATGCGCAAAATTCTTATAGTAAAAAGATTTTCTTACAAAAAAAAAAAAAAAAAAAAAAAATAAGCTTTGTAAGCGGTACTAGCTGTATAGTGATTCACAACATGTTAATAATAAATGTATATAATTTGTTACAACTCACTCATAAATAAATTATTTTAAAGTTCTTGCATCACTGATGGCTGTTATTTGATTATTAGTTGACTTGAATGATGGGAGGCATTCGCTTAAGGAGAATCGCAAATCAGGCAACGCACCTTTCATAATAGTACACTTTCCAGTGAAATATACCAGTTTATGGTTGTATGCAAAACACTTTATTGAAAAGCAATAGAACAACATCAATGCACTGGTTTTTGGTTTTTGGTTTTAACAAACTCACTATGGCAATATATTATGCTCATGCAATATTTATAGAGATGCTGCTACCAGCCGAAGGAGCATGCGGTAGTTGTACAGTGATTGCTTGCGGTTTTTTTGAAGTTTGTTTATTGAAGACAGTAAGGACAACTTGCTCCAAGAATTGCGTTGGATCTGCCACTGTCATTGTGTAGGAACTCTCCTTTCCTTTCTTTTTATTTCGAGTGAAATACAGTAAAATAGGCTGATTAGTCGTTACACTCAAATCCCATGGCGTCTCAATAGATCCTGCTGTCCAAAATGCTAAAGCAACTGTTTCATCCCGCGGATTATATGCACCACGCACTTTGCCGTGCTCTCCATCTTCTTGATGTACAAATTGAACTAGTTTATCCGGGCTTTGCAGTATTTTATCCTTGGTATTAATTTGAGCAATATAAACAAGTGGCGCAGTGTTCTCCTTGTGTTCTTCAACTTGTTGCGTGGTTGGGTGCTCAAGGGTAGCAGTGAATATTTTCTGAGTAGCTGTACCGTTCGAAATACCTATAGCTGACCAATCATTTTGATTATGGCTGTTTGCATTAACCTTTAAAACAATTCCTCGTGAGGCGCTATCATCACTTCCATGATAATTAACGTTATTGAGAATAGTATATAGAATGCGGTTATGCCAAAGGTCGACATTCATCTGCTTCTTGCTTTCAAAGTCAGTAATTAGTGTTTGATAGTCTGCACCATCATTCGCTGCAATCACTTTCTTTCCATTGACATAAACATCACTCTTCAAGTTGGATTGATCCAATGTTGTTATAATAGGTTCCTTTCCCTGTTTGTTGTGCCTAATGATAGGTCCAATCTGTACGGCGTAAAAACCCGAGAAAAAGTAATACGTCTTTTCCCATTCCAAACTTCCCGTCAAGGGATTCATATAATGCATCACTGCCATACCGCCCTCACGTGAGTAACCCTCCTGATTACTATTGGCAGGAGTAACAGAACCCACAAATGAAGTATTTCCATAAAATTGGGTGATATTGCAACCTAATGGTGTTGCACCATAATCTACTGTTGTTCCTGGAACAAGATTCCAATCCCACGCTGCGAATATGTCCGAATACTCGTTACCATCAATGTATGTGAAGATCGAGCCATCGCTTAGGTGGAACCCATACGAATTTTGGTTGTTGTTGCATTCTGAATTAGAAGTACGTCTAGAAAAGGATTTGAGCGTGGTAACATATTTTGAGTCCCGATGTACGAGATAATCTGATGCAAAAAAGCTGCGAGTTCCGGTAATTTCTCCTTGGCCAGTTTTTTGAGTCTTGAGGTTCTCCAAGCGGTCTAAAGTAGGTTGGAGTTTGGATGCTTCTGGCCAGTCTTTTGTAGCGAGACGTATACGCGTCAAATTGAGAGCGACGCCACCGCTCGCTTGCTTATCTGTAGCAGCGAAGGAAACCATACGACCAATGACGCTGTATTCCCATAATAAAGTTGCATTATCAGATCTAGCTGTATGGTTTGCGACAATCATCCATTCCGTTCCATTAATCATTGTCACAAATGCTGCTCGAGAATTAGGTGGCGGTGCATAGGCAGTATTGGCAGTTTGGATGTAAGCAACTACTACTGAATTGATAAAGTCTTTGCCATAGTTGCCGGTGTATAGTTGAGAGAAATGCTGCAGATAAGAACCGTCAATCTTAACACCATCTACACCAACGCCAGGTGTGATCAATGTCTGATTATAAAAATGATTCAAGGCGTCTTTTACGAGTGTTTCATTGTCTGTTACAAGACCGAAGTTTAATACTGATGTAGCTGAATCCAACATATTAGCGCCAGTCATTGGACCAATTCCATCAAGCACAGTATCAATTCGACTATAAACACGTTGCAATATCAAGGTGCAATTGCCGCGTTGTGTTTCAGTCAGTTTAGCTTTTAATAGCACGCAAGTATTGGATATGAGCTTTGGCATCAATATCATCTACTGAATTTATGTAGTAGCAGGGTTATAAAATTGGCGAGCGAAAATATAGCCCTGCATTTCTATTTACCTGCCCAAACCAATTCGTGTTCCAAAATCCAGGAGTTCCACATGGGCATTCGCCATTGGGTTGACCGCCTTGGTCTAAGCATGCATCAGGTGTATAGTTATTGTCAAACCAGTAATCCATAGCCTTCTGAATATAAGGTATTAAATGGCTGTTTTCTTCCATATTGGCGCGGTACTGACTCGCCATTGTTACTATAAATAGAGTAAACAACCAATATGAGTAAATCTTGATGTGCTTGAGGGGCTTATTTTTCAAAGTTTATATATTGCTACCTACCTACTCGAACAAAGTGTTGCTGGGCTGGCCAATTTGCTCTTCTTGCTGGACAGCCGCTTGTATAATCCACATCACTCCAAGTGCCCGTTTCATTAGAGTATAGAGTCAACCTGTGGAATCCATCTGTATCAGCTCTGCGATTTATTCCTGATTTACATAGCAAGTTTAATCTTCCTTTTTACCATTTGGGAATCTGTTCGAAGTTGCTACTATAGTCTTGAATGATAAAGTCAGTTTTTCTTTCATACAGTGTCTGAAGCTCTTGTAGAGAGGCTTTTATAATGGATATAGTTGTTGAACAGAAGATTATAGTCAAGTAACGAAACTTCATAAGTGCGGTTCTAGGAATAATAATAACAATTTGGAGAAAATTATAGATACATAAAAAGAAAACCAGAAGAAAAGAAAAGAAAAAGGTTATTTTCCTGTGCTGATGAGCAACAGGAGAAATCTTGAATAAGGGGTAGAAAGAGTTACTCATTGACTTTACGGAATCAACTTTGAACGGTCAGACTGTTTGTGCGAATTAATTGCATGAAATCAGATAAACAAATCCGCACTCAAATTTCAGTTTGTGTTCAATAACATTTTTAGTTCATCCATTCGCTCAATACCGCACTCCATTTTCATTTGCTGGATCGATGCGATTCATTCTAGTTTTCTTGGTCTGCGATAGAGCATCAATTTAACCACTCAAATATTGAATGCATTAGTTTTGTCTTTTCTTGCAATCATCACTTCATGGTCTTCTTCATTGTTAAGCTTGGAAGCTAAGACGCAGTTGGCGACCGATTTGACCACGATACTATCCGTAATATACAAAAAGAGGTAGACCGAAGGAGTCAGGTACTTCAAACCATTGATGGGGTCATGCTGAAATTATGAATTTCAAAGTCTCAAATATGTGATATTGTGACTCATTGAGATAAAGGTTCATAGCTTATTGTGGTTTTTTCCTTTCTCAACGTCCCGTTACGATTCTAAATTCATCTCACTGTCTCATAAATGTATGCAGTTTACTCGTGTATGCCCGTAAATTGCGCCACATTTTTCATAGTGATCAACTTTTGTACCCGCTTCGTATTATTCTAACCTTATTTCTCTCAAAAATAAAAACGTAGAGTTTTGAGGTTCTCATCCAACTTTTTTCTTACCGCGTTGACTCAAAGATGCTCTTTTATTTTATCATTTCACTCTTCATCAAAAAGAAACTAATGACTTCACAAATTGTAGTAAATGTCATTGCAGGAGTGTTAAGTTCCAATCGTCGGCCCATAACTTCATTGTAAGGCCGATTTTGATGTGTTTGACCGTCCCTTAGACGCGTACATCCAAACGGCTTTCTTCACATGGCCAAAAAGACGAACCAAATATAACTTATTTTGTTCAGAGCGATATATGCTTACCTAACCTCACATGTAGTTCTGTGTTTCCGGATTGAAGAAACGCAACAATGAGCTTCACCTTCTAACCGTCGCAAAGACGCGATTTCTGCGTTGGAGACTTTTAAGTGCTCGTAGGCCAGCAAAGTGCTTTGTGTATCTGGGCTTTACTTTTCCCCTGTATCCGCTCCCACACTACAACATCATTGTCAGTTTCCCTCCATCAACCTCTCCTTGAAAAAGTTACAAAGCTAATTAGACATTTTTATGAGTCATTTCTCATCCAAGAAAACTATTATAGAAAACCTCCTAAAAGTTACCTCTCGCACGATTCGTCTATAACATCTTTTACAATAAAGTAGCTCCGAAGACATACTCTGTAAAATTCTGTTTCCTCACCAAGGATACCCATTAACACAAACATGACGAGTATTGGCTACTATATTGATTTCAGGCCCCCTCAGTCTGTTATATTGAATTGCAAAAAAATAATCAATGAAGTACTTCTTATGTTTTCTTAGATTTGTATACTTGCCATATTAATTTTTAACTTATTGTAGGTTCTTGAATAAGAGTAATCTGCTAATACTTAGAAATAGCATAGTGGTTATCACTCTTTTCAAAGTGTCTGATGCGAAAAAAGAGAAAAATAGTTTACCTTGCTGGCTGGTCGTTTGTAAATGCTTGGTCGCCATGCCTAAAGTGCAAATAATGTATGGTATGAAGGGATCTAATGGACATCAACTCTAACGAAAGTTGCAGCAGGATATTTTGTAAGCAAATATTTAAAGCTAATGTTCTTGAATACGACAGCTATCCATCCTCAGTTATACGCGAAGGTGGTAGAATAAGTCACTTGTAACTCTCCTCCAACCGCAAAATGATATTTTCTGCTTGCCATTTGTGTTATTTGTCAGTTTCGTAAGTGCAAGTAAAGCATATACATGTATGAATCGAATATGCTTGCTATAATATCCAAGAGCAACGAGAAAGGTAAATAATATGTACGTATTCTTTAAATTCTATTCAACGTGATCAACATTTTGCGGTGACATAGCGTGTAATCTGTTTGTAGACATGATTATTGATTTTACATTTATTATCAGTTTTGAACCAATTTGGATTATGTAAAATAGCGGTATCCACAACTTGCAAATACTTATATTATCACTCATTACTCTCGCATAGATTTCATAATGCGTATCAGTTTCTTTGTCTCTACATTACATATATTATACCGAGTTTAGTTTACATTATTTTTAAAATGCTGTACGCACTTTATAAGCCATAATATTTATACATTGGCAATGGCCATATTATACAATTAGAATCGTTTTCTTTGGACATGTTACTGCATCTTAAACCATCTGTGGTTCCTGTGGTAAAAGATAAACAATGCCATAACTGGCACCTGCGGCAATAGCACCTATCAGTAGGGTTTGAATGGCACCACTCACCGCACTATTAGGGTTGACCAGTCTACTCTTAATAAAACCAAAAACGAGCAAAGTCAAAGATGTGATAGCCACGGATATGTAAAGTGCGAATGTCGCATCATCAATGAAACAATAAGGAAGCAAAGGAATCAGACCACCGAGAAAATAAGATGAGCCGATAGTTAAAGCAGAAATCTATATACTCTTCGTAAGTTCAATTCATATCCATGTCCTCTATTGTAGACTTTATATTTACCCAGCTTCTACGAGGATCTGGCATTTCTAAATTCAACTCAAATTTCATCATAAAATCTACCCATTTTTCCGGATCACGTTTAAGCTTTTCAATAAGTGGTTGAATCGTCTCCCTGTCGAGTCCATAAGGTTCCAAAATCTCAACAATCTCTTCTTCTTCATCTTCTGGGCACTCTATTACTTCTCTTTCTTCTCTGTGGCGCTCTGTTTTGTAGTGGTCTATTTCTGATCGGGCAGCCAAGTATCCACCTAAACCCATTGAAATAGCTCCACTACACATGTGGAAACACGGACATAACATGGGTAAAGGATTCGTTTCTTTTAAGTCCTATGGTTGTAATGATTGATATCATTTTTACGTTGTGGTTTACCTGACGAGTTCTATTTATAACCAATGGCGCTCCAATAAATAAGTGACTGTAGCTGTTTGATCACAGAATAAAATCATGGGCTTACCTGCTGCACCACCATAGATAACAATTTTCGAACTGCCAAGCGAAGAAAGACCGGCAGCCAAAGCAAATGGAACTGTCAATCCGTCTACGCGCAGTGACATTCAAAATCCATGAACAAAAATTTGCTTTTAAAATGCAATCCGGTTGTTTCGTATGCAGCTGTCTTGGTGGGGTAAAAAATACCTGATAGTCCAATGATAGTGTCTCTGACGATCTCGGCCGATTCAAAATGTCGCTCCAAGTGTTGGTAAGGGGCATATTCATGAGAACGTCTTCTACGAAGCTTATTAAGTAAGGAAGCCATTTTTAAAAAAGATAGAGAAGCTATAAAGAAGAGTATAACAGAGAAAAAAAGAAAATGAAACCTTTTTCTTCTATCATTGTGAAGTATTGAACTCTAAGCTGTTGCATGGAGCACAGGAAAAAATTGATCTCCTCAGTTCCTCTTGTATCATGATGGGCGGGGTTTTTCGCATATTCCTAACCGGATTTACGCGCCGCTTCTTCTGCATAATCCAGATTTGCCTCTTATTGAAAGGGAAAACCTTTTCAACTTGCTAAATGTTTATATTCGGTGGATATCATCGACTACTTACCAAAAGACCTATTCTGATTCAAAGCCTAACAACCGGTAATAAGCAGCATATGACATTCCATACGAAGTCGCGAAGATAACAGTCTAAAATTGATCTTGAATAGCTATTCTATTTGGCGCAGGTACTTGAAACGGAGAGGAAAATAATAATAAAAGTTCTCAGTCGCCACACATACTCATCTCTCAATGATCGTTCTTTAGGCGATGTCATTGCCCAACAATTGGTTGAACAGCAAGGTTGGAGGAAGCATGACCACTTTCGCACTCTTAGAATGGGCATTTTTGGTGGTATATTTGCTGGCCCAGTGTTAAGTAATTGGTACCGTTTTGTAGAGAACAAAGTAAATATCAACCAACCTTTCCAACGGTTAGCCACGAAGGTAGCTTTAGATCAATTTGTATTTGCTCCTTTTTTCATAGCAGGTAAATTTATAGAAAGTTTCCAGTACACTAACCACTTCGTGGAATTGGTCATACTGAAATCAAAATTTCGTGATCAGCCTTCTTTACAACACAAGGCCTGTTTGAAGGTAGACAAATACAAGAAATAAATACAAAGTTATCAGATGGTTATACAACGGCTCTTATCGGCAATTACAAGGTAAAACGCTGTATTTATTAAAATAATAGGATGCATCGTATGCTAATCGATTGTATGGAAATGTTATATAAAATGTTGTGTTATGCTGGTGTAAAATAACAGATTTGGCCCGCCGTTCAATTCATCAACTTTTACCTTACACCATTGAACTACAGATTAATGGTAACTAATTTTGTAGCATTGGGTTGGAATGCATATCTTTCTACTGTTAATCAAAGAACAATATCGATAACCACAAAAAAAGTAACTGGGTAATAATTATCGTCCGTTTGTTGTTGCTGTTGCTGGCATTTCGGCGATTCCTGTACCATTGATTTCAGGCACGCCAATTTTAATATCCTTATACTTTACGATACCTCTTGTCTTAACCTAATTTTATCCGAATAAAATGAGTGATCTATAATTTTTCAACGCCTGCAATTTTGATAGAATTCACATATTTTACCTTTCCACCCAACAGACCAACAACATATCCACTGGGTGCAGATAAACCCTTCAAGGCCAGATCAGCTGTACTTGTGTCGACTAGTCGTTTGAATCTGTCCTCACACATAGGACATGTATATTTTGCCTCTTCTTCATCACACAGCACTTGGTATCTTTCTGGTGTTAAAGACTCATCGCAACGTGTGTGAACCCAGTGATCACAATTATCACAAGCGACCATCTCGTTATCTTCATCTTCATTATTTTCCTCTTCAGAATACGTTTTGAGGCATGCAGGACAAAACCTATCGTCATTGAAATGAAGGATACATTTAGGACAATAAGTTGCGAGGTAGACCGGGTATTTGTAACGGTCACTCTTGGGTGCAACTGCATGTGTATATTGTGATTCTTCTCCCATGCCATGTTCATTACAACTATGACAATTGGCACATAAGGAGCAAAGCCATGATCCCTCTGGTACTTTTTCGACTGGAGGTGAGCAGCTATGTAAATGTGGAAAAGATGAGTCAGCTTTTATGCAGGAATACAACACTAGTATTACGCTGTTATTATTACTTTACCAGCCAGTATGCCATCCTCTATCACAACCATCACAAATCATCAATGTAGATTCATCTCCTGCACTCTTGCAGACGCAGCAGATCTTACATTCCGGACACAACCAAGGATAAGATTCTACAGCTGCTAATTGTCGTGGTGTAGTCAGGTTGGCACATATAGGGTGGTACTTCCGTGTACATTTTGAGCATTTCACGACTGTAAAATCATCAGTAATATGTTCTTCCTCTGATTTAAATTGTTCTTCTGGTGCTTTTAATTGATGACATTCCGCACACTTGTTGTCAGAATAAACAATTTTCTAATGATAAAGAAATAAGTGTCATAAACAAAAACAAGGACAGAGCTTATGTGCAAAAAAAAAAAACTTACCGGTGGTGGACCTTTTGCAAAATCGGACATTTGCTTAGCAGGAGCATGTAAAGGGCATGGTTCTCCAGGCCGGTTCACTAATCGAGTGCAGAATTGATCTGGTCCTACTTGAATACCACATACAAGTGATTGCTGCTGTTGCTGGATCAATCAAAGGAAAGTAATCAGTATTTCTTAATTCCTTAGTCTGATGGAGTTTAACAAAGTGAGTGTCCCCGAATTTTCCTTACATTAGACGGTATTCTTTGCGGAGGAGGAGGCTGTTGCATCATCATTTGTGGAGGAGTGGGTACATGTTGAGGCAGTTGTTGAGGTGAAATGGATGTAAAATTTTGAGGTCGAGTCATAGATAGCTGCGCTGGTGGCGGTGTTGGTTGTGATAATGCTTGTCGTTGGGGATCGGCAAATTGATTAACAGCTTGGTATACGAGCCCTAGATAATGTTGCTGTGCCGTTAACGATTGCGCTGTATCCAATAAATGGCCTGGATCAGGCACTTTGGGTGCTGGAAAATTAAAACGAGTTTGATGTCTGATTTTGATTGAGAAAGGGAGAAAAGTTAATAATAAAGACTCTCACTGAACTAATAGAAACATGGTTAAGTTCGAACAATCACAAAAACACATACACTGCAAAGTTCGCTTGGAATTGGCCTTCCATTAACGATAGCGGATAATAATCGTCTTTATCTTGTATCGTTTTATATGGTGTTTTTTCTTTTACAATTTCCTTCACTCGTTCTTTATCAATATCGTCTGGTAACTCTTTCAATAGTTTCTCCATATCCAAGTCTAGTAAATTCTTGCCAAATCCGCGATAAAGAGGTATCTTATAATCATTGCGTTTTTTTTTGAACTCAATATCATCCACTTGCCCTTTTGTGAATTCAAAATGACAAGCTGTTGTCTGGAATGATGAGGGTAACTGATTTACATTGGTATGAATATCATAAAAAACTGGTTTTTCAGATCGACGTTCGTGTAATTGCGCATTAAAACTTCTTGCTGCCAAAGCAGCATGATGCATCCAAGTTTCCTGATTCAAAGGCGCATTGGAAGCGTACCCTTCTGATTTGGCTGATTTATTGATCAATGATTTCCGTGAGCCATCGTTCTGTCCTGAGTCTGTATCCTCGTCATAAACCGATGCTGCTGATGAAGATAATAAATTATTCCTACGACCACTCCTGCTGTCACTTTCTGCCGCATCGTGTACTGATGCGGGCGTTGATGAAAATTGATCGTCTTGCATTGCATTTTCATAATAATCATCTCTGAAACGTTTACCGCGTTTCACTACTCTATATCCAAAACGTTTGAATACAGAACGAGCTGTGACAACTGCTACATCTCTATGTTTGAAATGATGCACTAACAATCCCATGTCTACTAATACTTTCTTTTCATCTTCTGTAATACGCACACGCTTTAAAGTGGGATTTTTCTGAAAAAATAGGTAACTATCGCGGAAGCCTAGCAGTTTTGTGGGATCCATTGCTAACATTAGTACTTGGTCACCTTGACTAGGCAAAGTGAAAGTAGGTACTTTGAATTCTCGGCCTGCGAATGTAAGGTAACGAAAAATATGAAAGCATAAGCATATGCTAAAGCGGTGTATAATATTCCGACTGTCAATCGACGCCTTACCATCTAACAAGTTGCCATTGCTGTCAATTTTCGTTTCTCCTTGTTCATCTATGTCTGATGCGGCATCATCTGCTGTTTCTATTTTTAAAGCGGTAGGGCTTGCATCGCGTTTACGTTTTGCGTCGGTATCATCTAGAGAGCTCGCAAGCGAAGGAGGCCGTCCTCTCTTTCTCACTGGGCGTGTAGATGTTATTGTTTCCGCATCCGGGGTATTTGTTAATCGTTGAGTTGATCTTTCTGATTTTCGGGTAGTAACCGGTGGTGGTGTCGAAGAAGCCGTTGCTGAAGCTGGAGGTCTACCTCGTTTGCGTTTAACGACTAGACGTACAGAATGGCAAGAAAATAATACTAATACAATTAGAGATTGTGAAACAATTTTTAAGACATATGTGTGTGATCTAACCTTTGGGTGCCATTTTCGACAGTCTATTAATTAGAAGTAATGACGGGCAGCCTTTAAGTCAAAATATAAGAGATACAAGTTTCCCGTTCTTCGTCCTTTATCAAGGAAAAACCCCACTGCTGAAAGAAAACGTCACAGGAGCAAATAAAAGGGAGCGTTTCAACCAATCATGTTGATTGCATTCAAAGTACATTGTTCTGTGGTGAGACACTGATACCTGTCAAACAACAATTAGGATGGTCACGAATTTGGTCTGTTTGCTCTCCTAGCCATATAGTAGTACCAGCATAACACAGTAATTTTTCTATGAAAAAGAAAAAAGGAAAAAAATGTTTTCAGTAAGCTCCTATTATATGTTTCTTATACCGTTTTAAAGAGATAATCTTTCGCTCTTGATCTTTAACTTCTGTTTTATCTTGGTTTTTGTTTTTCTATTTTAGAAAAAACGCGCTTAACTGCTGAAGAAGCAGCTTGATGAATTGATGGCGTGTGAATGTTAACATTATCATAGCTATGCAAAGCAAACCTAAAGTCTGTAAAATCAGTAATAGAGATTTATGGCCTTGCTTTGGTTATATTGAACACTTCTTTCGGTTATACTTAAGAGATAGAAGCTTCCAGTTTGTCAATATTAATTGAAAAAGCTGATGTAGGGTCATTTGTATTTCGAAGGTGTAATGATGGTGGACTCTTGAAAGTTTCAAAGGAAGGAAAGGAGGCTTGCCATCACCGCCTTCATTCAAATTTTTGAAGCTCATGAACAACAGTTGCATCCATGTTGATAAGCATTTGTTATGTATTGTAACGGATGTTTGAACGTCAATATTAGCTCATTGAAGGAGGCATTGTATGGGAAAAGAGACTCCTCAATTTTCAATTGTTGAACCTGAAGCAAGCAACTTTTACAAAAAAAAATTGATAAATGGATGACCATAGCTTATGGTTATAAGATACCCTTCTTCTTTCTTCATGAGTAAGAATTAGATGCTGAGGTTATCATTTGCGAAGGGAACGAAACACTTGTAACGAAAATCTGGTGAATTAACTGCCTCTATAGACGCGGCAGGGTATAAGTATAAATCTATTTAATCATCATGTTTCGGATAAGTAATCAACCCGAACATCGTAAAGAAAATGTTTGAGATCAAAAGGAGTGTAAAGCAATAAATAAATATTTCATCTCTAATTTACAGCAAATTCCTGGAAAGAGTATTAACAATGGTGGTATAATTTCTCAAAAGCAAATGTAATTCTTTGCTGTCGTGTTCATACAGTGTCTTGTAGGTCTGTTTTGCGTACAGGATCTGTTCAGAAAGATATTGGAGGATCATTTTGGACTTTTCGATGTAAGCTTCTAGACAGTCAATTTTACTGTTGATAGTATCATCATGCTCATCCTAACAAAAGAGTATCAGTTCCTCTTCTTCGTCACTAATCATCAATGTATTCGAAACTTACAATTAAGCCATCCATTTGTAATGCTCTGAATTCGATAATTTTCTCTGCCCAAATGTAGAGTCGGCTTTTATTTGATGTCACTTTTTGAGCAAGTTGATCCAGTTGCAAATCAAGGGAGGATGATTCGATATGACGGTTTAGTTTGAGGCCCATAGAGACAGTTTTACGAGTGGAGCTTATAATGTTTGATTAAGGGAGAGAAATGGGTGAAGCAGGAAAGAAAGGGTATGGTTTTTGGCATGTTGACTTCTGCTATAACTTCCCCTTTATATAGGCCCTCTTGCAAGAATATCGAAAAGTCTTTTGTTCATATACGTTTTTCCTTTTTTTTTTTTTTTGGTTGATTTTAATCACACAGGAGCCCAACGTGCGTTGAAAACACCTTTCGATCTAGAAAATAATTTCTGTTTTCTATATATATTTTTGCTTTTCCATAATTTAAACTATCGTTATGTCATGGTATTAATATCAGTAGGCAAAATATTAGTTTACCTTTCTGCACTGTCGAATTCTTATTGAAACTCAATTCATGTAGCTCAATTCAAGAAGTACTAACTAATATATATTACCGATAGCACTTTTAGTTATTCATATGTGTCTTGAGGATTTTAATTTCGAGCAGCTACCAACCAGTCACAATGCTAGCTTTCGTCCATTTACTTATAAGGGTATCTTGAACAATAACTAAAAGGACACTCCACAAATAAAAAAAGAAAAATCCATTATTCTTTAAAAAGAAATTTCGACTTATTGCTGCTGTTGAAGTTAAAGATAACGGCGTTTGGTACTTGGTTTCGCCCATTTCAACCCGTAAGAATAGCCTTTAATTGTGGTTGAATAACAGCTAGCTGCTGTTACCCTTTGAAAAATTAGATAATACGAAAAGCGCGTATCGATGTTTCAACAACGAGTAACTGCTACTGGGGGTGGGCGAAAATTCATAACAATCCTATCGAATAGCGACCAGTTACCATTCCTGTTTTGAAGATATGGATTATTTCTGGTAGACCACATAGTAACAGCTACATAGAAAAGACCTAAAAGCGCAATCAGTATTCAGCAATGATTTTCTACAATATTGAGTACAAAGTGGTCTGCCGTAGAACTTTCTCGTAAACAAATGCAACAATGGCAATAGTCCGGATCCTTACAACGTATTTCCAACACGAAGAAATATGCTATAACATCACATACCAGTTGTGGCTTTAAAAGCATTTTAAAAGGCAATTTTCAATGGAAACGGGGAAAGAAATAGCTTCAATCAGCCGATATGTTTATAGGTGATGAAAGTCCTGTGCTTTTTTGGACTAAACTGTCACAAACAAACGTTCTTCTTTAGTTAGTTCTGCGTTCTTATTTTTTCTGTTCCGTTTCAAACGACACTTTTCTATTCATTTTTTCTAAGATACATTTAAAAAAAAAAATAAAAAAAAAATTGGGGCACCAAAAATTGCTGCAGATAGTACCGATTATGAGATAGCGCTAACAAAACCCTTTGCGTATCAAGGGTAAGAAAGGCTTTGCCAAGATACAGTACATTCATTTGTTTTTGAACATCTTTTCAAAAAAAGGATTCAAATTATCAATTTAAATTTTCTGGACGGTTTATAGTTTGATTTCGCACAACTTCTTGTTTTAGAACTTCACAAAAAAAGAGTTCAGACTTCACAATTGCTATTGCTGTCCAACACTGACGAAAAAGACTTTACTATTAAATACCGCTACACCCTTGGTTACAGTTGGAACCTTGACAAATGTTATTTAAGACACCCATGAGGACGTTTGACATACGGTCTCTATGGATCTTCCTTACAATCAGTCAGTTCATCCCCCTATCTTGGCGTTCTCTTTTCCGTCGCGGTGGGAGTTTAGATCGCAATGAACTCATTCAAATTAATCTACGAATGCACTGACTACAATGCATATTCAGCTGATTGGCTTCAACGACCATGGTTTTGAGAAATATTTAGTTGGGTGTAAGAAGCAAAATGGAGTTGACTGCCGAATGTACATGGTCTTCAAGTGATAGTTTCCATTTTTGTTGCAATATCGAACGCTGTAATAGGTAAAGCGCGTTTGTCACATCGAAATTGCCTATTACAAAATGTTCAAAGCTATCGGGTGACGGTAAAGAAACGAATGATGCGTCTATTAACTCGCTCTCTATACCTTTCTCTACTTCATTGCTGATCGATCGTCGTTACGTGCTCCCTTTTGACGAGTACTGCTGCTTTGTTGTTGAGGAGACGCGAGTGCTGGATTTGAAAAAAGCTCTTGATGGCTCGTATAAAAATGCCTCTCCATGGCTTTGACATCTTCGAAATGCATAACGCATGCTGGGCAACCAGATGTATCTCAATGGCGTTATGACTGCCTGCTACCGTCTTTACAAACACTTACTTTTCGTTGCTCTCTCGTTTTTATCCTCTTGACATTTGTGGAAATCGAATGTTGTACTTTCCCAAGTGCTGTCGAAGTTTTTGACGTGAAGAGAATGTTTTTTCACATTTAAAATATCCGTGAACAATACTGTGATATTTGGAGTTGCTTTATGCTTAGTGAACGCGACTTATAACTTTGATATAAACTGTAAGGTGAAATGAGTCTTCTTGGTCCTTTTATTGTACACTGAAAATCAGAGAGGGGGGCGTTCACGACAAACTTAATGTTTTGTAAAAAGAAATAATAAAAAAAGTCCTCGTTCCTTAATTTCTTAGCCAGTAATAATGCAGCATTACATATGCGCATATTTAGAAATACAAGATGACGTGTACAAGTGTTATTATGATTCTATGATCATAATAACGTGTCAAATGTTTGAAGTGTGTCTAAGGTCTTTATATATTATAGGAGGTATGGAATTGGTTCTGGTTTTTTTGAGTTAACGCAGTTGAAACCTGTGAGGAGTACACGAGGTTAAACTCAATTCAACTTTACTTAACCTGCAAGTAACAGCTGTTGCCTACAGATTCTGCTTTTACGAGAAGGTCAGAGTAGCGGCAATGATCACACCTTGGTGGCTCTCCACAAAGTGGTTTCCCCTCCTACAGTCCCTCAGTCTTACAATGCCTCTACTGTTCGTCAGCAGGCTAGTCATCCTCCAACTCCAACGACCCATTGGCCAATGACGCAGCCGACTTGAAAACTCGCCGTCTGGCGATTATCAACTCACGTTTTAACAACTCCCTATCGAATCCTGCAGCTCAACAGACTCTGATCGATCAGCATATGCGGCCTACTAGCACTAATCGTTCCCACATAAAGGGCCGAATCTTATTCATTCAATGGACTGATAAACATGCAGTCTCACCTACAAATTACTTTCATACTGATGTAATTAGTTTCTTAAGTGATATGCATAGTCATCATTCCTAAGCAATAGGTACTATTCAGCTATTTAGGTGTGCTGTTACTCATTTGCATCAAAATCCGCCCAGCATACGCTCCACTGAAGATATCAATGCCTTTAATACTTCGTTGCTCTCTCGTACTCCTCCTGTTCGTTTTTATCAGCCAACGATTGATTTAATACCTCTTACTTTTACTTATCTGCGTTCCTTTTGTTGTATCCATGATACAAACAGTGACTCTCTAACAACGACTTCAGATAATACATCTTAAATTTAGTAATAAATAAGAACTGAAACGATAACAAGGTTAAATGAAATTTGTATGTTCTTTGCGCACTTTCAATTGATTTATCCCAGTCTTTATCCCAAGATACATAATCGTTTGTTATAGCTATCTCGGGCATTATCCTTCACCGTGTGTTTAATTGAATTAATATAAATACACTTTGCATTCATGATTCAATAAAATCATTATTGTTTTGTGTCTGATTATTTTGAACTGTTTTTTATTACTGTTTACTGCCAGATACAACACCATTACTGCATTATCATTTTTAGCTGAATTGCAACGAAAGCCTTCCTACTGGGTGTTAGCTGCTTTCTCCGCTCTTCGAAGCTAAATCGAATACCATACTCATCAGTAATTTCGACTCGGGATTGTCAACAGCTTCGTTTTGAGGTGCAATGCCCAAGGAAAAACGTAATCGTCGCTTGATCATCAAGTCATTCCTAGTTAAAGCACACAAAAATCGGCAGCTATGCCCTATTGCTACCTTCAAGTCCTTAGTTGCTAAATGCCCGGCCACCACCTCTACAAAACTATTCCTCACCAGTTCGCAATTTACTTCACCTCTGAGGTGCAGACCATCCAACGCTGGCTGTCCACGTTATTACAACTCTCGACTTTCTCCGATCGTTAAGCAGAGTAGGTTAAACTGACTTTAACCTTCAGTGTGCACTTTGCGCATAATAACTGATCCATTTTGCGCATCGTCCAATAAAATTTGCGCACCCGTAATGTTTCTTTTTGCGTTTATAATCTTTTATTTTGCACCGCAGTCATTAACTAATGTACTTACTAATACATCTCAAAGTTCTCTATCACCTGCAAGACACTTTTTAAAGAAGGACATTGAATGCCTAGTCCAGCCTTCCAAGTCAGATTTTGTAACTGTTAAAGCAGCTTCAATTATTCTTTCGGATAGCTTATCGTCAATGGAAAGACGTTCTCTTCTGACGCCGTTTTTCACCTTTCGCCCAAAATTCCTCGATTGAATTTGGAAAGGGAGAATAAGGCGGGATATAAGCAGGCTTGTAACCGCGCGACTCAATGAGCTCTTTTACCTCAGTACCTGTATGTTTGGATGCATTATCCATAATAATATATCTGCCTATGACAGTAAAATATGTTGGTGAAAAGGCGAATGAATTTAGCAACGACCCAGTGACTCTTGGGACAACCTTATCTTTCATATTTCTCTCATCTAAAATATCCAAGACGCACTCAATGAACTCTACGAAATGCAAACATAGGCGGCAAGAAAGAAGTCAAAGAAGAAGACAGCAAAGAAGCCAACAAATACAGGTTCATTCCTGATGTATTCTGCCAACAATTTTGGTATTCAGTAGGTCAACTAGTAACGGGCAAGCAAGTTACTCCTAAAGCAACATTGTCCTAGGACATAAAGCAGTATTATACAGACTTCAAGGCCAAGTTCCCTACTATCGAAGTAAACACAAGCTGACCGTGGGTTATAGTCATTGACTTACAGAGGCAGTAAAGGAATTGAGCATCTTACACGAACTCCATTGTAGAGCGCTTCAAGCAACGTTTAACAAAGTTCATTACTTATAAATTGAGAAACATGCTCTCGGTAAGGCTACACCTGAGTACCTTTTTAATGCTCTGCTGTTTTACCTATCTAACTTCTCTCTATATACATTCCAGAATATCAAGCGGGCTGATGCAAAAGAATTGTACAGCTGTATTGCTACCAATCCATCTGCCATGGTCATCCAAAATGTCCAGAAAACCTCGAGCTGGCGGCTGTTGAGAAATAACTGAAGCACTCTCAAAGCAATTTAAAGAGTTCATTATAGAAGAAGTAACCCTCGTTTCTCTTTCTGCTTCTCCTGCCAAGTTTGTTGATGCGTTATGGTACATACAGTTTGCTTACGAGCAAGAACATATGCAGCATAAGCCGTACGATGTCCGTGTTATTACCACTTCCTCAGCGCTTCTTTCCCTTGCCTACTCCGTCCCTGAAATGGCGTTTCATTGCGATAAGTATAAACGCTCTCACACCCTTCATGCTTCCTGGAAAAGTTGACAAGGGTCATACAGACCAATTCGAACAATCCTGTAAGTCTTCAAGCTCAAAAAGTTAGGCTTCAGAAGGTAAAGTAGATAACACTGTGCTAAAAGATTCTGTTTTCAAGATTATTCTCTCACTTTTATCGTAGTATTGTTGAGCTTAAGACAAACACAACTGTGCTCTTCCGGAATCTGATTCGATCTGATGGCTTCACTGTGGACTTTTTATTTAGTTTTAAGATGAAACCAAAACAAGACGCCATCATTGATCCTGGTCGAAAGACCGTATTTACAGATCGGGTTAGAAACAGAAAGACATGAGATACGACGCTGCTCAACAAAAGAATATTACCACATGACGGGTAAGTCTCGTATCAATTCAGAATCAGAAATGAAAAAGCCAATTGTACGATAAAAGATATAGAAGGCAATATACCGAGTTGCAAAACAGGCTCGCCTGAACAGTATGAAACATATACTACTTATATACTGCAACATTTGGAGACTCCCTCATTCTACGGGTCTGGTTTGGGTGAAACAAGATTCCGTCTGCATCAAGGCAGCAAGCGTGCTGCAGATACGATGGTAAACATGCTTGTCAATGGAGGTGTCAAACACGACAAAGAATTACGGAAAAAAAGAAGGGAAGAACAAATGAAATTGCCAAAAAAGAAGGGCAAACCTAAGCGTAATAAAAGAAAAGAAAAAAAAGAAGAAACAGAAAGAGAAAGAAGAAGAGAAACAGAAAGGAGAAAAGAAAGATGAAGAGAACCACGTTCGGTAAGTCTTGTAGCGATCAACTGTCAACTGAATTTGTGTATACTCGCTCTACTATCTTTCTTCAACAAGACGATGAGCCCCTGAGAAATTCAATTTGAGTGATAGCAAAAAAGTTCCTCTGATTGTATTTGGTGACGGCATGTTCAACAAATCCGCCGTTCATCTAAAAGGTCTTAGAACTGATGCCGTTGGTGTCCTTTGGCGTGCCTTGAAGCGAAGAGAGGCTGCTGGAGATATACTAGTGATAACCATTGATGAATACCTAACCTCTCGAACATACAATAATTGTCGCTCCAACACCGTTGAAGCACTGAAGACTGTTCCAGGCCGAAGTACTTGCCTGGAAAACCTGTTCGATACTTGGGAACCGGGACATCAACGCTACAAAAAGCATGTTAGCAATTAGCGTGACAATATGGAAGTCAACGGGAAGACCTACTGAGTTTTGTAGAAAACCAAGGAAGTTGCCCGCATCAACCGCTTAACAGCATCCTCTAATCGCCAGAACGAAACTGGCTCGATTTTTACAGGTACTTCGTCTGTAGTGATATTTTTACCCGTCTCCACCACGAGTAAAAACACTGTCGTGCAAAACTTCTGCAACATTCTGAAATGCCAACACAAGATCGAACCCGTTCTAGCTTTCTTACATATCAAATCAGCATACGATACGGTTGACCGTAATGTCATATGGGCAGTACTCTGTCCCCATATCCCAGCCCCGCTCCTTGCCCTGCTTCAAAATATGTTTGACGATATCAGCATTGAAGTCTTCCAAAACAATGCCAAGTCAGAACTTTTCTGCCCTACTACTGGTGTCCTTCAAGGACCCATACTATCTCCTATACTCTATTCATATTATATCAATGAACTACCTACACTGCTCCGTCCAAACCCTCTGGATCTTTTCGGAATTGATTCTAAATGTAGACTGTTTACTATATGCCAACGATGTCATCTTGATTACTGATAAAGATCATCTGCAGACACTATTGCAACAATGTGAAGCTCATACTCTTCGTCTAGGATATCGTTGGCATTCGGATAAATGTGTTATTCTCGACATATCAACGCATCCTATAGATTACCAGCTTTATGGAGTTCCTCTACAACGTCAGCTCACTTTTCCGTATCTGGAAATACCTTTTCAACCAGGTGGTAGTATAGATATAAATGAACTAACACGTACTAACACTTTTAAGGCCCTTACTATGATAAATCAATTAGCAGCCATCGGTGTCAATCCTGGTGGATTTGAAAAACTGCTCTCTCTACGGTTATATGTTCAATTGGCCAAGCAAAGATGGAGTACGGACTGGCCATTAGCCCCCTAACCGCGAAGCAATATAAACAATTCGAAGATACCCAGAACAAGTGTATCCGAAAAATCTTTGGTAGATCTAATAGATCGTCTGCCCGCCTTATGCTCCACCTTGCCAATCTCCTACCATGAAAGTACGCTCCTTTGTCCTACAAGCTAAGTTCCTATTACGTTCTACCTCACTGCCTACTGATACTTTAATCTCAATACTACTCCCTTATATAGGCCAGCAACAGAGTAAATCGTTATATTGCAGGCTTGCTTGTTCTCCGATCTGACAAGGTTACACTTCCTCTCCACTTAATCAACGATCCGAATCAGCTGCTCTGCGACGCTGTATCGATAACTTTCGTACTAGCCTCCTTCACATCCAGCAATCGAATTGCCCCAACTCCAAACTGATCTCTCAATGCCGTTCTCGATTAATGATCGACCCGATCCTTTATATTCCAATGTCAACTAATGAACGCAGCCGATGTATCAAATGGCGTTTGAGCTGGCTTCCTGGAGGCTACCGAACCTATTGCCTTAAACATCCCTCGTCATTACTTACAAAGTTCCACGCTATCTCCTGTTTAAAAATGCACCACCGCCTATAACTCCCCCCGTCAGTCTCTGATCCCATTTCTCATGTTCTCAACCGTCTTCCTACAAATTCGATTAATAACCCTTCTCAGATACAAACCTGGCATTTTCTATGGCCAGTACTTCGTCATATCTTGTTTGAACTCGACTACTTACATCACTCTCAAGAACCGCTTACAACTCCGCGATTAGGGCATCTATTGCTCGACTGGTTACCCTTTTCCCCTCCCCCAACCCTTGAGCCCTAAGGGGGTTTTAGATACTACTCAGCCTTTGGAGCTGCCCTGGGCAATTTAGATAAGTTTGATATCTCGTGTCCATTGGGCTTTATAAATATTAATATTTTGTTAGTTTAAATGTAGTGCAAAACTGAGCAAACTGTTGTGTGACAGTGCCAAGCTGTGTTGCAACGGACTATAAATTAAAAGAATAAATCTGAAATTTAAACAATGGAACTTCTTCAACCTGAAACTTATTGTTATTTTTAAAGAATCTTTTTTTTTTTTTTTATCGTTGTACACTCTGTAATTCACATTCACATTAAAGAAGAGCGATAAAAAAACCGACCCCTTTTTTAGCTAAATTCTTCATTTTCAAAAGTTAAATGATATGAGCGAGCACACATGTCCTACAGCAGGTGGTTTGAGCTCAGATGGTGGTTTGTAAGTATATCAGCAGCGTGAACTTACCATGTACATGCAAGACGCTAACTGATTATTTTACTTTGCTCTATGTCAGTAATCCGGACCTTGATTGGTCTTATGTCAAATCCGATCCAACAGACAACTGGCATGTCATAGGCTGGCTTGTATGTTTAGTTCTTCTTGCTATCATATGGATCGTATCACTTATCACTATCAATAAACATTTGAAGAACTATTAGTAAGTAGTGTTCCAGGAAAAACGGGGCTAAAGATAGTTGTTTCTTAATTCAATCATTTTCTTCAAATGTAGTGTTTGTGAGGCCGATAAACAAAAACATAAGCTTCGAGTCCTCCTGTTTCCACCAGTCTACGCAACATTAGCTTGGTTTTCGTACCTAAGATTTGATTATTCAACAACTATCATGTTCTTCGCTACTCTATTTGAAGCGTTTGCTGTATTCAATCTGTTCACATGTCTGCAGGCTTATCTGAAGCCTTACCGAATTGAAGCGGGCAATATGAAAGAAGCAATTGACACGAAAATTATGTTCATTTTTAAATATCATCTGTGAGTTGGAAAAGCTTGGTGAAATTGTTAATGTATGAGCCTTCTATTAACTTTTCTTTCTTATGCTCGACATCAGCAAATCGAAATGGGGCATGCATTACCGTATCATCACAGATATTCTCGTCTTCCAATACCCTATTTGGTAAAACTAACATATGGAAACTCGACTTTCCTTTGCTTTTTTAATACTTACTGGTTACCAATTCATTGTATTGTATATAGGTCTTTGATTGATTCTTTCACATCCATTTTTACGTCCCTTAAGGGTGTTTACTGTGAAAGTGCCTATAGTTTTAAAGGTGCTTATGTCTATTTGACGATCATTAATTTCATTTCGCTTTCCACCATCCTTACCGCATTGTTTGTTTATTTGGATGTTTATCACAATGAATGGAAACGAGGACATATTCCCGCTCACGGTATGTTCTGGTGTGTCAAGGGTCCTATCATGGCTATTTTCTATCTCGGCGAAATCCTTTTAACAGCTTTGACTACTGGCGGTGTCATTAAGGGGTCACCTGGTAAAGATGGAAGCGTAGCATGGCCAGCTGAAGCCGTTGAAAATGGTCTGAAAGTCATCATCATCTGCGTCATTATGACTATTGTTTCCTTCATGATGCTTCGTTATTTCGGACCAAGGGACAATATTGCAAATGCTCACAATACTGGTGAGCTGAAGAAGTTAAGCCGGTGGCACGCTTTTGTAGAGGCTTACATTGCTTACATCCCTGAATTTACATACATGGCTTTATGTTGCGGTGTTGATTCTTTGAAGCTTGCTAAAAAGCGTAGAGATTTAAAAAAGAGAAAGAAAATGGGATTGACCAATACTTCTTCATTTATAAGAGATGCCAACAGTCTCGCTAACAACAATGATTTGGATGGAGCAGCACTTAATAAGACAGCAACAGAAACGCAACGTTTGAATGATACGACTTATGAAATGGAAGGTTTAAGGACAGGACAAGAAGCATCATTTGCAAACATGACAAGATATAATAATTACAGCAACAGCAACTATATCCCTTTCACCACTACTAATATTAATAGAACTACACCTAATCTTGTCAACACGCCAGATAATCTATACCAATATCAGCCGAATGATGCTTACCGACAGCCTTATTCCACAGTGCAAGATACAGCGATGCATCAGCAACAGTCATCACCATACCAAAGTACTATGTGTTATGATGGAAGTGGATACCAGCTCAACGGCTATGGATGAAATAGAAATGTTCCTGGCTCAGCATTAAACCAACAACAAAATATTCAATATTAAACAATCATCCAGAATATAATTCTTAACGAACGAGAAAGAAAAGCCACTGTATAGACCGCATCTTTTACTGTTCCTGTCGTACATACATAATTTTTTATAGTTTTTCATTGAAGCATATATTTCATACAAGCTGCATTCATTAGCTTGTACAGAAAACAAAAAGGAATGGAAGAAATTCCATTGTTTATCCGAAACCTGCCGATCTCAATTGTGTTTTCTTTTTAATATAGATGATGTTCATGCTTTGCAGGACTACTTTACCAGAAAAAAATTATTTGTTCTGTACATATGATCTTTGAAAAAGGTGCGTTCGGTTATAAAGCATCATAAGTGATGTTGAAGGGATTCAATGATGTACAGAACATTCCAGGTGGCTCGATTTGAATGATCCTTTACAGAATAACAATACTTAGTGACTCTGAGAGCACAGTAAAAACGCATAAGACCCAAAGAGATCAACTGTATGGCAATAGATGTTGTGGCGTATTTGAGACCATTAAACAGTCAGCGAGTAAAGAAAACGTCTGATAGAAACCTTGCCAACTTTGATTACATAATTGTTCAAGGTCAGCCATTCAAATAATTTGGTGCAGGTTCACCAGTTAAACATTGAAAAGAATTTGGGCATACATTTTCTTGTACCTGATGAATTTGCATTCAAATGATGGTTGATTCTTCGTTATAAAACCCTTTTTTCAAGGCTTTCAAAGGGGTTAGTAGTACTATTATGGCTATGCCTATTAAACATGGAAAAAAAAAAGAAATATTTCAGTAACCTGAAACCGAAGATTCAGTTTCTGTAACTTTTCCTTGAAATTCATCATGGTGCCATTTTTACCCGTTAGAGCGGAAAGGGAAGCTGCTCCTGGATGCCCTGTTAATATGATATCAAAGAAACGCTGTACATATGCTTAGGTCATACTAGCACAGTTGAAAATTAGATACTGACGTCTAGCAACTGTAACTTCACTTTTCGAATAATCAATTCGGGAAAAGAAATCAACGTACATTATGAATGTTAAGGGAAGAAATAAGGGTCGTCTTACACTAATATCTGTATTTTATGTTTAAGACCTGCGGAAGTATCGACCGACAAAAATCAAAAAAAAAGTTTGAATGTGGACAGATATATAAATACCCCTTTTTCCTTGTACACTTTTTGACCTCGTCTCATCTTTCATATCACAAACAAAGGATATCTTCCAAATTTTCTTTAACAATCATTATATACGAATCTGATTTATTGTTTTTGCCTGTTGACTCTCCCATCTTTGTGCACGACATACAGTGACAGTCTATAATTGTAGAAGAGAAATAGATATAGTATGAGCAGCATTAAAAGCAATGAGAGTTACACTCCTGACAAGCAGAATATCAAAAATATCAAGATTATTCATCACCCAGAGACCGTACCAATTACCATCAAATATGCTAACAATATCAGTGTACCGTTTCATGAATACTTGGCACAAACATGCCGATCTTTATTCGGCCCAAAAGCACATTATACCCCTACGCCTTACTTAAGGTCAAAGCATCTACAGACGATCTATGCCTCATTTTACGACAGCTCCGATACGAAAAATGATATAACATATGAAAGGTAAGACTTTGCGACGTTTTGAAACAAAAGTGTACCATAAGACATGGAAAATTCAATTCAATATTTGGCAATATTTCCGTACTGATAAAAAGGCAAATGCTGGAATTTAAAGATGGCGGTGTTGCGTCTCTTGATTGGGCAGTACCACTGGAGCCATTACCTGCCGGAACACCTACGCTAGTGATACTTCATGGTTTAACAGGTGGAAGCCATGAAAACTATATTCGCGGCTTGCTTCAACTGGTAGGTGCATAGCGCTATTTAACAGTGCGATTACTAATGAAAGAACAGAAAGATAATGTAGAGCCGCGATGATATTCCATATATTCATACTTCATTCTGCATTAAACTATTTTTAGCTTACAAGACCACCTATCAATTATAGGGCAGTAGTGTATAACGCGAGAGGCTGTGGCTTTACGAATATTAGTACGCCTCAGATATTCAATGCTTCAATTACAAGCGATCTTAGAGATGCCCTTCGTCATATTCAAAAACAAGTGGGCGATGATACTCCTCTTATTGGTATAGGATATTCATTAGGTTCAAACATTCTTGTGAAGGTAGCTATTATTATGTTAAGAAAAGAAAGCAGTAGTCTTTCGATTTTTTCCTTGGAAAAAAGCTGGAAGAAATAAGAAGATACTGAATGCAAACATGCGACGTTTTTGTATACAAATGTTTAGTACCTAGGAGAAGAACAAGAAAAGACACCATTGATTGCCGCAGTATCCATTGGTAACCCGTTTGATTTGTTAAAGTAGGATGCAGCATTTTAATAGAGACAGATGTATAGTAAGGATGCTCATTGTTCATGTATTTATATATAGCACGGGCAACGTGTTAGATCAAGGTTATTTCACTCGCAAGGTATACTCACAGCATATGGCAAAAAATCTTAAGAATATCTTTTTGAGGTGAGAATGATAGCCTTATTTTCGCTGTCGTATTCACATTAATATGTTAACACTCTTCCTTTTGAACAGAAATAAGGATATTATGCTTACTCGTGGCGATATTGATATTGACGAAGTATTATCAGCGAGGAGTATTCGTGAATATGATGATGCCTGTACGAAAAAGATGTCTAATTACTCTACTGTGAACAACTACTACCGCGATGGTAGTTGTGCTCGTGTCATTGAATATGTCCGTATTCCACTACTGTGCATCAATGCTTTGGATGATCCTGTTGCCGTTGCTTCTAGTATTCCTGTAGATGAAATTAAAGTGAATCCATATATTATTCTAGCGGCCACAAGGCACGGTGGACATATCGGTTGGTTCGAATACTCTTACCGCCCTTCTCGATGGATAGACAAGCCCATCGCCGAATTTGTCGTTGCCATGTTCCAGGTAAAGAAATCAATTATGTATACTTAAATTGATGTGCGGGCTAAATCAGAATAATCGTTTAGGCTAACGATCCACGCAAGGACAGCAAGAAGTTAGATACCAGTGTTGTTATGCGTAGTGCGAAATCAATCAGACAAATCCGCTTCCCTCCGTTGCCTTCAAAGATACCTCCCTTAATGAAATCTTGACTAAAAAACTATACCTCAGTGTTATTCAAAATAAAGCATGTATTATTAGTTGACTCTAAGTTGATATTGATCGTGCGAACCATTTGTAGCGTATAAACGAACATCCTTCTTATTAATTGATATCTTGACATTGTGTATAAGACACTCTAGACTTCGTATCAAATACAATGAGGAACATGATGATGAATTTATTCAACGATTTTGTAGTTTACAAAGACGTTTAAAAATCTGAAAGAATACAATAGAATTTGAGGATTACATTGGAATGGAAGGTATTTCTGATTTCTTTTTTACACATTTTTATAGCTGATCAATTAGCAATAATAACTTGCTACAACTGTCATCAATCTGAGGGAAACATGAAAAGGTTATTGCATACGATTTGTAGTGGTGGATGATGTTGCGTTCGATTGTTGCTGCTGCTGCTCCTCTTTTTCTCGCAATAATTTCTGTTCATATTCTTCTCTAGCACGGTCCTGCCATCTATGCTGTTCTGCAATTTGGTGAATCTTGAATCCAAAAATTCTTGGTTCATATCTTTCGATGGACTTGGTAGGTAAATAATTGGGATGAACTTGGAATAGCATGTGAGGGAAGGATGTACCAAAATAAGCACCATCGATAGAAGAATGACGAGTTGATTTAGGATTATAGATGTCTTCACAACGGGGACAATAAAGTTTCACCGTCTTAGTGACTGGTTGATCAGAAAGACCAACGGGAAGTAGCGATTGCATATTACAAAGAACTCTAGGACAACGACCAAATTCTGATTTCTTATATTTGTCAAGCTAAGATTTGAACTGACAGTTAATGAGGCGTTCTCCTTTAATATAATCAAACTTCATCCTCTTACCATCTTTGCTAAACCACGAGTCGTTATAATGAAACGAGCGTGAATCAACCCGTATAAATGTCGTGCATTTCTTTCGATTATATCTCTTGTTCTCTCATCATATTTATCCTCATCTAAAAATTGCAGTGTTCAAAGCACCTTATCAATTAGCAAAACAGCTCTCTATTCCAAAATCACTTATTGCAAGTTATGCTTTTTTTTTCTTTTTTTTTTTTTTTCCCTTCCTGCAACTTACCTAAGCTGTCTGTGATCATATCTAATGCTTCATTGTAATATTGTTGTACTTCTAAATTCAGGCCCGTCAAATTGAAACGATCGAGGATATATTCTTCATCCACCTCACAAAAATATTCGTTTCCTTTGGTTTCTAAAAACCAATCTATCCAATATTTAGCGTATTCGCTTTCAGATCCACTGCTCATGTCATCCACTACAGATTGCGAAGATTAACGGTGAATACAAGATAACAAAATAACTGTTAGAAGAAATTTTTCCACAGCACTATCGATGCTGTTAAATCTTTGTTCTTAAAAGCTTACTTTTCTGTCGTTTTTCTTCTGTTTGTGACTCTGTGAAGTCCCGTATTTTATCCTTTGCTCTATTATGGGCAATAAAAGTCAAGAGATGATGAGTTGACGACGAAACAATGAACGAATGACTTTCATCCCATAAAAATCAGCAAAACATGAATGTTTCCACACATAGCAATCTGCTAGCCAGTGAGAACAAAAAAAGAATACTACATTGCAGATATGCTTACCTTTTCAGTTTGGAAAAAAGCCTTATGCGTGTCCAAATACGTGGATTTATTCAAAAGAAAAGATAAAAAAAAAAAAGAGAGAATGGGATAGTCCACCCTTATTAGCTCTTTTTTTCCGGTGCAAGTTCATTTGTCCGCTTCTGACACTCTCTTTTATCTTTGAGGGCTTCATAGGCAAGCCACCAGGAATTTCCGTGGCTGCTGACCGCACACACAGCTGACATCAACTTATAATTTTTGTTTTAACTTTCCGCCCAAATCTACTCATACTTAAAGCCTTTCATGCAGTGTTTATTTCATTATTATCAGTAACAGCTTTTCCTATAGCGTATCATTTAATATGCCAAATATACTAGTGAGATTGTAATTCACTAAACTCTTCTTCTTCTTCTTCCTCGCTTGCTTGTGACTTTGAACGCCGTGCGCCTTCATCGGTTGATTCAGAAGTTATTTGAAGCGCATTTTGATTGTCAATCAACTCTGCATCTTCCATGTTATGCTCAGTATCAGAATCAGAATAGCTATTAAGTAAGCCTGCTTCTTCTTCTTCAGATCCAAGGTCGTAAAAGCCTCTTGCTGGTTGCCTTGAAAAGGCTCTTTCGACCAACGGAAAACTGAATCGATTGGGTATCAGACGATTAGCTCGTCTAAGGCAAAAGCACATTCCGATGCCGAGTAAGACTATAATGGTATACTATGATTTATATGATATAAGTTTGTTGAAGGTTGCTGTTGCAATTGATGTTCTTCTTTCTGCTTATATAGAGGCGCTTACAAGAAGTATAGTTGCAGGCCAGTCAAAGTCGTCTGGCGAAGAGCGCTTTATTATTACTGAAAAAGAAATATCGTTACATTTTATTATTCTAAAATACTCTACAGCTATCCAATGTCAATTACCTGCCATAATTTATAGAAGAGAAGACACTGAAAAAGTGTAGGGGTGGTTGTGAGAGAAATTCAACAGAAGAATATGAAGGAAATGTATTGCGTTTCGCATGAATTAACCAATATTGAGGAAGCATCGGAGATTTCCTTTCTTTCATATTTGTCTACAATAAACAAGCATTGCCTTACATCGTCTTTGTATCTCATTAAGGCCACATCAGTATTATATCTTCAAATAAGAAATTGTAGAAAAGCTTTAAATATTTGTTATTGATTTACACAGAAATAGCAAAGATTGCTCGCTATTAGTATTTTCAGAAAAATCAGCAGTGCAAAGACATCGCAAACAATAGCAGTCGAGTTGTTTGAACGTGTTACAAATAGTATTGACTCGCGGCAGTTTTATTAGTGTGCTATAGAGCTTTTCAACCTCGAGGAAGTATATAGAATAAGCTGGTATCTCCTAAGCATGCATTTCACTGCTTTTATTTCACTGAGAAGGACTTTCCTTTTCGGATTTTTCTTTTTCAAGTTTGCCTTTATTTGGAGAATTGGCCAAGATGGACAACGTGCAAAGTGTCAAACAAGTAAGCAAAGAAGAACATTAGTTGATCGAAATTACAACATCAGAATCTAAAACTAAGTTACTTCGACTAGTGGATCTGTAAGAAGCGGGACACGAACAGGATCAGAATTTACAGCAACTGTAATCAAGATCATGTAGACAGCTATTTGGTAAAACTAATGACTGAATGTATCGACTGAGACCAGTGATGTAACTTTGGCTATGCCCTCTGTTATAGGTTTCTAACCAAGCATATAAAACACATGAACTCTACGAAAAATCAGGTCATTGGATTGTTATCTCTGTTGCTTGTATCGTTTTTGTCAATTTGGTCCTTCAATGGATTTGATGAGCTTAAAACACCTTTGTGGGAGCAAAAAGCTACCAAGACCTTTACAGAAAAGGGTCTAGATCCCCTTGGTTAATTCCTCTAACTCTTTAGATGGGCCATTAAAACATTCTCTTATAGATAAAGATATTCTTTTTTTATTTTCTGCTTTTTGTTTCCTTGTAATTCATCATTATAGGCAAAAGAAATATGTCACTTGCCACGAATATTGAAGTAGATCGAACAGAAACTGCTGTAACAACGACGCTCGCGTCGGTAACTACTAAGAGGTCATGACTATCAACTTTATCAACTTCTTTTTCTTCAACACCACTGGCAAGCCCAATAAACGTCGATAACGACAAAAATAATGGCTTGCATACCCTTTTGTGGATGATAATCATATCAACTTGGATATCTTACGGAAGAGTCTTACTTCCATCATTCTACTCTAAAGAATTAACTGTTTAGAAGAAGCAAAAAATAGATCAGAAGCAATTAAGCAATAGTTAAAGAAAGTATACAAGTCATTGTTCGAAGATGCCTTTGCTTCTGTCACTCACTCGGATTCTTTTCAATGTATAAGATTTGTTTGCTGAGCTATCATAAAAAGCCAACTACATTTGCTGCCTCTAACATCCTTATAAAATGCAATACAACGTGCCTTTTACTGCTAGCTATTGATTTGAAACTTTTCTAGCATTGCTTTTCTATAACTGTGAGTCAGTCTTCGGCTCCATTAGAAAGTATGCGGCTCTACTGCCTACTATTATTTAGCTCTAATCTAGCAAACTATGGTTATTTGCAACAGTGGTTTACGAGGAAATTATCCAAGCGTTTGTTTGTTTTTTGTTTTTTTTGTTTTTTTTTTGACAAGGCAAGCTTGATTGGCATTCTTTCAACGAAGTGTACAGGACATGTATTTCAGCTCCAGTAATCTAGTCGAGTTGAGTTAGAGAGGCTAGCTTACATAAAATCAAACGAGCAGAAGGAAGCAAAAATAAAGGAACAATATATAGCTGGGAGCCAAACTGCTGTTCATTGAAGCCCTAATTTCAGTTCAACTTCAGTGATGAATAATTTTTGTGGGGCATCAAAAAGCCTCTGTCTTGAACCCTATGCCTGATATTAAACATTGATCGAACCCTTCCATTTACGGAAGAAGAATGCTCATAATCTTAAAACAAAATCTGCAGGAACCTGCTTTCGATTCTCCAATAATAATAGGCATCATTTAATCACTTCTTTTTTTATTGGAAAAAATGTTCTTGTAGTAGATATAAACAATCATACTTTTTCTTCCTTTGCTGAAAATATATGCTATTTCAGAAATATGATTTATAACCGATGGTAGGTAACGTCCACAGTCCACACAGCACAAGTAAGCAACACAAGAATTTTCCGCCTTCCAGGCGCCATGCTTTGTCCTCACGGCACTATTTTGTACGGCAGCCATCGACAGCAAATCGCCAACTCCCATCGCATATCATTCCAGAGCAAGAAGTACAACAGCAAGGACAAAATATAGCCGGCGCATCCTCCTCTGCACATCCCACTAAAAGACGTATATCGAAAAAATGGGCTAAAGTTGATGAAGAATCTACGGATGGTTTATCTTCCCAAGATCGTCTTGTCGAATTTCTCTTAAGTAAGGATGGTAAAGAGCTGAAAGCATTTCAAGAATTAAATAAAGATGAATCCAAAGGAACTCGCAAAAACGATTACAAATATAAATTGGCTCAACGGTGTTTGAAGTATTTTCGTGACAGAGGTGTAGAAACCCGTACAGCCGATGATTTAAGAATGCGTATTGATGCCGTTTACAAAACATACGTATTTGCTTATACTGAGGCACATAGGACAGTAGCAGAAGAAGATAAAAAGAATTTACTAACTGAAGAGCAATTTGAAGGTAAGTTTACGGCTAGATTACATATATGGTTATTGTCGCAATTCAAGGCTTATGATACATGAGCAATTTGATCAATTACTGTTAAACAGATTATATTGATACAATCTGTCCAAAGTTTAAAGTTTTTGAAAAATATCTTGGAGAACCGACAGTGAAAGACAAACGTGCTGACAAGGAGCATGCTGATTTTGCACCTCGCGCTACAGAACCACTCCAAATACAACCAGCGATCGATAAGACCAAACAACAAACATCTAAATTACCGGTCATGCCGCTTGATACTGTTGTGACCACTTCATCCACCATACCTCAAGCAACAAACGAAGCGCACCGTAAATCGCCGAATGAAGAAGAAGGAAAATTAGCCGCAGCCTTGCTTCCTGCTCAAGAACAAGTGATAATTGGAGGAGGAAGCAATGCATCGTCTCAATCCACAACAAGTACTGCAACTGAAATGAGTGCTAACGAAATTTTCAAAAAGTTAATTGAAGTTACTGGAAAGCTACTATCATTAGCAATAACGACGGACAATTGTGTAACTAACACTTTCGAAGAACAACAACAGCTATTAAAAGCCAAAGGCGTTCTAGAAATTCAGTCACGTCGATTAGGATATATCAAAGCAGGAATATCTGTTGATGAGGCCAGTAGAATGGTAAAACAAGAACTTGAAGCGTTTCTTGAACAATTCCAAGTTGACAATCTTCAAAAACAATGAAGAAAAAGGAAATATGAAACTATCGAACAGTAGCTAGCTACTTGTTATTACATCATATTTTCTTTTATAACCTATGCTATGTGCCAAACTGATATTGATGGGCCCACGTTCATATTGAACTCACGCAATAAATTATTGAGAGAGCGTTGATATCGCTGTGGCGAGCTTAGAGTGCCTAGTCGAAAGACTCTGTCACCTTTTTTTTTTTTTTTTTTTTCAGGGACATGTTCGTTTTTGTACCTTTTTTCAAATGTAAAATTCAGAATCAGCATCAGTCGTATTTGCCGTTTGGGTCGCGCCATAAGCGACAAGACGCGCGATGTCAAAAAAATTTGACCAAATCCAAATCACGCAAAAATTTTTGAAAAGAAAGCCGATTGCGTTCGTTGTTAACTTTTCCTGTGTTTATCCTCTTCCTTTAAAATTACATAAATGGCTTCGCTCATCCCAGTTACAATTAATAATGTCGCCTACGGTGAAGACAAGGGTAAATGTTCAAGATAATCTGTTATTTCGCGTACCAACGTTATCTTAATCGGCCAAAGCTAATCTTAATCTAACCCTTTAATTATTGTAAAAATAGAGAAGTTACGTTCATTCCTGACTCAGTATAAGGAAAAAGTAACAACTGAAATGGGTGAAGAGGAAGATGTCTTAAAATATGATGTTTTATTGGTAAAAAAAAAAACGAACTGTATAAGCAAATTTCAACAACACAGCTGATGGTTAACCACTGCTTCACAATTTGCCATAACTCTACTAGCAAAAAATCGTTGATAGAGAAAATACAGTTATCACGATTGAATTAGATGATATCAAAAAGGTACAGAGTCTTAAAAAAATATAGTTAGGAAGATCAGATATAGGCGATTGTTTTACTTATACTTCAGCATCAATGTAGTTTGATGATAATAATGATCTTTTATCCCACATCAGAAACAACACAAAGCACTATCTTGAACTCGCCGCTCTTGTCATTGATGAATTATTGACTACAAAAGTTACCAGAAACCCTGAACTCAGCTACAATGATAGTGTACTAGATGTTATTATTCACCAAAGAATTGCTCATGATACCAGACGAACTAATGAGAATGAGGAGAAGTTCCCTGCTGCCTTGACACGTCGATTGTAAATATTAACATGCGCATATCTGCAGCAACTTTTTTTTTGTGAAAAAATTGACGACGCATACTTTATTTATTCACCAACAAAACACTACGCTTTCTTCGATTTATAGTGAGGTATTCTTTAAACCATTAAGTGACGATGTCGCACTTTCGGTTCGTCAAACCAATGGCAGCCTACTCGGTAAACTGGTAACTGTTCGTGGTATTGTTACTCGTGTATCTGATGTGAAGCCATTCCTCCAAGTGAATACTTACACTTGTGAATCATGTGGTTCGGAAATTTTTCAAGAGATCAAACAAAGACAGTTCACTCCTCTTGTCGAATGTCCTTCTGCCGAATGTAAAGATAATGCTGTAAAGGGAAAGCTATATATGCATACCAGAGCTTCTAAATTCTTAGCCTTCCAAGAAGTGAAGCTGCAAGAATTGACGGATCAAGTGCCCGTGGGACACATTCCCCGAACCATGAAATTACATCTTTACGGTGCTGTATGCCGTCAGTTAAAGCCCGGTGATGTAGCCAATGTCAGTGGTGTATACTTACCTATGCCTTATACGGGATTCAGAGCCTTGCGTGCTGGTTTGCTTACAGATACTTACATGGAAGTTCAGCACGTACATCGTTTGAAAAAGCAATATGACGAAATAGAGATGACACCAGAGGATGAAGAAATAGTGGAACAATTGAAGTCAGATCCTAATGTCTACAACCGTCTAGCACGCAGCATTGCTCCAGAAATTTACGGACATGACGACGTAAAGAAAGTATTATTGTTGCTTTTAGTTGGAGGTGTTCATAAAACAGTGGGTGATGGCATGAAAATTCGTGGTGATATCAATATTTGCTTAATGGGTGATCCAGGTGTTGCCAAATCGCAGCTTCTTAAATTCATCGCCAAAGTTGCACCTCGCGGTGTATACACCACAGGTCGTGGTTCATCAGGTGTAGGTTTGACAGCCGCCGTTATGAGAGATCCCATCACCGACGAAATGATCTTGGAAGGTGGTGCACTTGTTTTAGCTGATAATGGTATATGTTGTATTGATGAATTTGATAAGATGGATGAAACAGATAGAACAGCAATTCACGAAGTTATGGAACAGCAAACTATCAGTATTTCTAAAGCTGGTATCAACACCACACTCAATGCTCGTGCTTCCATCTTAGCTGCCGCCAATCCTTTATTAGGTCGCTATAATACCCGTCTTTCGCCTACGCAAAATATTAACTTACCAGCGGCCTTACTGTCACGTTTCGATATTCTTTACTTGATCCTTGATAAACCCTCAGACGACATGGATCGTCTTCTGGCCGAACACGTTACATACGTTCATACCCACAACAAACCACCTCAGATGGATATTGATGCATTAGAACCTCACATGATTAGGTAAGTGAAAATGGGTTTTGTTGTGATAACTATCTGCTTAGACTAAAGTTCTTGGATTATACGCAATATAGACATTATGTGGCGCACGCTAGAACAAAACGTCCTGTTCTTAAGCCAGATGTTGCAGAATATATATCTAATGTTTACGTCGACTTACGACGTCAATACAAATTAGATGAAGTTCGTGAAAGACAATTCACTTATGCTTCTGCTCGTACTCTTCTGGGTATCATTCGTATGGCGCAAGCTATGGCTCGTATTCGTTTATCTGATTATGTCGAGCAGACTGATGTTGATGAAGCTATTCGTTTAATTGATGTGTCTAAGGCCTCTCTCTTTGACAACGAATCACAGAGACGCGACGGTCGTACCGACAGAAGTCCTATGTCAGGCATTTTCAACATTGTCAAAGAATTACATGCTCAATTCGGTAATCCTCTTCAATTGACTACCGTTAAACAACGTGTAGCCTCTAGAGGTTATACAGAAACCCATCTACAAGAAGCTATTCGAGAATATGTTGATCTTGAAGTATGGCAAGTGTCAGACAATCAATTAGTCGTTATCCAATAAATTAAACTATTATGTTTATTCATCCATCTATACAAGCTTCCTTTAATACATATCATCTTATTTTGAACCATTTTCTGATTTTTTCTCGCCTTTCTTTCTTACCGTCCATAATAAATCATTCAATAATATTCAAATAGTCTTCTCTGTGTTTTTGCATATTGTTCCGTATCATCAGCCATTGGTCCTCTGTAATGAAGCAGATTTTCCTGACAAGCTTGCTTTAGCAAGTGGAGTAACGCCTAGGTAAATTTCATATTTGTTTCCCCACATATTTCATTTCTCCCTTCTATTAGTCTAGGCAACTCCGATATAAGTAGTTTGATCTAGGCCATTCTGTAATTCTATCTTTTCTTCTTCCTTTTTAACCCTGTCTTCTCTATTTCCCTATGTCGGATTCAGCATCATCAATTTCCGTTAGTAACTATACTAGTGAAGACAGTTTAATTAACTCGATAAATACAGTAGACATAGTATCTAAGATTGGTTTTGATCAGCACCATCGACAACTAGAAGAACATGACAATGTTGCACCGCAACAAGGAACAACCTTGCCGATTTCAAAAAAGTTCAGAGTTATTGAAAAGTTAAGAGACAAGATGAAAATAGTTAAGCGACATCACTTTTTCGGAGCACATTCATCATTTTGGCACGTAAGTAGTCGATACCACGACAATTTGGACAATGCCATCAAGGAATGCATCGATAGCGTTGAGCTATCGATTATAGACAAAAACATATCAGCAATAAGTGATGTCTTTGAAAAACGATCTGAAGATCATGATTCGCCGGATTTTCAAAAGACACCAACTACAACACAGAGTACTAATTCAGTAAAAACATATGGTAATTTTCGTGAAGGCCTATTTTACGCCATTAGCGCACGATCAAATAATCGAAAGTGCTCCAAAAAATTCAATAAACACTACTGCAGTAGTGATAGCAGACATAGTAGAAAGGCATATAAGACCGAGCCATCCTCTCCTGCTTCATCGTCCATGCTGTCAGTCTCTAACATATCCTTTCATTCGCAAGCAACCAAACGCCTGCGGTTACTCAACGAAAGAAATTTTGGATGGAAATTGAAATACAGTAATGCTTCAATAACCAAAAGGGAATCACCTTATCTAGAAGAGGATGGTTTCATAATGGATAAGGAGGGGTTGATGAAAATCAGACGAGATGTGCTGGCATTTGAGATCCCCAAAAACTGGATTTTGATAAGAGAATGTAAACATTCATACCGCCAAGACAAAAAACAGTTGGACAATCACCAAAATTTCGTTCCTTTATACAAGAGGTACTATCAACTTTGCCTCATGAACATTATCTGTTCATTCATCTTTAGCTCACATTCCCTTTTTTCAATCAGTGCATCCAGAGTCGTCGACTATATTAATGCGATTCTTGACGAAATTAACTTGTTGTATAAGCAAATAGATCAGAACAAATCATTCATACTTGAGTACGAATCAAAATTAATGGTTTTGGGCGACAATATTAGGGTAGGCTTCGAACTTTGATTATATTTTACATATTTTGTTGAGTACAACACTCTCAAGCAAACCGTTGTTTTCTTCACTGTTTCACTTGAAAAGGGCACAATTAATTTAGTAAGTGATAAGAGAGATGAGGCACAGTACCTTAAGCGTAATTTACCTGAATCTGAGCGGCAGCGGTTGAAAGAAGCCTATTTAACGCATCGAGGCTTGTACTTGAAAAATGAAGTCTTGCAAAATTTTGCTACAGACCGACTAAGCCAACTGCAAATCAAGGTACAGTTGCTGCATGAAAGTGGATTGAAAAGGCGACGATGGAGGCTGCATTCTTTCGGTGAGGAGTCCAAATAAAATTATAAAGCCTTTGAAACAGATGATTGACGCGTTAACATTTTCGAACCATTCCTTCCTTATATAGTTGCTTTTTCGGGATTACTTCTTGCCATATATTATTTATGCTTTTGCAAATGAAGTACTGTGTTTAATGGAGAAGAGGAGGCTCAAGCGCGTTGAAATATGTACAAGTTATGTCTTCAGGGATTATTTTATAGTTTTTGCGTACGGTGCAAAAAGTCAATTATGCAATTTATGTGACATTGAGTGTTACAACAAACCTTAAAGGTCAAGGTCAATCAAACCCTCATAAGGAAACGTTAGTCGGATTATGTTTGAGCTTATAATTGTTACTGAACATGTCGTTTGTGAAGCAGCAGCAGCAGGCAGCAGGCAGCAGTGGCAGCGACAGAAAAGGGGCAAAAAAAAAAAAAAAAAAAAAAAAAAAGTGTTTCTTTCCTGACGCAGATGCATTTAAGTCTCTCTTTGTGTTTATCATTTCTACTCCCCCCTTCTTTCTTTCTTCCCTAACTTCTCAGATACTATTGTGTAAACTATTTTGTTTCCGAGTATAAAAATTGAAAAAAGAGCATGCTTGAAGAGCCACAGGTTACTACAAGTCTAGTAAATCAGGAGGACAATTACACTTTTCCCTCTTCATCCAACAACAACAATTCATCTCCACCAACGATTGATGGTGAGGATATACAAGAACTTCCCTCTTCTACTACTACTGCAACCGTACAAAATATCGCTCGTCGAATTCGAAACAGAAAGGAATCGATCACAAGAGGAACTGCTTCGAGTCTTGCGAAAATGGTTCGACCGCCTATTAGTTCCCAAACCCCTACTTACAATGACACAAATACCACACGAAATTCATTACGTTTGTCAAAGAGGCAGTCGCTGATTCCAGTCAATTACAAGAATCTATATCCGTATAACAATACTCTTTCACAAAGAAGAAGTTCCTGGACGCCACTCGTACAACAACAACAACAACAACAACGTCAACAGCATACGGATATGGGAGCATCTTCGGTTTCTCCTTCGCCCTCACCTCCACTTATGCAATGTTCAAGGAAAAAATCAAATCAGGATATGTCACAGCAACAACAGGCAAAAATGCCAGCTTTGCATACTCTAAAGAGTAGCTATAATGGTCATTATCAATATCGGCGTGCTCATCAACAACAAACATCAAAGAACGACCCTTGTTTTCTCTCTGATGTTTCTTCCAGTAATACCACGGAAAATAGCAGTAGCCATGGTAGCGGTAGATCCATTGTAAATGCCCCCAAGAACAAAGTCTACTGTGACCATTCTCAGTCTCCATTTGAATACGAGGCAGCAATAGGCGTTAACAAAATCAAACAAACAATGACAAAGCCATCCCATAATAAATATCTTCCTGTTTGCCATAATATTCCAAGCCAGCAGCAGCATCCACTCCAGCTCCAGCCAGGTCCACCTTGTTTTCCTAACCATACAGCAACAGCGAATGGAAAAGGATATGATAATGCAACTTGCTTTACAGCTGCAAGACATCCTCAACAACAAAACAGTTCCTTTGAAACTCCTCCTCCTTGTTTTGCTCCTGACACATCACCCTCTGCCGCTTCCACGGTTACTACCACTAACAATGCAGCTACAATATCTACCAATGAGGTAAGTTTACGATTTCAAGGGCGTTAGAACCTGCTTAAAAATATACATAGGATTTTTTTTTTGAAAAAAAAAAAGGAAAAAAGAGCCCTTGCGAAAATATAAACATTTCATTAAAGTAAATGAAAATGCATGTTTTTGTTTCTTCCATTTAACGATCAATAGCATCATACTTATTGCCAGTCTCTATGCGACGCTAACCAATGTCGCTCACACCATCACTATGGCCAGCACCAAGAAGAAGAAGGAACGGCAGGAACAGCAACAATGGTAACAGGAGGTTCTATAGGTCGACTAGAAAATGGAGGTGACGAGGAAAATTTGCCAAGTTATATGCGACGTCCAATTTGTGCTGCATGCAATCGTAATGTTAAGGTAGTTTCATCATCTGAAACGACTACAAGTACTACACAATCCCAACATCAACCGCATAACAGTGCTTCAAATAGTAGTGGCAGTAGTAGGCGGTCATCTGTTTCAGCTACAGCCACAACCACTAATAATAGAAGACGAACCGCCAATCATGGAAATAAAGTAGCTGCGACATCATTTTCCACAACATCATCCACTGCAACTATTCATAGCGATAGCAGCAGCAGTCATGGTCGTTGTGATACTAGTAATAGCTGCAGTCGCCCTCGTAAACATACTACTGCTGCTGCTACTATGTCCACTACACCAGCATCAGCCAGTATAAGTAACAAAAACCATTCTTCTTCCTCTTCATTGAATAGAAGAGGAGCTCAAAGCCCTACCTCACCTATTCCAACCGTTGTACATCATCACAAAAAGAAAAAGAAAAATGCACTCATTGCTGAAACCATGACAGATACAAACGATAACAGTCTTCAACGACAAATGGTTCTATCGACAGCAACAGAAGCAGTAGGAGAGGATAAATGGAAATATCTCTTGGCCCAGCAACAAGTCTTATTGACAACATTGTTAAGAGATGAAAACGAGGATGAAGAGGATAAGAACACACGACAACTACTGCTCCATCTTTCAAGCAGTAACCATACAAAACGACAACAGAAACAATATGAAACTATCTTATTAGAAACGCAAATCAAGATTCTACAAAAATTAACGCAACTTATCCAAAATCGTCCTTCACCGAGCTACGACAACTGCTTCGGTCTTAACCTGCAATCATCGCGTTTCAACTACCAGTATAACAAAAATACAGCAAGCAATGAAGCAGTGAACGTTATGGTAGCTCATAATCAAAGCAATCATAGTGCCACAGCTATGTCGACCTCTTGGCAAACAAAAATTGAATATAGCTTGGCTAAATTTCGTTGGGGCGTGAGTCAATGGCTAGGTAACTTGGTGGGTACAGGTGACATTGAAAATCAGGCTTATGACGCTTTAGGATATCCCGAACAAGTTACAATTACAGGTGTTTGCGTAACAAGTGAACCTGCATTGCTTCCAAAGGTAAACTATTATTATTATTGTTGTGACGGTAGCGGTAGTAGTGGTAGTAGTAGCATGGATATTTTGGATCGACCTTGGTTATAGTAGTGGTAGTAGTGGTAGCTTTCATTTACCAGTTATAAACACCCTTTTTCCAACTGATTTGACGTCTCATCATTCCTCTCAGCTGGAACACATTACTCTGTACAGATATAAATTCCTTCGTTTCATTCCTTTATATATATATATGTGTGTGTATATCCATATTGATGATGCTACTGCTGCCGCTGCTGCTAGTGCACTTCTTTTTCATTGATAACTCGTATAAAATTGCATCCTTCCCCCTTCTGACGTATTCCTCTTTTATGGTAAAACTGTAGCATTTACAAAAATATTACAACCCTGACCGACACACGGATGGAGCTGCTATTTGTTATAAATATGTGATCCACTTGACAAGAGAATTGCGATTAAACGAGTTCCAGCTGAACTTGAGGAACTGGGTGAAAGATGAAGATGCCGATTATTGCGAGTTTTCTGCTATAACCCCTCTTCCTCCTCCTAATCCTCCACCACCTCCTCCTTCTATTACTACTACTATTGTTACTGTGGGAAGTAAGCCGAAGCGCTGTCAAGTCAAATTCAACCTGTTCCACAGAAGACATCATTGCAGAAGGTAGATTATAATGAACGAATGATAAATTCGTCAGAGGAAAATGCGTAACAAAACTGACCCTTTCCAATCTGTAACTATTTCTGGTAGTTGTGGGCATGTATTCTGTCAAATGCATAGCGGTAATCGATTACCGTTATTTACAGCCAATGGCAATGATCATGGCGAGTGGGCTAGGGTGTGCGATGCTTGCTTCTTTTCCCGCATTGAGCTTGTCTATTAAAGCAACATTCTCTTAACGAAATGAAAAAGCATTCTCTTTTAAATTATTTTTCATGAAAATATTCAAAAATAGGTTGAAAAGACAAGTTTGATTACACAAGTTATTTTAACTAACAAATTGATCGGTTTTTTGTACTCACTGCAATAACCAGTGAAAGGCTTTCTTTTTTCACTTCAAATTTTCTTAAGTGTTAGTGACAACAGAAGAGACCAGACTTATCGTCATATCTATTATGGCCATAACGTTTATCAAATCAGTGTCAATTGCCCAAAACCGATGATCTAGCAATCGAAATATTGTTCTTACTGACGTACGGTGCTAGGATACAGAGTGTAACTAGCCCTGATAAATGATTCTGTCTCCTGCAGCTTGCATTCCTTTTTAGAGGATCTTTCCATATCCTTGTATGTATGGCATCGCTGCCATCAAGGGTCTCAAGACACCTATCATGTTAGATGTGTGTAAGGCCCGAGTTAAGTAGATGTCGTTTTAATGATTGTCATCAGTTATTGTCAACTAGCTTTGCACTTGTTATTCTTGTTTTAAACAAGTGGTTTGAGATACATTTAGTTACTCCTCAAGTTGAGTACTTGGGTTAGAAAGAAATCCTTCGTTTTCTTGATCAGGTACCGAACTTTAATTGATCACTGATGAATTTGTAACTCCTCTTCAGAAAAAAAAAATGACAGAATTTTGTGTCAGTCAGGAACAAAAAGGCTAAAGTATAGTTATAATTGCTTTGAACGTTCACAAAATGATTCTGGGAATAGGAGTAGACATTGTTCATATACCGCGTATTGCAGCGCTTATAACAAGAAGAGGCAAAGATAGATTGGCTAAACGAATACTGAGTCCTGTAGAATGGAACGAATTCGAATCACAGTTCTTGACATCATCGTCATTGCTGACAGATCAGTTGAGACAGCAGAAAGAACTAACTTTTCTGGGATCAAGGTAACCTCATTCAAAGACTAAAATAAAAAAAAAATGTGCTTTATTAGTTTTATAACCAAGCGGGTCTGGTTTGCTTTTTATAGATGGTGCATCAAAGAAGCCGTATACAAAGCATTATATCCTACAAAGAAGCTTGAATGGAAAGATGTCACTGTCTCCAAAATACTAGGTAAAACGTTATTTTGATGACATGGTTGATCATTTTTCTCTTATGGAACTAAATTGTTCAAATATAGATAAACCGAGTATTCATATTGTCAATGGGGAGTTATATGGTGTACAAAAAGCGCATGTATCGTTATCGCATGACGGTGAATATACTATTGCTCAAGTCGTACTAGAAGGCAAAAGTAGTAGTAGTGCTGGTAACAGCGGCTAAAAACAGCAACATAATTACAACAACGGGCAGGTTTTATTTTTGATTATCGTGCAATCTATTTTTATTCCATGAGTTACAACACCAAAAATGGATATTTTGCGTCCTTTTTTTTTTGTTTTGGCTTTGCTGAACTTTCTGGCCCTACATTCCTTTCATTCAAAACTTTATATGTGCCAAAGGTAATAGTAAATTAGAAAGGTTAGACGAAAGTAATCGATTTTAATGTATCCAATTCCATTATGAAAAACGTAATAAGCTTGTCCTTTGAAAGTATATCAGTCTGTCTAGCAGAAACAAAAGATCTATAAAGGACTTATAAAGAGCTGCCTTTACAAAAGTATATATTATTGTGAAAGTTTAGAAGCCGCATTCAAATATTATACTTACACTTTACTCCCCCTTTTTTTACATTTCTTTTCTTACTTTTCCCTTTTTTTTTTTTTTTTATTTGGACTTTTTTTTTTTTCTGTATAATAATCTATACTGTAAATGCATTTATGAGACTGTAGAAGATACATCTTTGATCCCTTCTTACATAACACAAAAAGAAAGAATTTGTTAGAAAGCGTGCAAACAGAGGCATTAGATCCTAAACCAGTTGAAATTCTCGATATACACAGTTCACGCACACAACCATCCACTATATTTATTCAATTATATACTTATTTCTAAAGAAAGAGTATAACCCAATATGAACCATTATAACTCCTCGACATTAATTGAAACGACATCACCTACCGACATCTCGCAACAACCAACAATAGACTCGACAATAACAACACCGACAATAAATTGTGCGAGATGTAATTTACCACTAGACGACGAACTTGTCACAGCACTAGACGGTGCCTTTCATCCTGAATGCTTTACATGCATGGTATACCATCAATATCCCTTTTTTTTTTTATGCTCAATACTTACGATGCATTTATAGGATTGTGGTGCTCCAGTGGCACAAAGATATCTGCCGCATCCCGACGATCCAAAACAGCCATTATGTGAAAAGGATTACTTCAAGCGACTCGATTTAGTGTGCGCGCAATGTGGGGATGCTTTACGTGGAACATACATTATTGCACTCGATAAGAAATATCATACAGATCACTTCACCTGTAACGATTGTTCAACTGTATTTGGGGCAGACGATTCTTATTACGAACATGAAGGAAAGGTCTATTGTCATTTTCATTATTCGACTCGGTTTGCAGTGATGTGTGCGGGATGCGACATGGCTATTTTAAAGCAGTATGTTGAAATTGAAAAGCCTGATTCAGTCGATCATTGGCATCCAGAATGTTATATGATACAGAAGGTAAACAACTAGTTACAAACTGCATCTGTGCATAGTACCTGTTCCCTTGATTGAACTTTTCTACTTGTTTCTGCAGTTTTGGAATGTTAAAATTGCGCATCCTTCACAACGAGAAAATGATACGACAACTGATCCTCGTGGTATATTTATATATATGTATAAAAGGAAAACTTCTCTGAATGAAATTTTTAATTTCTTTTTTTTTTTTTTTTTCTGGCTTCTCCACTGCCTTTACCCGCTAGATCAACAAAAATTATTGACGCCAGTTGAATTACTTCAAATTCAGAAAGAAACAGAAGAAAAGGTGATAAGCATATGGTCAGTGCTATCAGCATTTGAAGGTAACATGTTCACATACACGGATATGGCTTGCATAATAAGGAAAACCTTTGTTCATCAATAATCATCCAATAGAATCCTCGGCTGTATGTATTTCTGAAATGTTATTACATGTCTCTAATGGCGCATATATCGAAAGTATTTGCTTGTCAGAGAGATTCTTGGTGCATGTTGAATCTCTGTTTGCCGGTATTGATATCATACGAAACATATACCACGAATACCAACAAACTGGTAAGATGCAGCATGTACATCGCTGGTTAGCCCCCTTTTTTTTTTCGCTTGATTCTAACAAGGCATTCAATGTAGAGTTCAAATATACACGAGAAGCAAAGATGCTATGCAAAAAAATCATCAATTTTTTCTCCTTGTTGTCAAGAACTGGAGATATGGAAATGAAGAAACTAGGCATAACTCAGGAACTATTATCGTTAGTCACTGGTTTAGCTCATTATTTAAAAGTGCTGATTAGACTTGCTTTAGCATCAGCATTACGCTTAGTAAGATACATATAAAAACTGCAGTACTTTGGAAGCTTTTCGTTTAACGCTGTTATCTATCTTAGGAAATAGCAGTTGGTAAACCTGTTGTTATTTCAAGCTTATTAGCAAAGTTAATGGAAATTCCCAGGAAAGAACGACATAGTCGAGATTGTCAAAGACTAATTAAACCAAAGAACACAGATTATTGTCAGCTGTGTAAAAATACAATTGAGGATCAGTGCGTGAAATACAATGATTATAGATGGCATATTCATTGCTTCAAATGTAGACAATGCTCACGACAGTTAGATGTACACGATTCGACGTATTACAATACGGCATCTTCAACAATCCATTGCTCAGACTGTGCTCCTGAAAGCGGCCTCGCTCAAAAAGACATTGTTTCTTTTGAGTATATTACCAAACTAACACAGTACAGCTTTCTATTAAGGGTTGCGCTTAGCAGACTATGCAACTTACTACAAATAACTGGTATGGCTATTTTTTTATTCTACTATTTACCGTGCTCAATCTGGGTATTCTGTCTAAAATTCATTTCCCATTCTAAACTTTTCATGCTTTCCTTCTTTATACTGATCTTTTCCTTCACAATGGCGAATGAACCAACTATTCTCCCTCGTGAATTTTATCCCTACGGCTTCTCCATCCTACAGACAGTCAGCTCTCTTCCGTAGACTGCTCGGCAAAAACAAAATTAAGTAGCAACCGTTTTAAAGATGTTCAGAATTCAACTTCGGTAGAGAAACAACTTAGGTTGATAGCCGACGAGAAAAATATCAACAGCAGTGATAATGTCTACCCTATTGAAATATTAGATGCAAAAAAGACAATAACCACCAGCACCAGCACTCAGCTTGATCGAAAAATTTCGAAATCATTTAAAACTGCAAACAAACGTTCGACAATGATTGGCAATGCTGATTTGGTTGCATCTATTAAAGCCCAACAGGTTCATTCAGGATCTTCAACAGATAATTCTATCCCGCCTACGCGTATGGATAGTTTGCAACTTCGTATAGCTGTTGATCAACACAAAGAGCTGCCCAACTTGCCAGCACCACCACCGCGTAATCCTACGCGGCATCGGCCTACGCACAGTATTGGCTTGGATGATTTACCCCAAATTGCTGCTGCTGCCGTAGCAGATGCTGTTAACCGCTCCAACTCCAGTCACTCATCTCACACCACCACCATCCAAAAACATCAACACAATAATACCCTATCCAGTATTCCTGCGTCCATTCGCCTTACCGGTGGTGGACTTGGTTATGCTGGCGGTATGAGCACCGCGGCAACTGGCCTTGGTCATCCACGCATTTTCTTATCTGAACTCTCTGCTCTTCAATACATGATCATTCGGTACGTTGCCGTCGTTCATATTGAGCCTTACGTCCGATCCTCCTTCTCGTCCAGCGAGTTACTGAATCTGGTTGAAACAAAGAAAACGTCGATTTGGGGCAAATTTTTTCCTCCTTTCATGAAAAATAAAAAAGCCCAAGCGCCTAAACCAAAAGAAGAGGGTACATTTGGCGTCCCGTTGGATACCTTGACAGAACGTACAGGAGTTGAATCAAATTTAGGAGCAGGGCATTCTCCTATCAAATTGGCTGCTTTTGTGGATGATGCGATCACAGCCATGCGACAAATGGATATGACAGTGGAGGGTGTGTTTCGTAAAAATGGCAATATCAGGCGTTTAAAGGAATTGCAAGATGCTTTGGACAGAAACCCCAATGAAGTGGACTTGACACAAGAGACAGCGGTTCAAGTGGCGGCTTTATTGAAGAAATTTCTGCGTGAATTGCCTGATCCTCTTTTGACTTACAGATTGCATCCATTATTCCTTTGTTGTGAACGTAAATGTCCAAAGCGTTTCTTTAAGAGAAGTTTATTGATTTAGAGAATTGTACTTACTTTTTTCTTTTTCATTTTTTTTTTTTTTTTTTTTTTTTTTTTTTTTGTGTGCTCTTTTAGGCATCGAGAATCCTACGGAGCGCAAACGTGCCTTGCACTTGGCCTGTTGTATGTTGCCTCGTTGTAATCGGGCTACGATGGAAGTATTGTTTGTTTTTCTAAGGTGGGTTGCTTCATTCTCTCACGTCACTGGTGACGTTGGTAGTCGTATGGATATTCCAAATCTGGCTAGAGTGATAGCACCTAATATTTTGAGAAATAATCACAATGACCCATTGAAAGATGACTCCTTTGCTTGTATCAATGTTATTGAAGTTTTGCTTGAATCTTATGAGGAATTCTGCCTGGTAAATACCTACTTTACGTTTTTATATAGAGTAAGAGTATGGCTCTAAATGTCAATGGTATCAACCCGCTCCCCACCTTTTTTTTTTGTTAGGTCCCGGATGATCTCGAAATATTTTTAAAGGATCCCAACTTTAGCGATGTCGATATATCACCGAAAGAATTTCTAAAGCGCGTAGAACAGACTGTCAAACTTAAAAACTCATCCTCATCTAATCTCAGCTCCTCCTCGTCAAAGTCAAGCATGCACTCGACGAGTAACAATACTACGTCCAACACGACCACCAATACTACTCTTACGACTGCAACCGAACCGAACAGTGTCAGACTCTTCGATGGCATCACGGATGGTCGATCGCATTCACCCACTTCCATTTACGCACAACCTCAATTCTTACCGTATACCAATCATCATCCTAACTCTGATTTCGTACCTCAACAGTTAAATATGAGACACCATCAAGCTGACAATATCAATTTTTTACCTTCCCCTCCACGACGTGTTGATAGTCATGAATCCTTTGCTTCCGCCATTACCAATAACTCTTACCGCGTTCATCAAAGACAACCATATTAAGCAACTTTCCCTTCTTTTTTTTTTTTTTTTTTTTTTCTGCTTTTTTACTGTTTTGCTTTTTCGCTTTTGTTACATTCGTTTATTCTGTAGAGCAGAATCCTGTCGATTCTCACTATAAAGTATTGTAAGCACATCAATTATTAATTGTGAATATTTATTACATTCTATTTCTATTTCTTCTCTTATTCTTTACGTTTTCTACTCTTGTTTTTGTTATTTATTATTACATTAAAAAAGAAAAGGCATACGATTTGAAGAAGTTTTTGTTGTAATTTTTTTGGGCTTGAAGAGGCGTATAATGACAGGAATCAAATGAATAGTAATGCAGTTGGATTATCTTGATAGAGAATAGAGTGATAAATACTTGGTATAAGTGCATCTCAAAAGATTTGGGCATTCTCGTCATAAGTCGCGAATTCTTTCGACCTTTCCGCATTCTGGCAAATGTGTTCCTCTGTATTTAATCAGGTATTCACCATTAATTCTGGATGTTACCGTCTTGTTCACAGTGCAACCCTAATTGTGAATTAAAAAAAGGTAGTAAAACGATCATTTTAGTAAAAGCGGGCCAATAAAACATCGTGTGAAATGTGCAGGCTTTGTCGGTTGTAAAGACACATGTAGAGCATAGGTATGAATTTCATGTGTCAAATAATCCAATGATATGACTCGGGTAAAGCCGTAAAATAAGCATGTAATATGCTTTCATCTACTATCCCGCCTAATTCCGTTGTAAGTAATTAAAATACTGTACCTTGTTACTATTGGAGCATTTGTAATAGATACTTTTACAGCCTGTCTTTTTCTGTACTGTGTTTCCATTATTCTTCCAAAAGTAACTATCAACATAGGGAAATTCTCTTGTCTCCACGACCTTTGTTATGGCTTGCATTTCCCTTCTGCGTCGTGCTTTTCTATTACTGTCGTCTTTTACTGCTTTAAGAACATGGCTAGATGGGTCGGTCATAGAAGTGGTAACAGCAGTATCATTATCGGCAGTGGCAGTGGTGTTATGTTGGACATTTTCCTTCACTCTATTTCCGCCCATGGCCAGCATGGCAACCGCAGCTGATTCACGACGCTTCTGATGATCTTCAGCATCTGCCGCTGTCGCCATTCTATTATCTTTTTCTTCTTCTTCTATTTCTGATAAAGACGATAGCGAGGACACAGATGAAATCGATGAAGAGGGGAAAGAAGCTCCATTGTATAGCTGGCTATAACTATGTTGGGCTACATTTTGATCTGTAGTTCTTTCTTCTTTTTCTATATTGAGTGCATTATCAAATCCTGAAGATGTTGTTCTTCGGTATCGTTTGATGTCGTTTGATGGGTATGGAATATTAAGAGGAGTATGGTTGACAAAAAGATTTGAAAAGACGCTGGAAGCTGGTTTATACGTATTTTCAGCGGTGCTTAAGGACGATGAGCATGACTTCCTTTTCTTGCTTTGAACAAATAGTACATCATCGTCCATATTATCGGTAGCAAGTGCGGTTGTAGTTGTTGTTATCGTTGTCGTCGTTGCTGTTGTTGTTGCTGCTGCTGTGCTTCCTACATCATCTTCAAACAGCATACTTGACTTTGACAAACGGGGAGTGGCTGGCGGTGAACGGTTAGGAGGTTGTATTTGTTGTAGATAAATGTCCAGTTCTTTTGCTCGAAGCTTGGCTTCTTCAGCTCTACGTTTATCTTCTTCTACTTTACTTGTTAAGATTAATTTCAAAAGCTCTGGTTGCGATTGGTATTGTTGGATAATGTGCTGTAAATCATATAAAGGTACAATGGAAGTCGGAGGGTCATGAACACCACTTGCATGTAAATGTTCTTTATTATGGTGATCAACGTACGACAACTGCAAACGTTTTTTATACGAGTATGGGGGGCTTCCACTCATTGCTGTGTGATAAGAGTACGTAAACCAGCAGTGAAAAATAGTTAACTGAAAGACGAAAACGGTTCAAAAACAGAAGAGATCTGTACTTTTTAATCTCCAATCTCAACTTTGCGGTGAAGGTGTCATACACACTTTCCACGGTGCCCACCTTCTCTTCAAATGATAATTTGTCAATTTCTTCTTTTTATCTATGTTCTTACCATAAACGTCATACAATCAGGAAACTCTCAAAGCGTATTTTAACATTTTTATGGATACGCCTTCCTTCTTCACCGTCAAAAAAAGGCTTCGAAGCGCCACTCTTCTTTCTCTCAGCGCATCTTTGAGCGCTTGAAGTGGTCTGGGTATCAACAAGCATTTTCGGTTTGGTCTTTTTTTTCCGTTCTTAAAGCTGTATAAATCGTACGTGTTACACATGAATAACTCGTGTAGATTCAATATGCCAGCCCTGATGAACCCTCTTTTTAGGAACCAATTTGATTCGTTTAACCTTTACTTTTGCTTTTCCCACCGTTTGCCGCACTTTGCCATTTCTTAACTTCAGACCACTGCTAATGAATCCAATATGTAATGCCTTACGCTTGTATGAGAGTGAGGGGAAGTACTATTGTTTGTATTAGCCGATCATGACTACTTTCAACATAATAAACAATCAAGAATGTTTTGATTCTTTTTAAACAAAAAAGATGTGATCCACTATCTCAATTGGATAGACTATGACTAAAGCTCGATTAAACGATTAGCCATGGACAATGCCTTGAAATGTTGGTTAAATGTTTTCTGGAAGCACTACTAATGCTAATGGTGTCTTTTTTGATTTGCTACCAATACGTCTTTTTTTTTCACAAAAGGCACCAACGTTGATTATAATGACAATGACAGAATATCTCATCACTTTTACACCTAGTCATCTTTTTCCAGATATCTGAGCCGATTACCTTTTTTTTTTTTTTTTTTTTTTTTTTTTTTTTAACTGGTCGTAATTGCTGATGACACATATTTTATCAATTTCTGGCTTGAACACTTTCTTTCCGGCGGTTTCCCCACATTTTTTAAAAAAAATGTCCTGAATTAAATGTTTCAACTGTGTTTCAATGAAGTATACATTGATCCCCAGAAATGTATAATGATGCTCATCCTATAGGTAGCATACGCTTCAAGTCAGCCTCAAAATATATCGTACTCTGCTTTAGATAAATAACTTTTTCACTTCCACAACTGCTTTAAGCCTGGCAAAAAAATTTTGGCAGTTATATTTGTATAGTTACAAATAGCCAGATCGACACTGATAGATACCAAATTAGGTATTTGAATTCGTCGTCAACAGAACGAAAGAGGTCAAATTCAGCTGTACCACATGCCTTATACAATATCAAATTCACAAGTGGTGTGACAATTATTAATAATGCACTTTGCTCGATCATGTCACATCATATAGAGCGCATCGATGTCAATGAAATGAATCAGACTATCATCCTTCTCACTCTACACATATACTACAATCGCAAGATTTATATCAAATATCATCATGCTCTCATGAGCGCTTAATGTGCTTTACAAAAGATCGGTATATCGAACCAAACTCAAACTTGCTGTGGAAAGCATAGGGGTCCAGAGTGTCCACCGCCACTCACCATCAAGACACGAGTGCCAAATTCAAATGGGTTACCATTATAAGCAACAAAATCTGCTTCTCCTCCTTCTCTCAGTTGGCCCGCAAGCTTTTCTGTCAGATCAAACATGTTACCTATATTCCATGTGACTAATCCAACTGCATCTTGAGGACTGAAAGAAGGATTATGAGCAAGATTCCAACCAGCTTCCCAAATTAAGTTGCGTGCATCTCCATTATCTACATCAGTACTTCCTAGACCTACACGTACATTATGCTCCAACAAAACGTCAAGCACTGTATTAGGTGTCACAGGTGGTCCTGTTAAACAGTAGCGAGCTTGCCATGTGGTTGGATAACAACGAGCAGGCATCAATATAACTGGTACATCAAGACGTCCTAAATGCTCTGCCACCAAATGGGCTTCGGCACCACCAAGAATGATAAATTTCACATTGCGACCATGCTTTCTCATGATCATCTCCTTAATGGCAATAATAGATGCAATTTCATCCTTGTCATCTACTTGAACAACGACAGGAAGGAGCCCTTGAGCAGCTTTGGCCAATACGTTATCATTTGTTTCCTTGTCTATATTGCTTAATAATAGTTCGCGAATGGTAGCAATCTGCTTCGAGACCGTCATTTTTCCTGCTCATGATCGTTTATCAGTCATTACTTTTCGAAAGAACAAGGGATGCTTTTGTATATCAATCCTACCAGAATGCTGAATAACAAAGTTCAATGCTGCTTCTTCCTTCAGTATGGTTTCAATATGATCATTTCCAAAAATACTCTCGCTGCCCGTACGGAAAGTAACTGAGACACCGGCCAAAAGATCACCATCAACCTGCGGTTGTGAGATAACCTTGGTGACTCCTTTTGAAGTTGTTTGATAAAGTCAAAAGCATTATTCGTTGTATTGCACACATTTAGTATCTTTTTTCGTCCTATACCTGACTTTAATGCTTTTTGGAGATGAAGGCCACCTAATTTCAATCCGTCGACTGCCCGTACTATATTCTTAGAGAGGTTGGGATCTGTGACATCATTCTTTGCGTATCCATCTTGAGTTGTATCTTCAGCTTGGATTTCCATTAAACCAAGAGGTACACCTGCTGATATGATTCCCTTTTTCATAAAATGGGCGCTATTTGAGCACAAATTTACATACATTGGCAAGCAAATATTGCCTACCTGTCCTTCAAAAAAAAAAAAAATGAACAACTTACTGGGAGAATCACAGCACCCTCCATTTCAAATACTGGGCTAGATATTGGCCAGTCAACTTGATCACGATCACAATCAATACCGGCACATGAAATACGGCCATCAACAATGATCATAGTCAGACTTTGGCCAACCTTATCAGCGTGCAAAGTGATGCTACTGTTCATATAAATCTGGCTAATGTTGCGCAACACAAAGGAATCAACATGAGCCTTGCAAGCGTTTTCAAAATTGTCGGGATTATCTAGATCGTGGTCTTCAAGATACATTGTTCCTGTTGAAAAAGGCGGCAAATAATGCAGATTGGGCTTTCCAGTAGACTTTTCTGTTATATCTTCGACCTGCTCCGTAATATGTGTTACTTGGCTCATTTCTTTTTTCTCTTCAGTTACCGTCTTTGTCCATGATGAATCGAAATCAAGTTCGACGCCATCAATAAATACTTGTTTCGGTCGTGCGCCCAATCTAAGAGGGTGTCGTTCCCAGATAACGATATCTGCATCTTTTCCAGCTTCAATACTATGAGTGATTGAGAAAAGTCAAATATAATCGCGCATTAGCTCGCTATGTTTTCTCCTTGCACCATTATTGAAATAATTGCTACTCTTATCTGTGTACCGTTTACCTTCCAATGCGATGGTCGAGTCGTAAAGATTTAGCAGGCACCATGGTCACAGCTTGGAGAGCTTTGTGTTCGTTAAAGCCGTAATGATATGCTTTTTGAGCTTCATGAATAAGATCACGCTAATGTAGTGGGACTGGCGTTTAGCACTTCATCGTGTCAAGGGTGTTAATACTTGATCATTTTCATCTTACCGCGTTAGTAACAGGATGATCACTTTTGAAGGCTACTGGGATACCAGCCTCGTCAAGTATTTTTGGCGCATGCACGTTTTGATCCCAAGCTTCAGCCTAAGTAAGAATATCCATTCTTTCAGTGTACTACCCAACAAAATTTCCCCAGTCTATTGAGCTTACCTTGTATCCCCACATATCTAATAGATGTGAAAACAGAACGTTATTGTTAGCATACAACCATAGTTCATCGTATATTGACATTGATTTTACCTGCAAAAGTCGCTACTGTTATATTTGTTTTTGCTCTTTTAATGATCTCAGGTACCTGCCAAGCGCTCAAAGCGTGATGGAAAGCGGCAATTTCAAAGTCGAATTCCAGAGAATGACGAATCATGGCCTCAATATCTTGAGGCAAGTAGCAATGTACATTCAAATTGACGTGCTTCCTCAAGAGCGCAGTCAGACTCTCAAGCTGTATATTATCCGGAAACGGCTCCGATAAACGAGGAGGAGCAGGATGTCTCTTCTTACTATGATCGCTGGAAGATGTTTCCTCTTCTTTCATGCGCCTAGCTGCAGAGCACCAGTCATCTTGTCTTCTTCTCAACTGCTGTGCTTCTTCAAAACGTCGCCGGAACAAGTAATTTTCACCAAGTCCTACAATTTATTGGAATATCATTGTGTGGTTAGAGTCGAACGACACGATTTTCTCAGGTTTCAAGAAGTGACGTTCAGTACGTACGAGTGGAAGGCATCTTATTTAGAGCACCACCATAATAAGTTTTAGGGTTTTCTCCACATGCCATCTTCATATATCTCCAAATAACTTCTTCATCTTCTTCCATGACACCGGATCCGATAAGCAGGTCTTCATTGGACAGAGTGGACACGGGTCGAAGCTTGATGACAGCTGCTTCTCCACCCATTAGATTGCCAGAACCGGGGAGAATCAGAGACGTGGTAATACCACCACTCGCAACAATCTTTAAACCTGGGTCTGTTGGACTCAAAGCATCGATTACGCGTACCTGAACATTATTTCAAAGTAGTCATTCAGACACTTGTTACTTTTTTGGAAAGGGGAAAGGGGATCAGAGCTGAATGTGCGAGAATACTTACATAAGGCGTAGTAGGTGTTGTCATTTCGTTGGTATCGTCAGTAGCTTTTAAACCGGTCAATGAATCAACCGTCATATGAGAATGCATATCAATGATGCCAGGTGTAACCACACGACCACCAGCATCAATAATGCGAGTTTTCTCCTTATCTGTAATGTGAACATCCAAATCAGCACCCACGGCGGTAATTAATCCATTTTGTATGTATACATCTCCTGAATTCAAATAACGATCACCCAACCATATGTATCCATTTCTAATGAGTATGTCCTCTGCATTTTTCGGAGCGTGAGGATTACGATGACGCCGGCGAGAAGTATTTGTCACTGCGTTGTTTCTGTTCTCTATGGCTTGGCATTTACTCAAGCCCTCTTCAAAAGAGTGATAGGATATGCCTGGTGATATAACTAGAAATTTGGAAGCTTTATCCCAGATGTTGTCGCTACTTTCAGTTACTATAGTATTGTCATCTGAGGTCAAGACAACAGTCGGCAGGTGTTTCGAAAGATACACACATGAAAGGCCAAAGAGTGCGAGGGCTGCAACTGTAGAGAGCTGCCTGATCTTTTGCTGTTTACGATAATGATAAGATGAAAAATCTCCTGAATGCAGCAAAGGCTGTTGAGAGGTCGGTGGTTTTTTCAGGTTTAAATCAAGTAAACTTGACATTTTTCGTTTCCTTTGCTACTTGCTGGAGAGAGCGAGAGAGGAAAAAGTCCAAAAAGAAAATTATAACAGCTCAAAGATAAAGCACAGATAGGATTGGTTAAACAACCGTAAGGCGTGTGAAACGCGCTTAAGCAAACTTTAACTCGCTTACATTTTTACCCACAATTTTACGGAAGGGCCATCTACTATTTCAGCGTTTAATTGAAGGAATGAAATAGCATACAAGCTGTATACTTCCTGCGCAGTCGAGATTACACTTCATTGTTTCATTTGGTGTTTAACACACCTTACTTATAACCGCTGTAAAAAGGGACAACTATTTTGTAATATCTGTTCTACTTTGCCTGACCTGGTTATGGTTTCAGAAAACAAAAAAAAAATCTTCAAACATAAAAATACCTCCATTATCACTGTCTCTTTTTCTAAGTGTACTTTATTTTTCCTTCTTCTGAACTTACAGACTATGCTTGATTCACAAAGCCCACCGAGGAGAAGGTACTTAGTGGGAGTGTTGGCTTTACTGGCAGTTGTATTTATATGGGTCACCTCGTCGTTTGTTATGAATGTACAGTTCATCTGTGAGAGAAGATCTGAAAACTGTAATTGAGATCATCTACGCTAAAACAGATGTTGCCCCATTATGCTCTAGAGTATCTTTGCCGATCTTGAATACAATAAACCTTTCTTCGTTACATACATAAATACGGCGACTTTTTCTCTGTATATGATACCCTTTCTTCACAAAAAAAAAACGAAACAATCTGCTCCAGAAAAGTAAATCATCTTTCGAACGTTCATACCTTACGCGCAACAAGAATAACACTAACGGCTCTATGTAAATCCTCAGCCTAACTCTAGAAATTGAGGCGAGCTTGTTAGCAAATCAAGAAGTAAGCATACATTATCATTGGAATTTGAGATGCTAGTTGCTGAGAATAATCTTGTTTCTCAGTCAGAGATAGAAGAAGTGGTAGTTGAAGATAAAGATGATAGGCTAAGCACTCGCGAGACGATTAGGCTAAGCTTTGCTTTCTGCTTCTTATGGTTCTTAGCGAATTATACAACCAATGCTAGCTTGGCATACACAAGTGTCGCCAGCAGTACAATTCTTTCATCAATGTCAGGCTTAGTCACGTTAGCGATAGGTGCCATTTTTAAGGTTGAAAAGTTGACCATTGTAAAAGTGATATCGGTCTGCGTGAGGTATTTTGTTTTGAATGTCTATAATGAGTTATTCTATGCTATCAATCTGATATGATTACGAATTACAGCTTTGCAGGTGTTGTTCTTGTATCATATTCGGATCAAACGACGGAACAAGACGGTCGTGCAAAAAACTCTGCTGCATTGATTGGGGATATGTTAGCTCTTAGTGGTGCTGTGTTTTATGGCTGCTATACGACGCTATTGAAACTAAAAATTGACGATGAATCGCGCATTGATATGCCATTATTTTTCGGGTATGTAGGCACGTTCAACATTTTGCTCATGTGGCCTATATTCCCTCTCTTGCACTTTTTGGGCATTGAGAAGTTTGACTTCCCCTCTTCTGCCAAATTATGGGTGATGGTGCTTTCTAATGCATTTATTGGCACCTTTCTATCTGACTATTTATGGCTACTCGCTATGCTGATGACTTCACCATTGGTTGTCACCCTCGGAATATCTCTCACAGTAAAGCTCCTACAATATTATATTCTGGTTTCTTTATTGTTTGATTTTAACCTTAAGAAATCCCTGATAGATTCCAATGGCGTTGATTGGTGACGTGGTCTTCAAGCATTTCTTGGTCGGGTTTCAATACGCAATTGGCGCAATTTTGGTTGTGGTGAGCTTTCTTATTGTTAATATAGCAACTCTCAATGATGTAAAGCAAGCTACCGCTGCCGAGAATTATGTTGCAGATGTTAATGAGGAGGAAACTGATATCAGAATTGGCCCTGAAAACATGGCGAATACTCTCAGTAATGCTGGACGTGGTTATATGCATAGAGCCCCAAGTAGGAACTCAATTTTAAACATACACCGTTGCTTTGACCTAATCCTATAGCTTATCAAGCAATATGCACTTTCAGATACTCCCACTATCAAAAAAACCAATAAAATGCAGTGGTAGTAATTACGAAAGATTACACTATTGGCCAAGAGAAATCATCTGGGAAAGAAAGCAGAGCTACTTGCTGATTTTCTATTCGATTAAATTAGACGCGTGCCTTTTCTTTAATCGTCTTCTTACGCTTTTAAACTTCTTAAAGAACAAAAATGAGAGGCATTCAAACCTTGGCGGGCCTTCTCATTTCCGGTTTAACCCTTTTATTCTTTACAAACGTTGAAGCGAAATCGGCTACCGGTGACCGTGTGCTAGTTTTATTGGATTCTCTATCTGACAAAGATACATATGCTCGTTTTTGGCAGCAGTTAGAAGGTACTGAGGTACATATTGCGACGAACAATTAGCCTTTCATTAACTATTTTCCTTGGGCAGATCGTCAGTTTCAATTAGTCTTTAAATCTGCCGATGATCCTTCAACAAGTCTTCAGTATTTCGGTCAAACTTTATACCATCATATTATTCACTTCGCTCCCAAATCTCCAAGTAAGTTTGTACTGCCACTGCCAAAATCGCTTGCTTCCACAGCTACAAGTTGCTAGATATTCATTAAAATATACATATATGTGTAGGATTAACTCAGCATCCTGGATTAAATAATGTACAGCTCGTAGATTTTGTAAATAAGGGCGGCAATGTTCTTGTTGCTACTGGCATTGATGCTAACGATAATATTCGTGCTCTTGCCTCAGAATTTGATATTGATTTGGATACTGAAACTGTATATAGCCACAACCATTATGACAGCGACCATGATAGAATAGTTACCACGAAGTTTATCGCACCCGAAACTATCATCGATTCCCAAAAAGTGAAAGCGCCTGTTCTCTATACTGGCACTGCTCTATCAGTGGGCCGTCTTCCCCTCTCTACTGCCATTTTAGCCGCCGAATCCGACGCCTTTATTTCCGATAATTATAATATGCGTGCTAGAGCTACTGATGATGTTACATTAGTGGGAGCAATGCAAACCCGAAATTCTGCTCGTGTGGCATTTGTCGGATCCCTCGACCTTTTCTCCGATAAATACTTCGATGCTTCTGTCAAAGAGTACGTCAACTATATAACAACTATACGTATAGTAACTGGGATGAATCTAACTAGATTTGATTGTTTATCCTTTTACAGTTATCATGAATCTGGTAACAAAGACTTTGTTGAACAGCTTACAAAATGGGTATTTCAAGAAAAGAGCGTTTTGAAAGTTGAAAATCAGTCACATCATAGACAAAATGACACGGAACAACGTGATTGGTATCGTATTAAGGATGATATTGTAAGTAATGGCAATGCAAAATTTCTTAAAAGGCATAAGCATTATAGTAACACACAAGGTGCTTAGATTTATGATGTAGATATTGTTGAGTACAGGGACGACCATTGGGTACCTTATACAGCCAATGATGTCCAATTAGAGTTAATTATGTTGGATCCATATATCCGCACCACACTCAAGCAGGTCGATGTTAAGGAAGTTGGCCGATTCGAGGCCAACATTCGTCTTCCTGATGTATATGGCGTATTCACGTTGAAGGTTAATTACAAACGTCCTGGGTTGACATATATACTAGCTGAGGATCAAATTTCTATTCGACCTTTCAGACATAACGAGTACCCTCGTTACTTAACTGCAGCATACCCTTATTACGCTGGTACAGGTTCAATGATGGTTGGGTTTATTATATTTAGCGCCATTTGGTTAGCCACATGGGGCGCTCGTATTGATAAGAGTAAAAGTAAAAAGGCAGAGCACAAAGCCAAAGTCAATTGATTTCAACAACATTTAAATTCTTAGGAAAGACTAAATAAAAAAGATATCGTATGTATAATAACTCTCAAAACAGTAGCCCGTAACTAAATGCTCCTAGAGCTATGTCAAATGGCTACGTTTTGCAACTGAAATAACCTGATTTACTTAAAAGAAGCAATACCTGAGATTGTCGAAAAGTGGTATCATCAAATTCACACTGACTATCTGGTCTATGGTATAAAAACTTGATATTGATGGAGTCATCATTTTTGCCTCACTTTACTCATCGTTATTCATCCTCCAATTCTGAGTCTGTGTCTGCAGATTGGAAAATACTTTTTTTGACATTATTTGTCTTGCCTTCCTTCTTCTTAATAACACCGGCATGAATAAGTTTAAGTTCTAATGCTGCTGTTTGAAAACTGTCAGTGTTTCCTAAATCGTCAAAGCCAACAATCCTAATCGATAGGAAATGTATGTAAATTCTCTGTTTTGACAATATACGATCATTTCTACTTACTTCGTTTGTGCATAGCCATCTTTCCAAGCCATAACACATGGCAAGATTTTGATTTGCAGCTTCTCCACTAAGAAGGGGGCATTTTGTACATCGATTTTTATAAATCTTGTATTAAAGTATTTTTTGGCGAGGGTCTTTGGATTAAATAGATGGATAAGTTTCTTTTAACAACACTGGATTTTAAGCATAGTACATACCTCCAGATGTGTATCCATAATTTTGCAACGTCGGAAATCTTTGTGATAAAAGTGACCAACTACGTACTTTTCCGACGTTGTTATGTTCATGAATTCCTTTTCCTTTTCAATGTCGGTATAAAAGCCATGTTGATTATCGACTCTTGCATTACGCCTTTCAATTCTAAGCATTTAGCCGGAAAAACAACAACTCCAAGTTGAATACAAAAGTTTGTCAATGGCTGTGTTTGGGACTCTACTTACTCCCTCTGGATTTCGCGTATTCTTTCTTCACGTATTTGAGCAATATCATTGTCTTCTTCGTTTTCAAGCTCGGCAAAAAGAGCCTCGTCATCAGATAGTGCTTCTAAATCGTTCGTGCTAACAACTACCTGTCAGGAGAAAGATTCTATTTACGCCAACAGTGAAGAATAGCTTACTGTGTTGTCATAATTGTTCAGATTTGGATAGAAAGAAATATCGGGTTAGAAGAAAAGAAACAACAGCTTTGGGAGTCAAAACTGAATCTTGGAGGAACAAAAAAAAAAAAAATAAAAATAAAATTAAGTGAACTATTCGGTCCTTACGCTGCACTACCCACATTTGTACATCTCCATCGATTTACACAACAACTGTATTGCCTTCAAATTGAGGCTAGCTGATCGACATGGTCCCAATAACTTAAATAAGACTTCTCTTTACGCAGTTGTAGCGACGTCTCATGGAACAATGAGCTTTATTGTTAACATTTTAACGGAGCAGCTGAAATAGCTGACTCAAATACGAATCCAGCATGTTCAGGCCATCGTCAATACTGCGATTTACCACAGCTTCGTAAACTTTTACCATTCAACCGAATTTTGAGTCATCAGTCTCAAGCCTTTGGGCTTATAGTGACGCAATTGAGTCCAGTTATAGTTGATCTTCTAATAATATCTGCTTCTTGCGATAATCGCTCTCCCTGTAATTTGATTTTTTGTTACCTGCTTCAGATCAACTGACTATACACAAGTGACGCCCGTTAAGATATTGCCTGCAAGGGATAACGTCATATAAATAGGTACAGCCTTTAGAGTTTTGGTCTGTCTATTCTATCTACTTTGTCTTTGCTTACTCTATAATATTCCAAACATTATCCATGTTACGGATACCTTTTACTTGTAATGACCGTCTACCTAGTTGGCTACGTTTCGGACGTAGCTCCTATAAATATCGCGTCCTAATACATTTATTAGTTCTGCAGTGTTTTGATCTGCTTTATCTGTTTTATCTGTTCTTTAACAGTATCTGCACTCTACCTTTAATAAATCTTATCATAAGTATTAATTCTGTTGTAACTTCTCTGTTCAGAGTATTTTTAACACCACATCTAGTTTCGTTCTGGACAAGGATCTTTCAGTTTAATTACTAAATCACTGCCATTACATTATTCTCTTGTCGTGATTAAATCTGCAGAGACGTCAATAACATCAAACTCATATCTGTAATGAGTGAATTGCCTTTCATTAGAGAGATTTCACTTAGGAAAAAAAAATTATAAATATGGCCTGCCTCTCAATCTATAATATCTTCAGTGTTTTTATCTGTTCTTCCTGGATATTACATCTCAATCTTGTATCAATAAAAATAACTTATTCTTATCTTAGTTGTAATTTTTCTTCAGAGTTGCAAGTAACACCAGCACCCCGTCGCGTTATCTTGAGTGATCTTTCTACCAACCAGTAGATCACTGCCCTTTACAAAATAAGTAAACTATATATCCTTAATGATAACCTGTTCAGCCTTATACGAGGTAGTTAATCTCATATAAGAGTAATCATTTATTCTGTATTCGTTTCCTACTCTACTCTATTCTATTTCAGCAGTTATAAGGTGTAAAAATCTTGTATAATTTATATACGACTTTCTCCACATCTCATGATGCTGTCAACTAAACATATCACTTAATTTATGGTACTCATATGTTAGAGTTTATATAGTCTAATTATCTCTGGTTTGCAATATTGTATAATCCACCTTTGTCCATCATAAAGCGAATTATATTCTTTGATTTTTGTTCATCATCTCCTCTCAAATACGACAGAAGGATGATGTCCTTCTTCTGTACGTCATAATTCTTGAGGGTCTCCAAGAATTTTCCCTTTAAAATACACAGTATATGTTGTATATGGTAGAAATAGATCACAATAGAAAGAAAGCAAAAAGGAAATCTGTGAAGACCAAGTTATCTTCTTTATTAATTGAATATTCAGATGAAGAATGAAGACCAGAGCCCTTGGAAGCCTTGGGCTTACGGGCGGCCACTGTGCTCCATTGGGAGGCTTCAGTGCCTTTGGGGACGGCAGGTGTGGAGGCAGCAGGTGTGGTGGCGGCAGGCGTCGGGGCGGCAGGCGTGGAGGCAGCGGGTGCAGGGGCGGCAAGGGCTTCAGCCAGGCGGGCACGGAGATCAGCGTTCTCCTGCTGAAGAGTCTTGTTTTCAGCAGTGACGGCAGCTAGCCGTTCTTCAAGAGCGGCAAAGCGAAGGAGAGTCTGGTCGTGTTCGGCGACCTTGTTAGTTAGCCGGGCGAGCTGATGTTGCAAATTACTCATTTCGAGATCTTGGCTCATTGGGAATGGCGAAATGTCGAAATGTCGATGATGGCGATGGGAAAGTTAACGATTTCGAATCGGCTGAAATTAGGATATGTGGTTGTCTGAAAAAAGGGCTGAAACAATTAAAAAGGATGGACGCGATTGGATTACTGGTTGTCGAGATATTACGCGTCAAAGTGCAAAATTTACAAAAAAAACGAGTAATCAGGGGTCGAGATGGCGGTAGTAGGGTTATCGGATCGGAACAAAAATTGGCACAGTTGTTACGTAGTCTGAGAGCTTTCCAAAGAACTAGTTTTGGGTGATGGATGGCAAGGATTGGTCGAGATATACCTGGTCAAAGTTCGGCTTTTTTTTTCGGCGGGATATGAAATTTACCAAAAAAATGGGGAGCGGAAAGAAAGGTGGGGATGTAGCTCAGGCGAAAATTTATGTTTTTATTAGTTATAATGCATTCGTTCTTTTGAACATTACTGCTAACTAAGGTGAGACTATTGAGGAGTGAGACTGTCAATGAAGATGTGGAAAAGGGGCCAAAAAAACCCAAGACTCACGAAAAGTATATATAAGGGGGGAAAAAAAGTATGCGAGGAGGAAGGTAGGGGAGAACGGGTGGCTACTCAACAGGCTTCAATACCATGGACTCCCTCGCATCGTGCACTAAAAGGGTTTGGCAGTGGAGGGTCGAACCAGAGGGCGGTATCCACACTGTCTTTCGACCACAGACGAGTATCAGGAAGCAACAAGACCTAGCCATCACCAGCGGAGGAGGACGACCAGACAAGTCCAGGCTCAGGATCCGTAGTGTAATCACCTTCGGGATTACACAGTTTGTCAAAGTACCAAAGGATCCGACATAGCGAGACCCAGTACGAAGGGCAGGGAGCAGAGGAAGAGAGAGGCAGTTGGTTGAGGGCATGATCCACCCGGTGGACGGGGAAATCAGCCGGCAGGGAAGGCAAGTCAAGCCACAAGCGGGCAGGAACCGAGGGGCACAGCAGCAGGTGGCGACGAGACGTGTGGTCGGTACCACAGGGGCAAGGCTTTGGCTTACCAGGAAGCCAGCCCATACGCCAGCGAACGAGGCGAGACCGGTCAGCACGGGAGGCAGGAACGAACAAGACGGGGTCAATCCCCAGGGAGGACGGCAAGCGCGGATCAACACCTTGTCCGTAACGCCCAAGAAGGACGAAAACAAGGAGGACCGGTAGTTACGGAGCCACTTGGCCAGAGAGGAGGCGGTGGGAGCAGACAAGACGGAAGCAGGGACGTCCTGTACCATGCGCAAGGAGCGCAAACGAGGCAACGAGGGATCCGGGAGCGAGCTGCTCAAAAGAGACAACAGACAATCCTCTGGGAGGGAAGCGGCACGACAACAGAACTTGAGCACCAAGGTGTCAGCACGAAAGCGAAGAGAAGGCAAGTTGGTCAGGTGAGCAAACACCATGGTAGAGGCAGTACGATGACCTCCAAAGATCATCCTCAGGCAGGTGTCTTGTGTCTTTTCTAATGTCTTGTAATCCTTTTGGAGCAGGCGGGTGACGGCGAGACCATACTCAACCTTGGGACGCACAAAGGTGGCGAACAACCGAGAGGAGAGAAGGAAAGAGAAGCCAGAGCGGTTAGCACCGATGTCGCGTAAGCGAGCCATAGAGGCGAGAGCACCGGGTTTGCCTTTGGTCACCACCGAAGAGGAACAGATGCCATTGCGGCGGAAGGGAACACCAAGGTAGATAAACTCATCCACTGTAGGCAATTGCTCACCATACAGCTTCAAAGGCCGGAAGGCAGTGGAAGAAGGCGAGGGAGAGTTGAGCAAGGCACACTTGGCCGGAGACCATCGGTAACCAAGCTGCAACGAGTGGGACTCGGCTAGACGAAGCATCTGCTGGACTTCGGAAGAAGAACCAAGCAAAGCAACATCGTCAGCATACAGCAAGAGGTTGATAGCAGTAGGAGAGGGGGCCAGGTCAGTAGCGGGAGGATAAGTCCACGGATTAACCAGAGGACCGGAGGGAGAGGAAGAGAGGACGCGGGTAGTAGTGCTAGAGGCAGCAGACCGAAGCAGGGGAGCAAGAGAGTTGATGTACAGGCTGTACAGATGGGGACTCAAGACCGAACCTTGGAGTACACCTGTACGGGGCCGAAAGGAGGGAGACACTGTATTGCGCAACAGGATAGTGATACTGACGTCGTCAAACATGTTGGCGAGCAGGGAGACAAGACCACGAGGAGCACCGACAGACAGGAGGGAGTGCCAGATGATCCGGCGATCAACAGTATCGTAAGCAGCCTTGATATCCAAGAAGGCAACCACAGGCCAGTGATGATGAACACGAAAGTACTCTTTCATAAGGTCGTGCAAGCAGAGGGCCTGATCCAGAGAACTTCGTTGCGGGCGGAAGCCACCTTGGGCGACGTCAAGGGGAGGCGAGACAGAGGAGAGGAAGGGAGCCAGACACATCTCAAACAGTTTGCGCATGATGGAGGTCAGAGAGATGGGCCGGAAGTTGGCTTCGACAGAGGGATCACCTTTCTTGTGAATAGGCACAACTTGAGCCTCACGCCAAAGGGAAGGGGTGTAGGACCATTGGTAACAGAGAGCAAAGAGGAGAGACAGAACCCTAGCCAGAGGCTTTTTGATGGGCTGCAGCATTTCTGCACGCAGATGGTCAGAGCCAGGAGCTTTACGACGAGGCAGGAGCTTGATGTGACTCATGATGGTATCCAACTGCCAGACAGTAGAGGAACCATCATCAACACTTGAACTAGTGCTGAGGTCGCCATCACCATCCAAAGACGATGAAGAGTGGATCACACCTAACGACCGAGACACAGAGGGAGAACCGAGACCAACACCATCGCCCTGACACGATGAGGGGTGGACCACACCACATGGCACGGAGAGATCATCAGAGGGAGGGAGGGAGCCGTCATCACCGCCCGAGGACGATGGAGGATGGACCACATCATACGGCAGGAGAGCACTGGGGAGGTCTGGAGGACGCCCAACCGGGAGAGAGGAGCCAGAGTACACGGAGGCAAGGTGGTCACGCATAGCGATCGCACCCGCCGCATCACCGTCCGGATTCACATAGCCAGTCTGTCGTTCCCGACGAGTCTTGATCCGCTTGATTTTAGAAAGCACCGTCTTGCTGAAGTCATCGTTCTCGAGGGAGTCACAAAAGGCGCGCCAGGAGGCTTGTTTCGCTCGACGTAGGTCTTGCTTGAACTTGTTGTGGGCCTCGACGTGCTTGTTCCACCAGAAGATCTTGTCCATTGCACTATGGCAACGTCGCCATCGACGGTAGAACCGCTCACGTCGCTCAGCAGCTTCTTGGAGGGCGGGGGTCCAGAACCGTTTCCAGAGGGCCGGCCTTTGGGCACGGGCACCAACCGACGAGTCCAACGAAGTGTATATCGCCTCATTGAGCCGAGTATTGAGAGCATCAATATCTGGGCGAGAAGGAGGAGGGGAGGACAGAAGAGAAGAGAGATCTTGGATAAGGGAGGAGGACAGAGAAGCAAACTGGTGGTAGAAGAGGTCACTAACATCGGACTCACTGAACCGAGATAGGTTCCAACAACGACGGATGCAAGGGATAGAAGGGGGAGACTCGCGGGCAGAGGGATGACCTACAGAGGCTGGAGGGGGGCAGTACTGCAATGACAAAGACATCAGCTTGTGGTCAGAGCCCAACGACAGATCTGAAGCTATGGAAATAGAAGAAGAAGGGGGTGAGGTATCGAATGTCGACAAGTTGGTAATAAAGTAATCAACAATACTACTCACAGGGCGGCCATGACGGAAGTCGAGAAGCGTCGGGGTACCGTAGGAGAGGTGGCGGTTCAAGATTGACAAATTATTGTCCCTGCACCAGTCAAGGACGGTAGTACCACGAGAGTTGTTACCTGAGTCACCAGTAACGTCGCCAAGGCGTGCGTTCAGATCACCACAGATGATCGTGTCATGGGAGAGAGGAAGCGAGGAGAGCACAGCAGAAACATCCGAGCATCTCATAGAAGGCTGGTCAGGCGGGAGATACAAGCAGATCAGACGCAAATGACGACCAAGTTGAATGCCAAGTGCGAACTGATTGCCGGGTAGGGGGACTTGGAAGGCTGGCAGAGGACAGGAGGGATTGATAAGACAACAGATGCCTTGCGATCCACGGTAATCACCAGAGACGGGGATACCGGGAAGGTGGAACTGTTGCCAAGAGGTGGGGAGATGGCAGGGCGAGAGCAACCAGGTTTCGGTGATAAACACCACAGAGAACGATTGGCAGTGACGGAGGACATCATCTATCGTGGATTCCCGTAGACCGCGAGCGTTCCACAGGCCGATAGTGATATGGATAGGAGAGAGAGAGGAGCGGTTATTAAGGATAGGAGGAGAAGAAACAGGAGAAGGGTGTGTGTTGTATCCAAGATACAACTATACGTCTTAAACTACAGAACGACTTCAGTACCTGCTTGACAATCTGATACACATCTACTTTGACACCCGCTTGCGGCTAAGATCTTATCATTCTCATGATAGTTTTAGTTCAGTTGTATTAATAGTTGAATACCCGTTAATAACCCCGTTTCTCATATAAAAGTATCATTCTCAACAAACTTGAATAAAGAGTATCTTTGTTGTGTCTGGACATTTTACTGTCTTATTTTATTTTATTTTTATAAGTCTTTTAAAGTAACTGGATATATCTTTTTTTTTGACCTTATCGAAACAAGAAACTCTGTAATATTCGATATCAAGAATACTATCAATCTGCACTTACCGAAATGTCTGATAATAGTCATAATAACCATTCTGTCGCTGCTACTGGAGAACCTTTCTCTTCTGTTGACGGTGTCATCACGTCTACGAGCTTTCCGGATGTTGTACCTGTCAACATTACTACTGCTGCTACCCCGTCATTTCAGGAATCCAGTTCTGCTGCTATTCAACATGAGGATGATTCCATGGTAGTTGATCCGACTCCCGTTGTTGAAGGTGAAGCTTCTTTTGAGGCTTTCGTTCCTTCTGACACAACTGGGATGGTTAACTTGCCCTCTGCTGAGTCGTCTTCGATAGTAGCCCTCAAAGAAGGCCTACATCAAATGGTTATGGAAAACCGTAACTTGTCTTTGCAGTTGCTTGCTAAACGCAACTTGCCGGAAGAACAACTGTTACCTCTCCGTAATCGTTTGGCACAAAACCTAAGGGACATGGAGCAATTAGAAGCAATTTTGGCTCAGGATGCAAAGTGTATTGCTTTGTTGTCTAGCATTGGTTCGTCTTCTCCCTCTGTTTCTTCAGGAAATAGTACGTCTTCTGTCAGTGGTCAATCGTCTGCTGATATATCCTTGTCTTCGACTAACAGTAAGCCTGCTGTTCAAAAGGCGGTAGTTCCTAATGA